TATCCTTCCACCTTGCATCGTATGATGGAGAGCATAGACAGAACACTGGTCTTAACTGAGCTGCAAGGTAATAAACTTGGGAAGACCCAGTCCACCTTTCTCTTTCTTTAATTGCAGCGTCCTATACCTCACCCTTGCCTTTTTTCCCTGCCAAATATACTGAGATATCATTCTTTCCCATTCTATAAAACGTCTTTCTGATATCTGGATAGGTAAACATTGAAATAGATAAAGGAAGCGTGGGAGAATGTTCATTCTGACGATTCCACTCTGGAGTATAAATTTGAGAAAGGGGTCAGGTTCCATCTCTGTATGTCTGACTTCAGGTTTGAGGTTAGGGGCCCATAGTTGGCATCAAAAATCTTAGAAAAGTCCTTGGGCAATGTGACCCCTAAATATTTTATGGAATCTGCCTCCCAGTTCCAACTGTACAGGTTTCTAATATTGTTCTTTGGGTTATAGTTTATTGTTAGAGCCTGAGTCTTGGTGACGTTATAGGGTTAGGGTTATATAGGGTTAGGCTTATCTTGTAACCCGAGAGCGAGCCATATTCCTCGACTGCTCCCATAAGTACTGGTAGAGTTTGAGATGGATTTGTTATGGTTAGCAACAAATCATCTGCAAACAATGAAAGTTTCTGTTCCCCAGATGCCATGCGAACCCCAGCTATGTCTGTTCTCTGTCTTATCCATTGACTTAACGGCTCTATGAAAAGGGCGAATAGAAGTGGTGAAACGCAGCATCCCTGCCTCGTACCCCTTTCCAAAACAAAAGGGGTCAGATACGTCCCCATTAATTTTTATCCTAGCCGATGGTTTGTTGTATAGAGCTGAAATGACATCAATTATGTTCTGGTGAAACCCAAATCTGGACATAACTTTGTAGAGAAAGGACCATCTAACCGAGTCAAAAGCCTTCTCTGCGTCCAGACTCAGTACAAGGGTCTCTATTTTTTGTTGAACTACATGGTTTAAGATGTGGAAAGTTTTATCTGATGTTGTCCTGTGTCTGTCTCCGTTTGATAAAGCCTGTTTGGTCCTTATGAATTATCACTGGTAAGATGTTTTCTAATCTCTGTGCAGTTATGGCAGTAAATAATTTATAATCAATATTAAGCAGGCTTATTGGGCGGTAGTTTCTGCAGTCCAACTTATCTTTTTCCTCCTTGGGGATTAACGAAATAATTGCATCTCTCCATGAAGGAGGAATTATTTTCTTTTCCAGAACGTTGTTGAAAACTCTTAATAAAACAGGGACTAATAGATCTTGCATTTCTCTGTACCACTCGGAGGTAAACCCATCCGTTCCTGGAGATTTCCCTCCTTTTAACTTTTTAATCACCGATCTTAGTTCTGCCTCAGTTATCTCTGATATTAATTGTTCATTTTGCTCGGCTGTAATGTTGGGCAGAGTGAGTTGAGAAAGAAACGTATCCATTTGCTGTTCATTATTCAGTTTGGGTTCGGAGTATAGGATTTGGTAGAACAAAGCATTTATGAATATTTGCCAGGCTTGTTTCAACCCTATTTGTATGAATATTCTGTATTTTGTGAATAGTTCTATCAGCTTTTTTTCCTAGTTTAAATGCTAGGAGCTTCAGGGATTTTCCCCCAGCCTCATAGTATTTCTGTTTAGTAAAGAGAAGTTTCTTTTGTATTTTTTGCAGGTTTAAATCATTCAGCTCTTTTTTCACTATCTCAATTTTATTTTTTGTTGCTCTCTTGAAGGTTTTGGAATGTTCTTTCTGTAGTTTTTTTAGTTCCACTTTCAATTGGGTTTGTTTTAATTGTCTAATTTTCTTTTCGTAGGAGGAGATGGCTATGATTCTTCCCCTGATTACCGCCTTTAATGCATCCCAAAGTATTGCCGGACCCACCTCTATATTGTCATTCTCTTCCAGATATCGTTTGATTTCAGTTTTCATATTCTCCTTAAAGGATGTACTATTTAATAAGTTCGTATTCAGTCTCCAGAGCGTGGATCTGTTTTTTTCAGCCAGGAGGAGGGAAATGTAGATTGGGCTATGATCTGAAATTAGAATCGATCCGATCGCCCAACTTTCTAATCTATGCACATCCTTTTTAAACATGAAGAAATAATCTATTGGTGAGTATACATTATAAGAAGAGGAATAATGAGTGTAGTCACGACTGGTTTGGTTCTTATCCCTCCATATATCCACTATTCCCAGTTTTCGCCCATCATACTTTTCATTCTTTTACTGATATATCTTAAAGCTACAGTGTGTAATAATTACAGGGATATACAGTCAGAAATGTAATATATTATACATAACTATGTTATTTATCATCATCTACAAGCTCAGCCTGTTAACCTTAATATTTGCGTTGCCTTAGAATTCGTTATTTATAATTACATAGGAGCGGGTCTCGCAGCCATGGAGGCAGACATCTTTGTGCTAAGGCAGCGCAGAGTCAACAAACTAGCGATTGCGAGATCGCCCATTACGCTCGAAAGTAACTACGGCAAGTTGAGAGAGATGAACTGAGACGGTACTGAACACACAGACTAATGAAATACTATCTGTAAAATTATCTATGTAAACAAACCTCATCACTTGGGAAGGTAGGTGATGCGGACGTCATGGAAGACATTTTGTCCCGTAACGCTCGCCGTACTGTTGGGGGGAGAAGCGGTGGGGAGGATATGTTCATGTTGCTGCGGTCTGCAGTCTGACCGCTAGATGTCGCTGAAAATTACACCCTATAGCTTTAAACTTGTTTTCCCATTTGATGAGTCCAGATTTGGATTTAGCCTAATATTAAAGTCTCCTGCGCAAATCGTTATACCTTGACTTTCTGTTGCTGCTAATTCAAGTATTTTTTTTTATAAAAAGACCGATCACTACCAGGTTGAGCATAGCCATTAATCAGACTTATCAGGATGCCATTTATTTTCCCTGTAATTGAAATATAACAACCCTCCCTATCTTTATGTTCTGCAACATGTTCATAGTTAGATATAAAAATGGCTACCCCTCTTCGTTTCCCAGAGCCGTGGGAAGAAAAATAGACAGATTTAAACCCCATCTTGTTCAGTTTGGGGTGTTCAGGATCATCTAGGTGGGTTTCCTGCAGCATAGCTATTTGAACTTTTTCTTTCCTGAGCTTAGACAGAACTCTCCATCTCTTAAGCGGATTATTTAAGCCATTTACATTGAAAGAAACCACCTTCAACTGTGTCCTACCCATTCAGGAAATTATCCATCCCATTTCACTGAAGACCCTGGAAATCCCCCCCCCCCCCCCCCCGCTCGCTAGAACTAGTATAAACAAAAAAACAACAGGTGAACCAGGAACAATCGTAAACCATGAAAAAAAACAGAAGATGTTAAGCATCCAAGGCAGGGGTCTGTTAACTAGACCCTGTAGAGCCTCTCGGAAGAAGCTCAGGAGGGAAAATCCTCCCATCATGTTAAGGAGGGCCCTTACAAGTGGCGACCGCCCAAATAAGAGTAGAACCCAAACAATCCTTTCAAAAGTCCCGTCCCAATTAAGTCAGCGCTCTATATACTTATCTCCAAGAGGAAAAAGCAAGGAGGGAAAGAGGATAATTCCTTCAGGTCTTGGGAGGAGATGTTCTTCTGAAAGCCCGGAGCCGCTCTGTAATTTTCTCCTCTTGCTGAGCTGGAAGAGCCTTTCTGTTTCCTCCTCTTCTTTCTGCTCCAGGACAGCCGATCGATCTGCTCCTTCAGGGAAGTTCGAGATCTGATGACTTTGACTTTAACCCCTTTTTGCCAGGTCCTTTGTGGTTTCCTCTATGGTGTCGTAGGTTCTGGTTCCTTCCTATATGTTTCACTCGCAGCCTCGCAGGAAAGAGTGTCTGAAACGGAACTCCGTTTTCTTTCAGGACTCTCCGAACCTCGGCGTACTCTCGGCGCTTTCCAAGGATGGCTGGCGGGTAATCGTGATCCAGATTTGTTTTTCACGCCAGATAAATCCGTTACGCTGCCGAGCCTTACGAAGCAACATCTCTTTATATTTGAAACTTTCACAACGGACGACCGTGGCGGCGCTCCCTCCGGCGGCTGCGGGCCCGGCGCCTGATGTGCTCGCTCAACCTGCATGTCCGGCCCGCTGCTCTCCAGATCGAGCCCCTCTTTAAGTAAAGATTCCACAAATTCAACCATGGATTCAGTCCTTTTCAGCTCCTTCTGGAATACCGTAGATCCTGACCTTCTCTCTCCTGGATCGGCTCTCCAAGTCTACCAACTTATCTTCCATATTCATGTGTAGCTTTAGCAGCTAAGCTACCACTTCCTCCATGTTTTGAGTTCGCCCCTCTGTCTTCTCCAACCGTTCCTCTACTTCACTAATCCTTGCGTTAGTTTTTCCTATTTCCTCTTTAATAGTTGAGAGTTGTTTCCTGGTTTCCTCGCGGAACCCTCTCAGTTCTTCTAATAGAATGTCCAGGCTAGCCATTTCGTTTTGTTAGCTTACGGCTACGATACGTTAGCTGTAACTTTTCACAGGATTTTTCATCTTTCCTCTTCAAGTTTTATTGACTTTGGGGCTTAGTTATCGTCTTACCTGCTCTATCTGACTTTCGTGAGGCAATCTTGCTCAGCTGAATTGAGGTAATTCAGTTATATCTCCGATTGTCTGGGGAGTCTCTCTACCGAGCAGCCATCTTTATGGTGTTCCGGCCGGAAGTCAACTGCCATAACCTGTTTAGTGCTTCTTCATCCATCATTTAAATAATCCCACTCTTAGTTTTTACTCTTTGTAGCGCTACGACCTGATTTTCTGACTGACTGAGCATTAGCTTGATTAGCTAAGCTAGCAGTTCTGTTCAGTCCACACTATTCTTCTTTCCACGTGTTTCTGAAGATTCTCTGGCTGTTTCTCAATAACGGAACTTGTGCTCTTTTTTTCAGCTGCAACTTTTTAAAAATTTCTTAGGAATAAATCTGGTCTGGTATTTGCAGATATGTAGTTTAAAGTTATTAAAAAGGTCAGTGATGAAAACACAGAGTGGGATAAGATGTAAAATATTTTATTCTCTGTAAATGACTAAATCAGATTCACTGTTTTTCCCAAAAACATCACTTTGCTTACATCCATTTATTAAAAAAAAAAACAAGGCTTCATGTCATCTATCTGTACACATCGGCAGAGCCTGAATAAAACCTGGTATTTACACGGCAGCAGGACGCCTGCAGACCAAACTCAGGGTTTAACTGGACACACAGGTGAGAAGGAGAAGGAGGTTTTTACTTATGGTACAGATATTTACATGCTGCCACATTAGATCTGAATGCAGCAGAGTTTTAGAAAATAGCCTCATTCAGTAATAAATACAAAAAGAAGAAAATCTCTTATTTTACAGGAAGTGGATGAAGAGGAGGGCGAAGAATCAGGTAGGTCTGTGTGGGTTTCATGTCTTTTAGTGCAAGTTAAAGGACTAGACTTTTATTTCAGTGGCGTTTAAACTCACATTTACATCTTAGCTCATGTTTACAGGAAATTTACAGCGAGGACCAGCCTCTTGGTAAGCCCCGCCCCTTCCAATATCAGCACCAACTCCACCCACATGTAGGCCGTTTGTTGATTCGTTAAAAAGTAGAAAATTGATTTACTTTGATCTAATCTATCAGCTGTAGAATCATGATGATGTCATTAGCTCCGCCCACAGAGGGGGCACTCAGTTCATCCACTTGCGGCAGTTCACAGCTCCACAGTGACACGGAATCTTGTGCTGGTCGTCTTCCAGATCAAACTTGTAGTCGTAGCACAGCTGTAGGGGCGGAGCCAATACAGTGAGCCAATCAGAAACAGGCTGGGGGTTAATGCACCGACTGACGTGTCGATCCTACCTCTTCTCCTCTCTGGATCCGTCTGCAGGAGCTGATGATGATCTTGTTTTCCTTCTCCACGGTAACCACCTCAGTGATGCAGTTTGGCGCACATGAGTGGTTGATGTACCTGTCAATCACACATAGCCCCACCCCATCCCCCGGTCAGCACAGAGCAGGAGACGCCTCAGGCTTCACAATCCCGTTTGCTGCTCTGCTTACCTCGCCGGTCCTCCGGTGATGGTGGCATCAATCACATAGTCGTTGTCAATCCGGAACATGTAGACGCCGCGGTTCTACAAAAATAAAAAACTTAGATTCAGGATTCAACCGAGAAAACAAGTTCCTCAGTCCTGCTGCTTATTGAACCTGCCGTGGTTGCTGCGACGAGAATAAGCCTGAATGTGCAGCTAGCATGTAGCATCTACTGGTGCATGGATGGCATCCACCAGTAGAAGAGCCTTACTGGGTGCTGAGGAACCAGAACTGGTCTTTATGGAAACGGTGCAATGATGACTACGCTGATGAAGAAAAAACTAACAAAAACTTTAACCTGTCCAAGCCCAGCGTGTCCCTTTTCTAGATGGAGGACATGTCCCTCATAGGGACCCTCGGCTGGCCCCCATGAGGGGAAGGTCTCCTCTTGGGGGTCAGGCCATAGAAATTAATGGAAGTCAATGGAAAGTCCCCTGGAGGATAGTGAGATGTAACGTGTGTTTGTTTCAGGTGCATCACCTGTGCCTCATAAAGCCTCTCCTTGCGATTGGCCACCTCGCTTCTGATGATCGTCCCGATGTACTCGATTACCATGGTGCACTTCTCGATGTCTCTGGCGGCGTACAGTCCCAGTCCCTACTCACAGACACAGCTACAGTCAGCCTCTGGGCCTGCAGGTGGCGCCGTCATGTCTGCCTGGGGTGGATTTCTCACCTGGATGCGGGAGCGAGCCAGGTACACGTTGCTCTTCCACTCTGCCTTCATGCGGCGGTACTGGGCCGACTTGGAGTGGCGGCCCTGATGGGCGCCAGCGACCGACTCGCCAGGAGACAGAGACAGGACCCCGGGGACGAGGCCCACGATGGATCCCACAGAGCCCTGGCCCCTGGGGGCGATGCTGCTCAGCAGGTAAGGCCTGAAACAGACGCAGTAGCATCAGAGTTAAGGTTCCCGTCTTCCAAGTTAATAACGTGCGTTTCAGCCGCATCACAGCATCTCTGCTCGGACGGATGGACGCCGTGGCCGTTTAACCCTAACCCTTACTCATTCATTCCTGGACTCTGGTCCCAGTTAATCCTACTGGCTCTGATCAATCAGTGATTTCTACTGGTTCTTGAGTGACCCTCCCTGCAGGTACCAAGCTATGACCTCCTAATAAGGTTTAGTGGGTGTTTATTAACAGGTAATAAAAGGCTAAATGTTTTTAATGAAGAAACACAGAATTTAAAGGAAAGAAAAAGTTAAATTCTACCAAAACAAACTCTGCGCAAAATCCTGCTGCCAATGACGTTAGAAACTCCTCCGAGGTCAGAAATAAATGCCTCATTCATTGCCTCAACTATTGCCTCACTAAATGCCTCATTCAATGGGTCTACTGCTGGGTTCTGGTTCTGACCCAGGATCATGGCTGGATCTTCAGGTCGACCAACCTCACAGGGATATAGGCTCTGTTCGAAATCCTGGACTGGATCCTCCAAGGACGCGGTCTACCTGGACTGGATCCTTCCAAGGACGCGGTCTACCTAGACTGGATCCTTCCAAGGACGTGGTCTACCTAGACTGGATCCTTCCAAGGACGCGGTCTACCTAGACTGGATCCTTCCAAGGACGTGGTCTACCTAGACTGGATCCTTCCAAGGACGCGGTCTACCTAGACTGGATCCTTCCAAGGACGCGGTCTACCTAGACTGGATCCTTCCAAGGACGTGGTCTACCTAGACTGGATCCTTCCAAGGACGCGGTCTACCTAGACTGGATCCTTCCAAGGACGCGGTCTACCTAGACTGGATCCTTCCAAGGACGTGGTCTACCTAGACTGGATCCTTCCAAGGACGTGGTCTACCTAGACTGGATCCTTCCAAGGACGCGGTCTACGTAGACTGGATCCTTCCAAGTCTGTGAAAATAAGGAGACCGGAAGAGTTTTGGCTGTGAATTCGACCAGGTCTACCCTTCGGCGGGTTTTACTGGCGTATGCTACGTTGCTTAGCAACCGTGAAAGTGACGCATAGAGCAGGAAAAGATTGAATACCAAAGTTTTCAAAACTGTTTGTTTATTTATTTATTTTATATCATAAAGTGAACAAAGACTGATTTAATCCAGAGTGGAATAAAGGTTCCAACCACCGGGAGCAGGAACAAATCAAATCAAATGTAATGATAGAAACCTTAGTCAGTTAAATAACCTGCTGCTGTCATTCTGCACATCTCTGATGTTGCTGCTATTTTCTAATTACTGTAAAAATGTCCACAGCTGCATATTGGTTATTAATTCTCCAGTTTTATATTGTTAAAACACTTTACAGTATTTTATTGTTTATATTCTAACTCTTCCCTATTATGTTATTCTTATACATTTTTCTAAGGTCCACATTTGTGTGACCACTTTCAATAATCTTTCTGCTGCTGTAAATTTGCCCATTGTGGGACAATAAAGGGATTTTCTATTCTATTCTTTAAAAGGGGTAGAAATATATAAGCAAATATCAACAATGTATGTATAAAAAATATATCTGCAAAATCTCTAATATTTAACAACAAAAAATACTTAGTTAAGCTAATTGTGCAAAACAGCAATAAAAATATAAAACTATCAGTTCTATTTCATCCCTACTGACCGCCAGAGGGCGGTGCTGAAAGCACTGAATGTTCCCTTTGGGCATGCGCAGTTCGAATAATTATACCAACAGAGTCACACCTGTGACACCGGATGACCACTCAGAAGCTATATAGCCTGGTGTCATCCTTTGCTCTGCTCCTTTTTTCTTCTCGCAAGCGGTTCTCTAACTTCCCCGTTGTCTGAAGCCCCTGTCTCTTGACTGGAGTTGCGGTTATTCTCTGCCCTCCCAGGGCTGCAACGGGTCGATTCTGAGGATTACGGAAGGTAAGTGAGTTGTTTGCTGGTGATGGTGGCGTCCGCGCCCCCTCTCCCGGCTCACGACTTTAGCTTTTTACCTACAGCTTCGTGCTGTTTTGTTTCGAACTGGTGACAGCAGCATTTTCGCCCCTACTCCCAGTGTGAATAACTTCACTGCCGAAGTTATATACGGCTAACGTAGTTAGCTTCTTTAGTTTGTTGGTGTTATACCTGGTGACGGCAGCGGTTTTCGCCCCCTCTCCCAGTATATTCCCTACTTTTGCATCCTTTTTTTCACCGGTCTGCGCTGCTATAATTACTGACGGCCGCGGTTTTCGCCCCCTCTCCCAACCAAGTGTGGTCTACTTCGTTTGCCGAAGTTGGAGACGGCTAACGTTGTTAGCCTTTTTTGGTTTGTTTGCAGCCTTCTTCATCGGTCTGCTTAGTTATAAATGGTGACGGCAGCGTTTTCGCCCCCCTCTCCCAATATCAACCTTTTTTGCAGCCTTTACGTTGGTCTGCTCTCTTAATTGGTGACGGCAGCGTTTATCGCTCCTACTCCCAACTTAAGTTGCCATACAGCTAACGTTGTTAGCTTTTTTGATTTATTGCTTTTATACCTGGCGACGGTAGCGGTTCTCGCCCCCTCTCCCTGTAACGGCCGCCTTGTGTCCGCAGCCTCTCTTGTTCTATCCGCTATAATTGGTGACGGCAGCGCTGTTCGCTCCTACTCCCAACTTAAGTTTCCATACATCTAACGTTGTTAGCTTTTTTGGTTTATTGGTTTTATACCTGGTGACGGTAGCGGTTCTCGCCCCCTCTCCCGGTATCGGCCGCCTTGTGTCCGCAGCCTCTCTTGTTTTATCCGCTATAATTGGTGACGGCAGCGTTGTTCGCTCCTACTTCCAACTTAAGTTTCCATACAGCTAACGTTGTTAGCTTTTTTGGTTTATTGGTTTTATACCTGGTGACGGTAGCGGTTCTCGCCCCCTCTCCCAGTATCGGCTGCCTTGTGCTCGCAGCCTCTTTCGTTTCTCTGCTGTAATTGGTGACGGCTGCGTTTGCGCCCCCTCTCCCGATTTTCGATAACTTTCTGTTCTTTAAGCCTTGTCGGCCTTCGACATGGATGGCTCTCACAGCTGCATAGATTGTGGGGCTGCCCTGCAGGCAGAGGATGGCCACGACCTGTGCCCTACCTGCCTTGGACATGAGCACCTTTTGGAGGCGCTGTCTGAGAACCCCTGTATGAACTGCAGCTTTATGCCCCATGCAGTGAGGGTGGCCCGGTTGGCCCAGTTGTGCCCCCAGGAGGGCTCGGACCTTCCGCCCTCTGGGCAGGTGGTTCCCCCCAAGCGTTCTAAGCGTCGTGGTGGGACCACAGCATCTGTGCCCCTCCCCCGGAGGAAGCGGGCCAAACCTGACCAGGGCCTGTCCACAAGGGTGGAGCAGTTGTCAGCAGAGCTGGCAGAGATTAAGTCCTTTTTGCAGACACGGCAACCTGATCCCCCGCTCCCAGTGGTTGGGCTCTCTTCCCCACCAATGCCCGAGCTGGTTGTAGAGGATGACGTTATCTCTCTGGCTGCTTCCGCTTCTCATTTTAGAGATGAGGAGGAGGCAGGGTCCTCTCAAGCCTCTGAGGCTGGTTCATTTTCATCTCAGAGTGCGGTTGGAGAGGCCGGTGACGGTTCCATGCGGGAGGTCATGTCTATGGCCCTGAAGCAGCTGCAGCTGGAACTCCCACAAGGAGAGGCATCCAGCTCCGGCAGTGCTTTTTTTCAGACGTGGAAGGGCTCCTATTCCTTTTTCTGTACCTCCATCAGAGGAGTACCTGAAGGAGTTACACGCCTGTTGGCGGGAACCGAGAGCGCTGTCGCGTCTCTCCTCGGATGGTCGTGTATTAGCTGCCATGCATGAGTCGGTGAAGGCCAGCCTGGACTGTATGCCAGCAATTGAACCAGCTGTTGCTTCACTGATTGTGTCACCAGATGAAGCCCTGCGTCCTGATTTCCGGTGCCCGCGGACTCAATGTCGGGTTACAGATGACCTCCTCTGTAAGGCGTACAATGCAGGAGCGCGTGCTGGCCGCCTTGGCAATTCCCTGGCGCACCTCATGTTTGCCCTGTCTGCATCTGTTCAGGACACTGGTGGTGCAAGTGCGGCGGTTGGTTATAGTGACGCAGCGCTGCAGGCCTTCGCGCTGATGACCAGAGAGCTTGGACGGGTCATGTCTTTCCTTGTCCAAGCTCGTAGACAGGTCTGGTTGGCACAGTCTCCTCTGACTGAAGCATGCCGTAGGACCCTCAGGGGTGTCCCGGTTGTACCAGGGGAGCTGTTTGGATCAGCTGCCTTGGAGGCGCTGGAACGGACTGCTCAGGCACGTCAGACTAGCCAGCAGCTTTCCGGCCTTCGCAGGAGCATACCTGCCTTTCCCCAGCGTTCGGGCCGCCCTGCCACTACCCCCAGCGTTCAGCCACGACCTCAGACCGGTGGCAGACCTGTTGGTTCCTATCCCCATGATGTGGGGCAGAGACCGAGGAGGGACTTTCGTGAGCCAGTCTGCCGCCCTGTTAGACAGACCCGGGCCCCAAATCCTGGACGCCCTCCCCCCAGAGCCCCCAGGGGCCGTGGGGATAGAAGATGATGCTACCGGGCCAGCCGTCGGACATTTTTCCCATCAGCAGCTGAATTTCTGGGCTGCTCATGCCGTAGATCCATGGGTGGTTGCCACCTTAACCAATGGCTAAAGGCTCCAGTTCCGACGGCGGCCCCCCCTCTCACACCGGGTCAAGATGACTGTCATCACAGACCCGGTGAAATCTCAGGCACTAGACCAGGAGCTTTCCGCCCTCCTGGGCAAGGGGGCAATCGAGTCTGTAGATCCTCTGCGGCAACCCAGAGGCTACTACTCCACATACTTCCTTGTGGCCAAGAAGACTGGCGGTTTTCGCCCCATTTTAGATCTAAGGGGACTGAATCGGTACCTGAAGGTCCTTCCCTTCCACATGCTCACCATAACAGAGGTCCTTCAGACCATTGTGGCGGGAGATTGGTTTACATCAGTAGATCTGACAGACGCCTACTTTCACGTGCCTATTGCGGCAGAACATCGCCGTTCTCTCAGGTTCGCCTATCGGGGGCGCCATTTGGGCTCTCCCTTTCCCCGAGGGTGTTTACTCGATGCGTGAAAGCAGCCCTCTCTCCTCTACAGGCCTCAGGAGTCAGGATTCTGCCATACCTGGACGATTGGCTTCTTTGTGCTCCCTCTCAGGTAGCTGCCTCTCGGGATACGTCCCAGCTTCTACTTCATGTGTCACTGTTAGGACTCAAAGTCAACTTGGCAAAGAGTTGTCTTGTTCCATCTCAGACAACCACCTTTCTTGGGATGCATCTTGACTCTGCTACCATGATGGCCCGTCCATCTGTTCACAGGGTGGACGACATACTCCAGCTTGTCCGTCGATTCAGACTGGGCAGGGAGTTTCCCTACATCATCTTCCTTCGAATGCTGGGCAAACCGACATCAGTCACTCGTGTCGTGCCCTTAGGGCTGCTCCTTCTGCGTCCTTTGCAGCGATGGCTCAACAGCTTTCGCCTAGACGCCAGGCTGCACAGGCATCGCAGGCTAATGGTGACCAGGAGCTGCCTCCATGCCCTAGCTCCTTGGCGAGACGGGACCCTTTTGTCCAGTGGTGTTCCAATGGGGCTAGTAGTGTGTCGAAGGGAGGTGGTCACCACGGATGCCAGCCTCATGGGCTGGGGTGCCGTGTGGCAACACAGAGCTGTTCTGGGTCTCTGGGACCCAAGGGAGCGCACCGAACACATAAATGTGCTGGAGCTGCGGGCTGTGCACATGGCCCTCAGATGCCTTCTGCCCCACCTAGAGGGAAGGCACGTGCTGATTCGGACAGACAACACCTCTGTTGTTTATCATATAAACCACCAAGGTGGCACCAGGTCAGCACGTCTCTTGAAGGTGTCGAGGGATCTCCTGGAATGGGCATTTCCTCGTCTGTGTACCCTGCGCGCAGCGTATCTGCCAGGACGGCAGAACCAGGTTGCGGACTCTCTATCCCGCCAGGCACCTGCTCCGGGAGAGTGGTCTCTTCACCGCGACGTAGTGCGCATAATCTGGAACCTCTTTGGGCAGGCAGAGGTAGATCTGTTCGCCACAGAGGAGTCGACCCATTGCCCCCTATGGTATTCCCTAACCGGGATGGCGGGCGCACTGGGCCAGGATGCACTGGCTCATCCATGGCCGCAGGTTCTCCTGTATGCCTTTCCACCCCTCTCACTGATTTGGCCGACTCTACGGAGGGTTCTCGAGCAGGGCCACAGAGTGTTGCTGGTAGCTCCGTTCTGGCCAGCGCGGCCGTGGTTCCCGCTGCTTTGGAGTCTGTGTCACGGTACTCCATGGCGTCTTCCAGCAAGGAGGGATCTGCTGTCTCAGTTGGGGGGACAGATATGGCACCCCAACCCTCAACGTCTCCAGCTGTGGGCATGGCCCCTGGGAGGCTGACTGGGTGTTCAGACACCGTGAGACACACCGTATTGAGTGCTAGGGCTTCCTCCACTCAGCTTCAGTATGCTAACACATGGCGCCTCTTTTCTCAGTGGTGCTCTGCCCACAATGAGAACCCGGTTTCTTGCTCGGTGCCCACTATTTTGGAGTTCCTCCAGTCTCTCCTTGATAAGGGCCGCTCTCCTTCGACCCTTAAAGTGTATGTTGCAGCAATTTCATGTCTTCACCGAACTATTGACAACCGTACAGTGGGGCGCCATGAACTGGTTTCACTTTTTCTGCGTGGTGCTCATAGGTTGTGCCAGCGGCCAGCCCCACGAGCCCCAGATTGGGATCTGCCGTTGGTTCTCACAGCTCTGTGCCACCCTCCATTCGAGCCTTTGGCACAAGCAGAAATCAAGTGGCTTTCCTGCAAGACTGCTTTCCTGATGGCTATCGTCTCAGCTAAGAGGGTCAGCGAGCTACATGCTCTTTCTGTCAGCGCTATGTGTATCAGGTGGAATCCAGATGGCTCTGGTGTTACCCTGTGGCCTAATACTGCGTTTGTGCCTAAGGTGTTGTCTCCTTTTCACCGTAACCAGCCATTGCGGCTGGCTCGGTTTCAGCCTCAATCTGGTACAACTGAGAATGAGTCTGAGTTGTTGTGCCCAGTAAGAGCGTTGGAGGCATACATTGCAGCCACCGCCAATCTGAGACGCTCGGACCAGCTTTTCCTATGCTATGGGGGTCCAAGGTTAGGCTGTCCTCTTTCTAAACAGCGTCTGTCCCATTGGATTCCTGGGCTGCTTTGAGAGGGGTTCCGATGGAAGCTATATGTGCTGCTGCTTCATGGGCTTCCCCAACCACCTTCACCAGGTTCTACAGTGTCAATGTGGCTGCCCCTCATCCCCTGTGCTCAGGATTCCTTGTGACATCGTTGGCATTAGTCATTCAGTGCTTTCAGCACCGCCCTCTGGCGGTCAGTAGGGATGAAATAGAACGAAAGTTACGTATGTAACTACGGTTCTATGAATCCCGGATGACCGCCAGAGCTTCTCTGTCACTCAGAATCCTTGCTTTTGCGAGAAGATTCTGTAGGAGCAGAGCAAAGGATGACACCAGGCTATATAGCTTCTGAGTGGTCATCCGGTGTCACAGGTGTGACTCTGTTGGTATAATTACTCGAACTGCGCATGCCCAAAGGGAACATTCAGTGCTTTCAGCACCGCCCTCTGGCGGTCATCCGGGATTCATAGAACCGTAGTTACATACGTAACTTTCGATTTATAGTCCCCCCCCCTGCAGATATATTAGAATCTGTCCTTAAATTCCAGCCAAACCCATTTAATCAGTAACAGATAAAAACCTTTAGATAAACCAAACATTACCGCCACATATCTGACTCTATCACCATTAAAACAACTATTTTCATTCATTTCAGACGGAACTATTCACAGACTGGATTATATTAAACTGAACTTCCAATTTTCACCACTGTTCGGCGCTAAGTAACCTTTCCTCTGATCACGGCTTGCTTGGTCTCGCAATGAATCCTGGGATATCCGGGGACACCGAGGATACATCGGACCCGTCCTTCAAATCGGGCAAAAAGAAGGACGCATTTTAAGGCCGCATAATGAGGACTCTTGGAATCCGACCAGACCTCGGCACCGCGCTATGATGTCATCGTCCTTCGGATCTGGCCTTCTAAGGACGCAGCCCAGGATTTTGAACAGAGCAACAGTCTCCATATGAGAGGTCTTCTATGGCTGAATCTGATCTAATTAATCGTAGAAGTTCTCAGCATGAGCAGCTTTCATTGACCTTAATCCTCCATAGTTCTGGATCTTTGTAGCCGATATCACAGCTGTTTTAGTTCCTCCACACTCTGATGGTTTCTATTACTGGATCTTCTGAAGGTTCCTTTCAATCATTAAAACTAATTTGCTTTCTAAACTGAAGCTTTACCCTCAGATTAGCCTCCTTTGGTGCCTGGATGAACTAAAAACCCCACTAAAAAGAAACTGTAGCTCCACAGGAAAAGGAAGTGATGTCATTACCTCTTGGCTTGGCTGACTTTGGGTTCAGAGCGCGCTGACCCTGTTGGGTTAAAGGCCAGAGGCCATTCCATCAGTGGGTTCCTGCCGTAACGGAACGTATAACGCTCACAGGCCTCCACTCCTGGCAGCTGTAGACAGAGAGGGACAGACGGAGACAGGGACACAGAGATGGACAGACAGGGACACAGACACAGAGATGGAGACAAATAGAGGGACGATTAGAGACAGATGGGGACAAAGTCAGTGTGTTGGTGCTGAAGCGATGGACCTACAGACTCGATGATCCGGGTCACTGCAGACGTGGTTAAACCAAACAAATCTTCTCCTTTCAGGTAAACTGGGAAGAGCTTCAGAGTTCCACTGGAGTCCCTCAGCTGTGCCACTGGTTCCAGTATCTGGGCCCACACAGCTGCACATAGCAGGAAGAGTCAGAGGCCTGAAAAGCAGCTCCTGGTCTGATCCAAGGTCAGCCGTCACTCACCTTTGGGTGAGGATCCCGTCAGGACGACATCTTCGTGGCCTTTCTCCACCACCTTCACCTTGAACAGCGGCCGGCCATCCTGCTCCTCGATGGAACACATGTACTTACAGCGTCTGGAGAGGAAGCGGATCACAGTCAGTGGGCGGGGCCTATCGCCCCATTTCCACTACCCTTTGCATAGATTGGTCCGAGCTCGGTAATAAAGCTAACTGTTGAGTCTAAATGGCACGCAAGCTGAACCGGACCCAACCGAACCACGCTAGCATGGTACTAGTTCCTCAGTAGGGCTCGGGGGGGGGGTTGTGGTGGGGGGGTGTTCAGTTCTGGCCTGGTTCTCACATAACAAAGGTGCATGAGCAGACCACACCATCTCTAAAGTCAGCTTCCAGTAGTTGGCGGTAATGCACATCACTAGGTTGCTTACCAACCGCCACAAAACAGAAGAAGAACTGTAAACAACAACTGTATCCTTCTCAGCACTACATTTTTAAAAATGGCTTCAGAGCGTGGTGCGACCTGGGAGAAAGCTGAGACCGAGGCTCTTATTGCACTTTGAAAAAAGGATCCTATCCAGGCGATGCTGGACGGAACAAAACATAATCGCAAAGTTTCCCTAAAGATTGAAGGTGGGGGGTATGACCGAGACCCGAACAGCGCCAAGAGGAGAAACGTAAAAATCTATACATGAGGTTTTTGACCACAACAGATCAGGGCGAGGAAGCAGTAGTACCGTAGATCGCCACTAGGAGTAGGACTAGGAGTCGAGGAACCGTGCTAGCGTGCTGTGTAAACGGTGGTAAGGAATCGGGTTCGGCGGTAGAGGAAATGGGGTCAGTGTAACCAGACCGATTAGGATGATCCGGTTTCTATAGTTTCCTGAAGCAGGTTTAGGTTTAGGCTGAATAAAGATGCTGGGGGGGGGGCATTGGGGACCCCCCAGTCTCTCCCTCAGCAACCTGGACCTGAAAAATACAAAACAATCAAGGATCACCTGTTGCTGTGGCGCATGCTCCAATAGAAGCGGTTGGCATGGTAACCGACAGGGAAGATGGCCGTCTGGCTGTGGAAGCTCTTCATCTGCTGAGGGAGGAGCCTACCGACGGCTCGGAACAGCAGACTGCCGACCCGGAAGGTGTGCTGCCGCTCCCCTCGCTGGACAATGGCGGCGATCTGCCGTGCCTCGTCTCGCTGCACGAAGACCCGCCGGAACACGGCAAAGCAGCGCAGCTCCGAGTCGTACGGGTCGGCGCTCGCTGCCAGATCGGGGCCGGGTGTGGAGAAGGGGGAGGAGCTAGAGGACCTGTCCCCGCTCAGAGGAAGCATCCTGGGCTTGTGGAGGTGGCAGAGCATGGTCTTATCCTGTAGGACGGAGAGGAGGAGCACTGAGCACCCTCAGGCAGGTTGGACGGCATTGGTGGCGGGATCCGTTGCAGGAACCTTACCTTGAAGAAGGTGCAATGGGCCTGCAGGGCGCAGGTGAAGTGGTAGGTATTGGTGCAGCGCAGCCGGTTGCAGCCAGTGGTGGCCCCGGTGCGGGAGCAGTGGGCACAGCGCAGGGCGAGGCCCCGCCGCAGCGCCAGCTCCACGTTGATCAGGGCACCCGCCTGGGTTTCGTACACTTCGCTGGACCACAGCGCGCAGTTCAGGTGCACCTGAAAACAGCACAGGTCAGTCTTCGGGTTGATGGGCACAGCTACAACCGTGGCAGCAGCACTCACCCACAGATCCAGGTCCAGGTTCAGCAGGCGAGCCGGGCCGTCTGTCAGCCCGTCTCCCTGCTGCTGACAGAAACAGCACCGCCGCTGGTCTTTAGGTAGCGGGTCAGGACGTAAACATACCCCAAACTTCCTTAGGAGCTCATCCACTTCGTCTTCTGTTGGCATGGAAACCGCCTCTTTGGGGACATAGGCACCTCTGAGATAGAGTGGGTATAAGAACAAAGGTCAAAAGGTCAACAGAACCAGGATCCAAAGATCTGACAAGTAGAACATTGAGAGAACTTCCGGTGCTGAAGTTGTAACCTGGAGGAACCAATTAGCTCTCCGGTCCTCTTTCCCTGATCAACATGGCCGCCCATTTCCCTCTCAGACTCTGACCTGCTCAGCGTGATGCTGAAGCTCCAGCGTCGCCAACGAGATGTTCTCATCTTCTTTGAGTTCTGAGCTTCATCCCCCAACACGGTCCGTGGGCGGGGCTTCAGCTTTACTTTAACCTGTCAGCCAATCAGAGACAGGTCAAACAGTGAGCCACCTAGTGGAACAGTTGAACTGGATAAACTGGTTACCAGTCCCACCTTGAGGCTGTCAGAGTGGCACTTCGTCTCCATGGTGATGGCTGAGGCAGGGGGGAAGGCAGGCGGCGGTGAAGAGGAGGAGGATAAATCAGCGGGGGGCAGCGAATGGACGGCGATGGACGACATGTTGTGGGTGTAGTGGTGCGGAGTTCTGCTAGGGGGCACCGGGACTGCGGGCTGAGGACACACAGACACCCAGTTAAAGGTGGGGCGGGGCTGAGGAGAGCGTAAGGAGCCGGGGGTTGGGGGGGCTCACCTTGGATTGGTCAGGACGGTTCAGCTGCTCGTTCCCAAACAGAGCGGAGCAGGTGGGACTGCAGAAGACCAAACTGGACTGGTCTTTGGACTCAGAATCCTGGAAAACACAAACAGTCACTTTCCCACTCCTCCTCTAACCACTGCCCCCCCCCCCACCAAGCCTCACCGGTCTGCGGTGGACTCCGTTTCCCAGCAGCCTCCTACAGCGGCTGCAGCGGCCGGGCTGGTTCCCCGCAGCTGGCGCCGTCCTCTGCTGAAGGGAAGACAGGGAGGGGTCAGAGAGCGCAGCGTGGGGGCGGGGCTGCCTCTGCTTTCACGTGGAAACCACCTGCTCTGTTTCTCCTCCATCAGCTCAGAGCTTCGTTCTTACGCTAATGTCAGATGTTTTGAGGCTCCACCCCCTTTGATTGGAGCTTTTAATGAAATGCTAAATTGATTGATGGGTTCCTGTGAAACTTCTTCAACCAATGAAATTGATTTGATCAATCTGCTCTCCATAATAATGACCATTTCAATCAAACCTGTCGTGTTCTTCCTGGATCTGAGCTCCGCCCCCTACCGCTCCGCCCCGAAAAAAGCTATTTGCTGAGCTCCGCCCCCTACAGCTCCACCCAGAACAAAGCTATTTGCTGAGCTCCGCCCCCTACAGCTCCACCCAGAACAAAGCTATTCGCTGAGCTCCGCCCCTACAGCTCCACCCAGAACAAAGCTGACTGTTGAGCTCCGCCCCCTAGAGCTCCACCCAGAACAAAGCTATTCGCTGAGCTCCGCCCCCTACCGCTCCACCCCGAAAAAAGCTATTCGCTAAGCTCCGCCCCCTACAAAGCTATTTGCTGAGCTCCGCCCCTACAGCTCCACCCAGAACAAAGCTATTCGCTAAGCTCCGCCCCCTACAGCTCCACCCAGAACAAAGCTATTTGCTGAGCTCCGCCCCTACAGCTCCACCCAGAACAAATCTATTCGCTAAGCTCCGCCCCCTACAGCTCCACCCAGAACAAAGCTATTTGCTGAGCTCCGCCCCTACAGCTCCACCCAGAACAAATCTATTCGCTGAGCTCCGCCCCCTACTGCTCCACCCAGAACAAAGCTATTCGCTGGGCTCCGCCCCCTACAGCTCCACCCAGAACAAAGCTACCCGCTGAGCTCCGCCCCCTACAGCTCCACCCAGAACAAAGCTACCCGCTGAGCTCCGCCCCCTACAGCTCCACCCAGAACAAAGCTGCCCGCTGAGCTCCACCCCCTACAGCTCCACCCAGAACAAAGCTGCCCGCTGAGCTCCGCCCCCTACAGCTCCACCCAGCACAAAGCTGTCCGCTGAGCTCCGCCCCCTACTGCTCCACCCAGAACAAAGCTGCTCGCTGAGCTCCGCCCCCTACTGCTCCACCCAGAACAAAGCTATTCGCTGGGCTCCGCCCCCTACCGCTCCGCCCAGAACAAAGCGGCCTGCTGAGCTCCGCCCCCTACAGCTCCACCCAGAACAAAGCTATTCGCTGGGCTCCGCCCCCTACCAACCGCCCACAACAAAGCGTCCTGCTGAGCTCCGCCCCCTACAGCTCCACCCAGAACAATGACTCTTATCAACCATCGCGCAGCTCCTCAGTTTTATTCGGTAGTTAGCATAAAGTCATAAACCTGCATCAGCGGCACGCGGACCCCAGCCAGCAGGGCCAGGGAACTGCGGTCGGCGCCCGGCGCCTGGTTCAGCTGGTAGTTGATGGGGCCAGGGACCCTGAGGAGCGCCGCCACCGCTGCCATCACACCTGGAATGTTCTGTAGACGGTAAACAGACTCGGGTTACATGGAGCCATACTGACCGTTCACACACACATCTGGAGGGAACAGCCGTCTACCTGAGAGGCAGCCGGGTTCAGCGTGATCGCTATGGTAACCAGGTCGGTGTTGGAGCAGGTGGATGGGGCCTGGAGGTGTGGTTCTGCCTTCACCTCTGGTTTCACTGCCAGGCCTGTAGACAGATGGGAGGTCAGCAGCGGAGGGAAACGGAGCAAACAGCTAAGGAGCTTCAGTTGCTAACCTTTGCCCAGAGAGCAGGAAACGACGGGTAATGTAGGCGAGGGGCAGGGGGAGGGCGGCTCCAGCTTGATGAAGGACAGATCAGGGTACCTGCTGACCTCCACGTCCGCCACGCTCTCTGGAGACGACGATGGCACGAACCCCTCAGGACTGCAGCATTCTGGCTCCTGGACCCTGGAACCGCCCACCATTACAATCAGTCCATGTGCGTCCCCAGAGGTATCTGCCCAGTGGGCGGAGCTTACCTGAGATCCTCCTGGTTGTTATGGGGCGGCGTGGGCAGAGACGCAGGGACATCCACGGTTTTTGAGGCGTGGTTCAGATGGAGAGGTTGGTCGTCTTTGCGCTTCGATGCCAACAGACCTGTGAGAGCAAAGGCGTTAGCCGACAGGTGAGCCCTCCAGGATCCTGTCAGACGGAGCACTGGGTTCCTTACCCTCACCGTCCTGCTCCTCCACTGAGGCGAAGCCGTTGACCATCTTCTGCCTGCTGACAGGCGGGGGGGTGGGAGGCAAGGAGGCCGGCGGTGTGGGGGGGTTACTGAGGTTATTCTGCAAGAGGAAGCAGAGACACAGCAGGTGAGAGCGCGCCAGGTGCAGAGCGTCTCAGCGGGGGCGGGGTGGAGGGGTACCTTGTAGATGAGCTGTGAATAAAAGTCGGAGACGCCATCCAAGGCTGCGTTCCCAAAGGAGCCACTGAGACGGGACTCTCTGCCAAGCGAGGAGTTTCCGTAAGGGGGGAAAAGGCTCAGATCCACCCCCAGGATGGGCTCCATGAGGGGCAGCTCCGACAGCTGGGGGGGGGCAGGTCAAAGGTCAGACTGAAGACAGAGTGTAGGAACCCATCGCTCTGAAGGAAGCAGCGCTCTACCTGTCTCAGCTGGGTCATCAGCGGGTCAGAATGCAGGCCCTCCTCCTCCTCCTCCTCCTCCTTCTTCCTCCTCTTGGACCTGGGCGGAGCTCGGTCTTTCTCCGCTCGGTTTGCTCTCTTGCTGCGCTGAATTTTCCTTAGATCAAAACCGTCCTGCAGCGACAAGTGGAGACATCTTAGCACAGCTCCTCCTACTGAGCAGCACAACCCGTAACTACTCACCGCATTGCCATGGTAACCCGCTCCATCCTCCTCCTCAGACCGCAGACCGCCAGCGGACGGCCGGGGAGGCCCGGTAGGAGACGCCATGATGACGGGGGAAGTCTTGTCCCTCAGAAGGTGTCTGAGAAGCTCTTTCCCTCCGTCCTCCCCCTGAGCGGCAGGAGAGGAGCAACCCCTCCCACCGTCCGCGGTCTTCACAGGCCCTCCTCGACAGGACGCCGTCTCCATGTGCTCCACCTGTACAGAGGGACAGGCTGCAGTGAGGCGGAGCTTCCATCAGGCCTCCATCGGTGAGCTGCCTCACTAAACTGGGATTTATTATAGAAGCTCTTTGTGGTGCAACGCATCGTTACCGTTCCCTGATCCACGGTTCAGAACGCGGATCGGCTGCCTGAAATTTACGTGGAGAGCGCCTGTTCAATCTACAGTAAAACGGAGCACTAATCATGGCTGGCAGAGGAGGGAGGAGCCTAAACACCAGCTGCATCCTTTAACTCAGGGATGACCAACAGTCGATCGCGATCCACCAGTCGATCGCGATCTACCAGTCGATCGCGGTCTACCAGTCGATCGAGATCTACCAGTCGATCGCGATTTACCAGTCGATCGAGATCTACCAGTCGATCGTGGGCGGAGTTTCAGTCGATTGCGAGAAGTTTCACAATGTAGACCTATTTATGGCTATGACAAAAAAAGTTTTAAAAACTACTAATCAAATTATGACAAGTGGCAAACGTCTATTTTCATAACTATCCATCCATCCATCCATCCATCTTCCTCCGCTTATCCGGGGTCGGGTTGCGGGGGCAGCAGCTTAAGAAGGGAGGCTCAGACTTCCCTCTCCCAGCCACGTCTTCTAGCCCCTCAGGAGGAACCCCAAGGCGTTCCCAGGCCAGCCGAGAAACATAGTCCCTCCAGCGTGTCCTGGGTCTTCCCCGGGGCCTCCCCAGGTGGGACGTGCCCGGAACACCTCACCAGGGAGGCGTCCAGGAGGCATCCTAAACAGATGCCCAAGCCACCTCAACTGGCTCCTCTCGACGTGGAGAAGAAGCGGCTCTACTCAGAGTCCCTCCTGGATGACCGAGCTTCTCACCCTATCTCTAAGCGAGAGCCCAGCCACCCTACGGAGGAAACCCATTTCGGCTGCTTGTATCCGTGATCTCGTTCTTTCGGTCATGACCCAGAGTTCATGACCATAGATGAGGGTAGGAACGTAGATCGACCGGTAAATCGAGACCTTCGCTTTTTAACTCAGCTCTCTCTTCACCACAACGGACCAGTACAGCGCCCGCTTCACGGCAGACGCTGGACCAATCTGCCTGTCGATCTCCCGCTCCCTTCTTCCCTCATTCGTGAACAAGATCCCAAGATACTTAAACTCCTCCACTTGGGGCAGGACACCCCCCCTGACCCGGAGAAGGCACTCTACCCTTTTCCGGCTCAAGACCATGGCCTCGGATTTGGAGGCACTGATCCCCATCCCGGCCGCTTCACACTCGGCTGCGAACCGATCCAGCGAGAGCTGCAGATCACGACCTGATGAAGCCAAATGGACCACATCATCTGCAAAAAGCAGAGACGCAATCCTAAGGCCACCAAAACGGATCCCCTCAACACCTTGGCTGCTCCTAGAAATTCTGTCCATGAAGGTAATGAACAGAATCGGTGACAAAGGGCAGCCCTGGCGGAGTCCAACTATCACCGGAAACGAGCCCAACTTACTGCCGGCAATGCGGACCAGACTCTGACACCGGTCATACAGGGACCTGACAGCCCGTATCAAAGAGCCCGGCACCCCGTACTCCCAGAGAACCCCCCACAGGGCCCCCCGAGGGACACAGTCGAACGCCTTCTCCAAGTCCACAAAGCACATGTAGACTGGTTGGGCGAACTCCCATGCACCCTCCAGGACCCTGCTGAGGGTGTAGAGCTGGTCCAGCGTTCCACGACCAGGACGGAAACCACACTGCTCTTCCTGAATCTGAGGTTCGACTATCCGACGGACCCTCCTCTCCAGCACCCCCGAATAGACCTTGCCGGGGAGGCTTAAGAGTGTGACTCCCCTGTAATTGGAGCACACCCTCCGGTCCCCCTTTTTGAATAGGGGGACCACCACCCCAGTCTGGCCCCATTGCCATGCAATGTTGAAGAGTCGCGTCAGCCAACACAACCGTACAACATCCAGGACCTTGAGGAACTCCGGGCAGATCTCATCCACCTGCCACCGAGGAGCTTTTTAACCACCTCGGCGACCTCGCCCACAGAGATTGGAGAGCCCAGTCCCGAGTCCCCAGGCCCAGCTTCCTCAATGGAAGGCATGTTGGTGGGATTGAGGAGGTCTTCGAAGTATTCCGCCCACCGACCCACAACGTCCCGAGTCGAGGTCAGCAGCACACCATCCCCACTATAAACAGTGTTGGTGCTGCACCGCTTCCCCTTCCTGAGACGCCGGATGGCGGACCAGAATCGCTTCGGAGCCGTACGGAAGTCTTTCTCCATGGCCTCTCCAAACTCCTCCTACACCCGAGTTTTTGCCTCAGCAACCATCCGAGCCGCATGCCGCTTCGCCCGCCGGTACCCATCAGCTGATTCCGGAGTCCCACAGGTCAAAAAGGCCCGATAGGCCTCCTTCTTCAACCTGACAGCATCCCTCACCGGAGGTGTCCACCAACGGGTTCGAGGGTTTTCATAACTATAAAATGAAAAATAAAAAGTATGCAGGGAACCTTTTTTTCTGCATGCTGATTGCTGGGCATGGTTTGCCACGGTTGCTAGGTTACCAGGGACTCTAAAGCGCGAAGAGGAATCTGCAGAGATAATGAAATCTATCCCAACTGATGGGGCTCCATCTATGTTTGGACGCTCTGCTGGATTGGTTGCTCTCTTCAAGCTGTATGAAACTTTCCAGGATTTTGGATCAACCGCTGCATCATTCAGCAACAGCTGTGCAGCAATATTTTAAATATGAAGCATGTCATGGACGTTGCGATGAAGATCACTTGCTCTGTTCGGGCCAGGAGTTTTCAGAGGCGTTTATTCCGTGCCCAGCTCGAGGAGGCAGGTGCAGACCACCCTGATCTGCTGCTGCACGCCGGCGTCAGGGGGCTGAGCCTTGGCAGATTCTTCCAAATATCTTTGGAACTGTGTTGTTCTTGGATTCTATATAGAACAGACGAGGCGTGTAAACTTGTTCTGTATATTTATTTCCAAACTTCCACAGAACCTTTCAGTAGCGAGCTACATTCAGAACTGCCCTCTCGCTCTAGCCTCCAACCCGTGACGCCACGCGCCCCATTGCATGCTGGGTATTGGGAGTTCAAGAGCTTTCCGGCTCATTACATCACAGGAATTTTTGCCCGAAATTAAAGAAACAGTCACCAACCCATTCTGCTGTCTGTTACATCATCACATCCACATAGTTTGCACTCAGTATTTTCCTATTTTTATCTGTTTTCTTGTTGAATTTTAATCCATCTGCCAGTTTCTCTGCCAACGCCAACGCCCAGTGAAGTTTATCATTCTGAAATAGAGGACTTCCCTTCTCCTTCCTCCTGCTTTCAACTCATCTTAGACTTATGCTGCGTTCACACCGGGGGCAGCTGGCGCGACAGAAGCAGCGAGTTTACATGCAAAGTCAATGGTTGACGCGCGTCAAGGCGCAGCAAAAAGTCCCGCGGCGCGTTTCGAGCAGCAAGCGCAGCGCGTCTGAGCAGCTGAAGCAGCGCGTCGGGCGCGTTTTGGCATCTGACGCGCGTGACGCGCCGCAAACGCGTTGCTGCTCGAGATGGAAAAATTGAATTTTTGCTGCTCGACGCGCCGCGTCAACCAATCAGAGAAGCTGATCTGGGAGCTGGCTGGGAGAGAGACACAGCGCTGATGACACAGACTGCTCTGATCACTTCTCTTAAACAGTTTATTAAAGCATAATTAACTTAAAATATATACATCTGCCGGCAGAATATGTTCGCTTTTATTATTCTGGTGCCTGCAGATCGGATTATTTAGATGAAAAACACCTACCAGCCACCGCGGTAAACCGCGAGGAGGCGACCCGACCAGAGGCTGCTGATGAATGGATTCCTTCTGTCGGCGCACCGCCAGTATGTGGGGGTCTGAGCGGCTCCGACAGAAATAACATTGGGAGGCAGGATTGTAATCTGGATGAACTGACTCCACTGATGAAGTTTTCAGGTGTATTTTCTCACTTAAAAACATATTAAAACTACTTTATTCCCACTGATCACAGCAAATATAGCTGCAAGGCAGAGAAAGGATAGTGAAGCTCCGCCCAACGCGCGTCAGAGCCACTTTTGGACCGCGCAGCGAGAGCAGCAAAGCTGCTTCAGACGCGTGTCAGAATTCACTGGTACAAGCAGCAAAAATGAAGCAGCAGACGCGATTTTGCTGCTTTTGCTGCCCCCGGTGTGAACGCAGCATAAGACTGATTTTATTGGTCTTTTTGTTTACACAAGTGTAAAACAAAAAGGAAATTTAGTTTTGAAAAGCTCTCTGGAAAATTTCATATTTTTTTCAAAGAGCAGTAGTAAAAAAAGTAGTAAAAAAGTAGTAAAAAATTTTTTATATATATATATATATATATATATATATATATATATTAGTGCTGTCAATCGATTAAATTTTTTAATCGCGATTAATCGCATCAATGCCTGAGTTAACTCGCGATTAATCGCATTTTAATCGCACATTTTTTTCCTGATTGAAAATCATTTAAATACTCTCGATGACATACAAAAAAATACATACAGGCTAGGTTTGTGCCAATGTTCTTTTTTTTAAATGAAAACAGGTCACAGATACTGATTTATGCCATAGAAACATATGGCAAGAAGATGGGGAGGCATGTAGCAAAAAATAACAAATATGTAGGCAAAAAAAGGCCCTGAAAACAGGCTGATGTAAAAGACAGTCTTTACAGTTAATACAGTCTTTTGAACAAAGACAAGCATTTTACCCTACTGCTATAAAATTTAGTAGAGTTAACATTAGATGTTAATTAACCAAGGTAATAATGAACAATTTTCAATCAATACATCAAAATCAATAGACCGACATCACTAGATGAAGGTAGTCTATGCTCTAGAAAGTTACTTTTCAGCCTCTTAACAAAAATGAGAACACACACACACCCACCCACCCACACACACACACACGCGATACCGACCTGTTGCGTACACAGACGGCAAGAGTGCTGCTACGAGATTCCATTTCACCTCAGTAATCAGTTTTCTCAGCGTATTTCAGGTTGCTACTAGTTACCAGACACTCAACTTGTTTGTTGGTGGTGGGGCTTTAAGAAAAGGCACTAGCGTCACCCAGTGTATGAGCGTCTTTTTCCCTTGAGGTGCTCCGCTCTTGAAGCCTATGGAAAATGCATACACTGGGAGAAAATAGCCCCGCCTTCCCGCAGGCTGCAGCGGGATGTACTTGGAAAAATTGTACCATAAAACCACATAGCGTTAATCTCACGTTAAAAAAATTGTCGCCGTTAAAATGGCCTCGCGTTAACGCGTTAATAACGCGATAATTTTGACAGCACTAATATATATATATATATATATATATATATATATATATATATATATATATATAAACATATGACTAAATTTACAGTTCTAACGCTTTTTTTTCTCTCTACTGGACTGTGTGTTTATCGATTGGTGTATTTAGATTTTTTGACTGCTCTTTTGTGTAGTTTTTAGTGTCTGATGAGTGAGTGAGTGAGTGAGTGAGTGAGTGGTGAATGAGTGAGTGAGTGAGTGAGTGAGTGAGTGAGTGAGTGAGTGAGTGAGTGAGTGAGTGAGTGAGTGAGTGAATGAGTGGGTGAGTGGTGAATGAGTGAGTGAGTGATATGGTGTGAAGTTCTTATGAGATTGTTAAGTTCTGTTTTTCAACCTATTTTTTGACAGAATTGATCATTTCCTCGTTTGTTGGACTGTTTATTCTCCACCTGTGCAAATAAAAAACAAATACTGCCATCTCTTGTGTTTGATCACGGCATGCCATCAACTTCAAAAGTGATCTTGGTTTAAAAAAGGTTGGGCACCCCTGCTATAATTCCTTTGACTCCGCCCTTCTTTCAATGATGTTGGAGGAAGGGCAGAGCAATGACGGCATGTAGGCGCTGTGACACGAGAAAACTGTATGAGAGTGTAAACACGTCCAGCATGGCAGCCCATCAGCGCCCCTGACAGGATCTCATCACCACGGCGATAAAACGGCTTTTAGCGGAAGAATCAGGGCCTCAGAAAACGAATAACCGCAACAGCAGAACATTTCATCTGCTCCTACTGGACTCTATCACAAAGTATATTATACTGTCATATATATCCCCCATACTCATCATCATCATCATCACTACCAAGATGGACCCAGAACAGAGACTGACCTTGACCTCCAGGCCTCCTACTCCTCTCTGCTGGGATCCAGAGCTCACCAACAGCTGCCTCTCAGACGGAGGGTCCGGGCCCGATGGGGGGGTGTCAGTCTGGTGGGTAGGACTGGAGCAGGACTTATCTGAGGCAGCTGGATTGGGTGGAGCAGTGATGTCAAAGCGAGGTGACAGAGGTGTTCTGGCTCCGCCTGCTTCCTCGGCTCTGCTCGGGTTTCTGCTGCTCTTTGGTTTATGTTCAGGATTGATGTCAGAGCTGAGGGTGATGATGGGGGGGGTGCGAGCAGAGGAAGAAGTCAGCAGCGAGGAAGGATCGTGTCCAAAGAGATGAGAAGTGATCCCTGCTGGATGCTGGTGTCCCAGCAACCTTGGTCTGGACTGGAGGCCTGCTACACTCCCCTCAAGAAGGACCCCTGCAGGGGAGGAAGCTCCGGGCTGCAGGGGTCCCCCAGTGAAGCTCTGAGGGGGGATGGGTCCACCTGCAGCCTCTGGGATCTTATGTAGGAGTCTGGAGGCTGAGGAGGACTGAGGAAAGTCCATTCCAGACTGAGTACTGCGGAACGGTATCTCAGAGACGCTGTCCTCACTGGAGCCTAGTGCCGGTCCAATAGGGACGCGTGTCCCAGGAACACCAGCTGCTGCACATCCAAGCTTGTCCTGATGGTCCATGCTCTGCTGCAGGGTACGCTGGCGCTCCACCTGGGAGGAAACCGACAAAGACGCCATGAAATGACATCAAAGCAAAGATGGCTTTGATGTTTGGTGTCCATTTCTTCTTAGATCAGTCAGAGACTCTGTTCCTCTTTCCAACTAAAAAACAATCAACTTTTAGTGGCAGGGTGAACGTTTAACTGGGGTCGACTCACTAATTGACCATTAACACACCGCACCAATGGCGTCTGATCTAACAAACCCAACGAGCTAAGAGATTGCAAAAAAGTTAGAAAATAATCCACTGGACTGTGTTTCTAAGTTTGAAGACGTTTCTCTTCCATCCAGGAAGCTTTTTCAATTCAAAATGTCAGAAACAGCGTTAAGTTCCAGGTTTTATAGAGCGGACCGATGAAGCCTTGATTTTGTTTAGAAAACATGCAAATTGAACCCAAACAACGGGTCCATCCCTTTGGGAGTCGATTGGGCTAACAAAGTCCAGTGGGTTGTTTTTAAACTTTTTTTGGAATGACTCCAACCTGCATGACTGAGAATCTTTACCATTAAAGAGAATCAAAGGGACAAAAGAAGGAAAAGATAAAGCAGACTTTAAGGTTAGCGGGTCGACACGTGTTTCCGTTGGAAAGAGGCTTATAATGCAAACATGAGATGGTTGAAACATTTAAGGCTGGTTTAGGGACCCAGAATATGCAGAATGTTCAAGCTGCTCAAACAGAAGTGGGCCTGAGAAAAGGCCGAGTGGAACAGTCAGTACGCCCAGTTAACCAGAACCTCCCCCAACCCCCCGTGGTGATGATGAAGATGCTGGTTCACCTCCTGCATCAGCTGAACTCTCTGCCGCTCCTGCTGCTCTCTCAGGCGCTCCCTTCGTTCTCGCTCAAGGAAACCCTCGCTGAACGGGTTGTTGTCATCAAACTTAACCTGCAAGGGAAACAACAGGACTATCGTTGGGCAGGTCACAGGAATAAGACTGGGCAGGTCACTGGACTATCGCTGGGCAGGTCACAGGACTATCGCTGGGCAGGTCACTGAACTATCATTGGGCAGGTTAGTGGACTATCACTGGGCAGGTCACTGGACTATCGCTGGGCAGGTCACTGAACTATCGCTGGGCAGGTCACTGATCTATCGCTGGGCAGGTCACTGGACTATCATTGGGCAGGTTAGTGGACTATCGCTGGGCAGGTCACTGGACTATCGCTGGGCAGGTCACTGAACTATCGCTGGGCAGGTCACTGGACTATCATTGGGCAGGTTAGTGGACTATCACTGGGCAGGTCACTGAACTATCGCTGGGCAGGTCACTGAACTATCGTTGGGCAGGTCACTGAACTCTCACTGGGCAGGTCACAGAAGTAACACTGGGCAGGTCACTGGACTATTGTTGGGCAGGTTAGTGGACTATCGCTGGGCAGGTCACTGAACTACCGCTGGGCAGGTCACTTAACTATCGCTGGGCAGGTCACTGAACTACCGCTGGGCAGGTCACTGAACTACCGCTGGGCAGGTCACTGAAATAACACTGGGCAGGTCACAGAAGTAACACTGGGCAGGTCACTGGACTATCGTTGGGCAGGTCACTGGACTATCGTTGGGCAGGTCACTGGACTATCGTTGGGCAGGTCACTGGACTATCGTTGGGCAGGTCACTGGACTATCGTTGGGCAGGTCACTGGACTGTCGTTGGGCAGGTCACTGGACTGTCGTTGGGCAAATTAGTGGACTATCACTGGGCAGGTCACTGGACTATCACTGGGCAGGTCACTGGACTATCACTGGGCAGGTCACTGGACTATCACTGGGCAGGTCACTGGACTATCGTTGGGCAGGTCACTGGACTATCACTGGGCAGGTTAGTGGACTATCACTAGGAAGGTCAGAGGAGAATCACTCGGCAGGTCACTGGACTATCACTCGGCAGGTCACTGGACTGTCGTTGGGCAGGTCACTGGACTGTCGTTGGGCAGGTCACTGGACTGTCGTTGGGCAAATTAGTGGACTATCACTGGGCAGGTCACTGGACTATCACTGGGCAGGTCACTGGACTATCACTGGGCAGGTTAGTGGACTATCACTAGGAAGGTCAGAGGAGAATCACTCGGCAGGTCACTGGACTATCATTGGGCAGGTCACTGGACTATCGTTGGGCAGGTTAGTGGACTATCACTAGGAAGGTCAGAGGAGAATCACTCGGCAGGTCACTGGACTATCATTGGGCAGGTCACTGGACTATCACTCGGCAGGTCACTGGACTATCACTGGGCAGGTCACTGGACTATCGTTGGGCAGGTTAGTGGACTGTCGTTGGGCAGGTCAGTGGACTGTCACTGGGCAGGTCACTGAACTATCATTGGGCAGGTCACTGGACTATCACTGAGCAGGTTAGTGGACTATCACTAGGAAGGTCAGAGGAGAATCACTCGGCAGGTCACTGGACTATCGTTGGGCAGGTTAGTGGACTATTGTTGGGCAGGTCAGTGGACTGTCACTGGGCAGGTCACTGAACTATCATTGGGCAGGTCACTGGACTATCACTGGGCAGGTTAGTGGACTATCACTAGGAAGGTCAGAGGAGAATCACTCGGCAGGTCACTGGACTATCATTGGGCAGGTCACTGGACTATCACTCGGCAGGTCACTGGACTATCGTTGGGCAGGTTAGTGGACTATCGTTGGGCAGGTCACTGGACTATCGTTGGGCAGGTCAGTGGACTATCACTGGGCAGGTCAGTGGACTATCACTGGGCAGGTCACTGGACTATCGTTGGGCAGGTTAGTGGACTGTCACTGGGCAGGTCACTGAACTATCACTGGGCAGGTCACTGAACTATCACTGGGCAGGTCACTGAACTATCACTGGGCAGGTCACTGAACTATCACTGGGCAGGTCACTGAACTATCACTCGGCAGGTCACTGAACTATCACTGGGCAGGTCACAGGAGTAACACTGGGCAGGTCACTGGACTATCGTTGGGCAGGTCACTGGACTATCATTGGGTAGGTTAGTGGACTATCGCTGGGCAGGTCACTGAACTATCGCTGGGCAGGTCACTGAACTATCGCTGGGCAGGTCACTGAACTATCGCTGGGCAGGTCACTGAACTATCGTTGGGCAGGTCACTGAACTCTCACTGGGCAGGTCACTGGACTATCGTTGGGCAGGTCACTGGACTATCGTTGGGCAGGTTAGTGGACTATCACAAGGCAGGTCACTTAACTATCGCTGGGCATGTTATGGTTAAAAAAGTTGGTTAAATAAAGATTTAATTCGAAGTCTGTGTTTGTGTTCTTTATTAAAATTAAATCATTTAGCAATATTATAAAAAGTCCAGGCAGAGCTGCACATAAAATATGGTTTCAAATCTTTTCAATAATTATCGATATCGATCAATATGCATTTTTTTTTATCGATAACCTTTTTTTCTATATCGCCCAGCCCTAGATGAAGCTAACCCATTACATAGATTACAGGCATGTCTGAAGACATAAAAACCTGGATGACTCTTAACTTTCTGCTTCTCAATGCAGACAAAACAGAAGTTATAGTCTTTGGACCAGAGTCTCTGAAAAAGAAGCTGATCAGTCGTAGTAGTTAAAAGCCTTCAGCTGATCCAAAATGCTGCAGCCAGAGTTCTGATGAAAATGAAAAAGAGAGATCATATCTCTCCTATCCCGGCTTCTCTTCTTTGGCTTCCTGTTAAATCCAGAATAGAATTTAAAATCCTCCTTCTCACATATAAAGCCTTAAATGGCCAAGCTCCATCTGATATCAGAGATCTGATTGTTCCTTATGTTCCTAACAGAGCACTTCGCTCTCAATCTGCAGGTTTACTAGTGGTTCCTAGAATTTCTAAAAGTAGAATGGGAGGCAGATCTTTTAGTTCTCAGGCTCCTCTCCTGTGGAACCAACTACCAGTTTTAGTCCGTGAGGCAGACACCCTGTCTACTTTTAAGGCTAGGCTTAAAACTTTCCTTTCTGATAAAGCTTCTAGTTAGAGTGGCTCAGGTTATCCTGATCTATCTCTATAGTTCTGCTGCTATAGGCTTAGACTGCTGGAGGACATAGGGACCCCTTTTTCATCATTCTGCTTCATTCTATCTCTATTCTCCCACTCTGCAGAATCTGTTAGTTCAATCTCTAACGTTCTGCTCTCTCTGCTTTTTCTCATAGTAGCTTCATCTGGTCTGTTCCTGTTTGGCTGTGACTCCATCCTGGAGAGAAATATCAGCTGTGCTGCTGCCATCAACACCCTTGTTTCTAGATGTTGGAGCTTGGCCTGTTTTCCAGTGTAGTCCTGTTTCTCTGACTGTGACTAACTGGATGTGCTCTCTTCATCCTCTGACATGGGAGCTGGCTCGGAGCTCGTCTGCCTGGCTGTGTGTTTCCTGGACGGGGCCGCCTGTGGAGCTGGTTGACAGTTGCCTTTTGTATCTATGCTTCTTTTTCTATGTCTGCTTCTGTCTCCTTGAACCCCAGTGGGCCTCAGCAGATGGCCGCTCACACTGAGCCTGGTTCTGCTGGAGGTTTCTTCCTGTTCAAAGGGAGTTTTTCCTCTCCACTGTCGCTACAAGCATGCTTAGTGTGAGGGATTGCTGAAGAGTCAATGAGTCGATGCAATCAGCTGGTTTTCCTTAGATAGAAAACTTTGAATCAATCTGACTGGATGATCTGGTGAACTGGAAAGTGACCTGAGATGACATGATGTGAATTGGAGCTATAGAAATAAATGAAATTTGGAACTAAGTCCAGTGGATTGTTTTTAATTTTCCTTTTTTGGAAGGACTCTGACCTGGATGACTGAATCTTCACCAGCAAACTGAACTGACTTTCTACCCTAAAGGTCCCTTTTCATGGTTCAGATCCATGACTTCTCTCTGCCTTAACTCAGCTTTAAACAGTTGGTTACCTGAGGTTTGGGTGTGGCTTTGTCCCCCGAAGCTGCTCCTGGCCCCCCCAGAGGGCCCTGGGGCCCTGCAGCAAAGCCCGCCACTGGTGCTATGAGGACAGGCCTGTTGGATGGAGGGGTTTGGTTGAGTGGGGGACCCAAGGGGATGGTGAGCAGGGTGGATGGAATCTGTGGAGGCATCCTCTGACCCATGGGCCCTGGAGGAACAGAACTTGGACTACAGCCAGGTGGGATGTTTGGAAGGTGGCCAGGGTGGGGCGGGCCCGGCTGGAATTTTGGGGGGCCCACAGGTTCACCTAGTGTGTTTTTGGGAGGCATCTCCAGGATCCTTTGCTGATTTTTAGTCCTGTAGTCATCGATCAACTCAGTGTGATCCTTCTGCTGCTTCCGGATCTGAAGAGAACCAAACGACAAGGAGTCGAATCTCTGAGTCCAACCAAGTTACACATCAGACTAGTCCCACGGTAGCCTAGAGTAGAAACCTGCATACCTGTTCCAGCTGTTTCTGGACCGATCCCTGCTGTTCGCTGATGTAGCGTAGCTGAGCAGCATCCTCTTCAGCAAACACCCGGCCTGTCTTCTTGGCTGTTCGCTGCTTGGCTGATAAAGCCTTCTTAGCCTTGCGATGAGCTGCGATCTGGTCTTCAAGGAGCCGCTGCTGCATCTGCAGGAGCTGCTGAGTCTCGCCAAGCCATTCCTCATATTGTTGCCTTTGAGACTCATCTAAAAAGGCAGAATTTGGAAATCAAAAGGTTTAAGGTCTTGAGTATTAAGTCAAACTTGCAGGTTTTATATCTTTAATCTTATGTCAACTAACCAACAGTGATTTGGTGGAGCGCATTTAAAACATAAAGGTTCTCTAAACAGGAAAGAAATGGTCTAAAATCTATGCAAACGCACAACTTTCTAACCTCTGCATCTAAGGGAGAACATGATCCAGATGTTTTAGCGTCTGCAGCGGCCAGGGCTAACGTTAGCCCACCTGCAGCGGCCAGGGCTAACGTTAGTCCGTCTGCAGCGGCCAGGGCTAACTTTAGCCCGTCTGCAGCGGCCAGGGCTAACGCTAGCCCGCCTGCAGCGGCCAGGGCTAACGCTAGCCCGCCTGCAGCGGCCAGGGCTGGTGCAGGTCCTTGGTTTGCCTTTCCGGCTGTCTGTATGGTCGTTCTGATTTGGTGTCGGGGGCGCCATTTTTAAAAACCGAGGAACAACTAGAATGGACAACTATGAGGAACGGTTAATTGAGGAGGTTTGAAAGTACGACTGCCTGTAAGATGCTTCAGACAAACTATATAAAGATGCCAAGATCTCTGCTAAAACAAAGTTCTCCTGAGTTCTCCAATAGGCTCCTCCTTCCGCCTTGGTGGGAAACTGCTGCGCGTCGCTAGAAACTCCAGACAGACGATGCAGAAACCGTCTGGATCGCGACCAGAAGGAAACGACATTTAATGGTTGCAGATCCAGAAGTCTAATCTCCCTAATTATCGGACCGGCTGCTGCGGTTCTGATGCTCCCTATCGGACCGGCTGCTGCGGTTCTGATCTCCCTAATTATCGGACCGGCTGCTGCGGTTCTGATGGTCCCTATCGGACCGGCTGCTGCGGTTCTGATCTCCCTAATTATCGGACCGGCTGCTGCGGTTCTGATGGTCCCTATCGGACCGGCTGCTGCGGTTCTGATCTCCCTAATTATCGGACCGGCTGCTGCGGTTCTGATGGTCCCTATCGGACCGGCTGCTGCGGTTCTGATCTCCCTAATTATCGGACCGGCTGCTGCGGTTCTGATGCTCCCTATCGGACCGGCTGCTGCGGTTCTGATCTCCCTAATTATCGGACTGGCTGCTGCGGTTCTGATGGTCCCTAATTATCGGACCGGCTGCTGCGGTTCTGATGCTCCCTATCGGACCGGCTGCTGCGGTTCTGATGCTCCCTATCGGACCGGCTGCTGCGGTTCTGATGCTCACTGATGAAGCCGGGTCCAAAGCTGGGGGGGTTGCGTCGCACCAGCTGAGGGTTCTTCTTCCCGTCCTGAAACAGAAACAGGAGCTTTATTGTTGAGGGAAGAATCCGGGTTCTGCGGGTCGGTAGCGGAAGCTGCCTACCTGTCCTGCTTGGAGGGGAGACGGAGAAGGTAACTCGGGGCCCGGGGCCCCTGGGGTCTGCTGCAACCTGTTCAAATAGAACATAAAGAGTCCAGAACAGATATGGAACCAGAAGGTTGAAAGGAAAAGGTGGGTACCTGTTGATGACCATGGGGGTCAGGCCCAGGGTCCCCTGACTCATCACCCGGTTGATTCCTTTCAGAGCCTGCATCTTGGCCTTCATGATCGGGTCAGAGACCGACTCCAAATCTGAACAACACAGAACCAGAAGTCTGTAGCGCCTGGAACCAAACTACCCAACTGAAAGTTCTGTTTGGGTTCTGAGTCAGATCAGGATGTTCTGGTTTAAAGCATCCAGGCCTGATGGGGTTCTGGTCTTACCCACGGAGAACCCGGCCTCCGGTCCAGGTCTCTGGCGGATCAAGGCCTGCATCTGTTTCTGCTGCTGCTGCTCCTGCCGCTCCTGGTCCAGCAGGTCCTGCAGAAGCAGCGGCTGCTCCTCCAGCAGCAGAGGCCTGGACTTGTTCTGGTTATCAGGAAAGCTGGTTACGCTCCCAGTCTGGGTTTCACTGGTTGGATGAAGAGTTTGGTTCTGGGGGGTTGGAAGGAGCGGAGGCTGCGGAGCCACGGTGGGCGGAGCCTGAGAAGCTGGACCCCCAAGAACTGGGCACTGAGTCCTGGAAATTGGTCCGGTTCCAAGCAGTCTCTGGTGCTGATGGAAGACAGATGGCTGTCCTGGAGACGGACGGGGACATGGACTCATCATCATCATCATCAAGTACCCTTCGTCATCCTGTGCAGCAGATGTTCTGGGCTTACCTGGAGACATCAAGCGATGAACGGAGGACAGAACCTGCTCCTGCGGTCGGACTGCTGGACCAGAACCGGAGCCCGCCTGCTTCTCCTGCAGAGAGATGCAGTTCAGCATAAACAGCAGCTCTGATTGGTCCACGTGATCGGCCTCATCAGAGACAACGATGAGGCCGCCTACAGGGAGGAGGTGGACCGTCTGGCTGAGTGGTGCGACTCAAACAACCTGCAGCTGAACACAGAGAAGACCAAGGAGCTCATCGTGGACTTCAGGAAGAACGCTGACCCACACCCACCCATCCACATCAAGGGGACGGCGGTGGAGCGTGTGGACAGCTTCAAGTTCCTGGGTGTCCACATCTCTGAGGACCTGACCTGGACGACCAGCTGCTCCAAACTCATCAAGAAGGCCCACCAGCGCCTCTTCTTCATGAGGACCCTGCGGAAGAACTATCTGTCCACAGAGATCCTCACAAACTTCTACCGCTGCACCATCGAGAGCATCCTCACCAACTGTATCACAGTTTGGTATGGGAACTGCTCTGCCTCGGACCGGAAGGCGCTGCAGAGGGTGGCGAAAACCGCCCAGCGCATCGCCGGGGCACCGCTTCCTGCCATCCAGGACATCTACAGGAAGCGGTGTCTGAAAAGGGCCGGGAAAATCAGCAAGGACCCCACTCACCCTGCACACAGACTATTCTCTCTCCTGCCCTCTGGGAGGCGTTACAGAAGCATACGGACTAAAACCACCAGGCACCGGAACAGCTTCTTCCCCACAGCTGTCACGCTTCTGAACGCCTCATGACACGAACTATAAGGACTGTACTCCCATCCCCCTACACAACAATAACCATGGACGATCCTCACACATACCACAAACTGCTTCCTCACACGCATTCACAATCCGTGTATATAATATGTCAACTTGTACCATACATTATAACCCCACTAATATATATATTTATATGATCCAGGTAACATCTCTGTATAGTTGAATACATGTATATAGTGTCTATATTCATTTACAGCCTCAATCACTGTTTATACATACATTTTATAGTCTATTTATACATACCCTCTGTACACTTGTAAATGCATATTTATATCCTGTATAGCACTTCTGGATAGATGCTAACTGCATTTCGTTGCTTGTACTTGTGACAGTGCAATGACAATAAAGTTGAATTCTATTCTATTCTATTCTATGATGCAGCAGCCAATCACCTACCTTCATGGGAGGAGGTGATGATGATGATGGAGGTCTGCTAGAAGCTGCGGCATTTCCTTCAGTCTGCTTCGCTTCCCTCACCTCTTGTTTCACCTGGGCGGCGCCATCCACCTTCCCGCCGCAGCGTCCCGGTTCCCTGTCCTCCGCCGGCTCCCCTAGGTCCAGCTCCTCATTGAACATGTCCTTCTTGTCCTCCAGGTTGAGCTCTGGGTCAGCGTAGGCAATCAGGTCGAACTTCCCCGTTAGCAGGAAGTCATCCAGATGCAGGTCTAGATCTTCTTTACCTAGAGCAGAACCACACAGACAGAGGTTCTGTAAAAAGCGTGCAGGACACATGGAACCGGTTCTGGTTCTGGGCTCATACCATCCTCTGGGTCCAGGTTCAGATTCAAGTCCACAAGGTCCTTCACTTCTACGTCCTCTAGGTCCTTCACGGCTGAATCCAGGTGTTCCTCTATCGGATCAGAACCAGGGAGAGCACCCAGGTGATGCTGGTCCAGCTGGCCCAGTCCAGTCTCCCCAGTCCTGACCAGCCCGGGCTGCACTGCGGCGGACTGGGCAGTCGCCTGCTGTTGCTCTGGGGTCGGCGGTACCGGAAAGGGCAGCCTAAGACGGTTTTCTGGGGCGCGGTGCCGGAGCTCTATGTAGGGCATGGCGCCGCCTGGATCAGAGATGAGGACCAAGATGGGACATGAACTGAGAGCCTTCAGAACCCGGAACAGTTCTAGTTGAGTCAGCAGTTCTGACCTGGAACCAGCTGCGAGGCCGTGTTGGGAGGCACCATGGGCCCAGTCCTCCTGAACTCTGCTGCAACAGGTCTCCTCATCTGGACCACTGGAGCCGCTCCAGGCGGACGCCCTGAGGGGTCAGTAAGGCCCACTGGAGGAACGCCAAACCTGGAAAGAACCACAAGCTGTGAAACCAACAGTTCCAAGGGACGCCATCGCTCTCTGTTCAGTTTGGGATCATCTTCACCTCACAGCGTGATCTCTAAGGGGGTTCTGTCTGTGGAAGGGGGACTCGCTGGGGGGGAGCCCAGTAAACCTTGGGGCAGGAGGCGGCCCTGTGCCGGGGTAAGGCGGGGGAGGACGTCCAAATGGGTCTGCAGGCGGTGCGGAGGACCAGCTGTGAAGAGGAGTATCAGGACCGGGGGGACCAGGTGGACCGGGGGGACCGGGGGCCCGTGCCAGCTGATCTTTCTCCTGCTGCAGAGCAAACTTCTGGTGCTGCTGCTGAAGGATCCGCTGACGGAGCCACAGACGCTGGACGGGAGAAGCAGAGATGAAGGTGAATGATCCTCAGAAGGAGGAAGAAGAGGAAGAGGATGATGAAGACGTCTGTCTTACATGTCGCTGCTTCTCCTCAGAGTCTCCCAGCTGGGGCAGCATGCTCAAGACTCCGTCCACGGGGGACAGCTCGCTGGTCCTGGACTTCTCCATCTGTGGAAGGACGTCCTGGAAGGCCCTGTCTCCAGGTGTTCCAGGATGCTTCAGGTTCTGAGTGCTGCTGGTTCTGGGAAATGATTCCTGAAAAGAGAACGAGAACCGGAGAGGTTCTGTTTAATCTGAACTCAGACAGGGGACCGGAACCGCTTTGACATTTGGATCTGAGCCCTCAGATCTAGAACCAAGGAAAGGCTGGTGCTGACCCCCAGGATGCCCTGCTTTAGGGTAAGCCCTGACCAACCTAATTTGGTTAGGGCTTACCCTAACCCCTGGATAACTTGCAATGAATCCTGGGATATTTAAGGCTACGTAGGATTCAGCTGCATCTTCATTGGCTTCCTGTTAAATCCAGAATAGAATTTAAAATCCTCCTTCTCACATATAAAGCCTTAAATGGCCAAGCTCCATCTGATATCAGAGATCTGATTGTTCCTTATGTTCCTAACAGAGCACTTCGCTCTCAATCTGCAGGTTTACTAGTGGTTCCTAGAATTTCTAAAAGTAGAATGGGAGGCAGATCTTTTAGTTCTCAGGCTCCTCTCCTGTGGAACCAACTACCAGTTTTAGTCCGTGAGGCAGACACCCTGTCTACTTTTAAGGCTAGACTTAAAACTTTCCTTTTTGATAAAGCTTCTAGTTAGATTGGCTCAGGTTATCCTGATCTATCTCTATAGTTCTGCTGCTATAGGCTTAGACTGCTGGAGGACATAGGGACCCCTTTTTCATCATTCTATCTCTATTCTCACAGGTTTCTTCCTGTTCAAAGGGAGTTTTTCCTCTCCACTGTCGCTACAAGCATGCTTAGTGTGAGGGATTGCTGAAGAGTCAATGAGTCGATGCAATCAGCTGGTTTTCCTTAGATAGAAAACTTTGAATCAATCTGACTGGATGATCTGGTGAACTGGAAAGTGACCCGAGATGACATGATGTGAATTGGAGCTATAGAAATAAACTGAATAGAATTGAAATGTCGGCCGCAAACTGAGGAGTCTTCCTGTCCGAACAGACCTCGGCGCCGCGCTATGACGTTATCAGTCTAGGAATGTTGGGAGGACGCAGCGCTGGATTCAAACTTAGCACTACGTTAGAGGTCCCGCCGCTCCACTGCGTCCTTAGTTCCAATAGATTTGATTTACCCACATCTGTTTGCCTGCAGTCTGCAGGGACTGGGTGGACAGACGTCCCTGAATGTGTGGGAAGCTTCAGAATTAGAGGAGTCTAAGCTAGAAGCCGTAGGACTTTGGAGCAAGGTGCCGATATGCTAACAGCTGCTGAACAGGACAGGAAAGCATCCGGGCTGAATGTTAGAAAGACGACAACACAGAGGAGTCAGAGACTCTCTGGTTCTCCATGTTGTTACCTTGGGTCCTGCAGCGCTGAAGGTTCCCAGCGCCGCCATGAGTCCGGCTCCAACAGGGGCCGACTCAGACGCCGCAGCCTGGGCCTTAGGTGGCCGAGGGGCTGAAGGCTGCTGAAGAGGTGTCCCTGCAGGCTGGGAGGAGTCAAAGCCTCGCTGAGGGCCTGGGGACGGCGGGAATCGCTCCAAGGGGCGGGGGGTTCCTGGGGCAGAGGCATAGGGGTCCAGCGGTTGGCAGGATGGGGAGGGGTGCTGGCTTATCTGGTCCGGTCTCAGTGCAGGTGGAGTGGTGAGGTATCCGAAGTCAGAGTGGGGGTGAGGTGTACTGGGGGTCTCTCTGTTAGGGTCGGGGGAGGGTCTGGAACTCAGAGGGGACTTGGGGGGAAGGGGGTCGCTGGGCTGTATGGGGGTCCCAGGGGTCTGGGCGTAGGGACTACGATGGGGGGAGCCAAGGCTCGATGCCGGACTGGACGGTAAAGGGGGGTCCAGGTTGGGGGGGAAGCCCAGGTCTCTCCTTCCTCCTCCCAGATCTTGCTGTCGGGGCATGGGGGCTTTAAACAGCGCTCCCGGGACTGCCAGGCTGGTCCACTTGAAGGGCTCTGCGGCCCGGTTCTGTCTGCCAGTCAAATCAGGGGGGGAGCAGGAGGCCGGGCTCATCACCCCCATCCTGCTCTGCAAACCTGGAGGAGGAACACAGAGGAGACGTGAGTAGAGGAGCAAGATACCAGAGAATGGAGGGAAAAACAGGGACAGGAACCTACCTGGGTTGGAGGAGTCTGGGGACGGAGCGGAGGAGCCGGAGGCATCGTGGGCGGGGGACACGCTGAGGAGGCTGAGCCGCTGCTGCTGAGTAAGAGGAGGAACTGAGGGGCGAGGAGGACCTGCTGCTTTGGAAAAGGAGTCCCAGGGAGAGGAGGGGCGGGAGGAAGGGGGGGAGAACATCTGGGGGGAGGACGGAGGCTGGTGCAAGGGGGAGGAGGCCAAGGGGGAGTGGGGCAGGGAGGAGAATCCAGAGGGGGGTGGGACCTGAGGCCTGAGGAAGACATCATTCACCCCCCCTGACCCGGCTTCCTGCAGGAGCTGTTGGTGGCTTGACGACGGCTGCAGGGGCGAGATGTCGCCGCTGGCAACCGGTTGCTGGGCGGGACCTTCTGGGGAAAGGTGTCCCGACTGACGGAGCTGCTGCTGCCGCTGCTCGTTCTTCACCTGCTCCAACTTCTGGGTGGCCTCCATCTTGGCCAGTTGCTTGCTCTTCTGACGCATGATCTGAGAGAAGCAAAAATCAAGAGGCCGACCGATCACAGGCGATGACATCATCAAGCTCCTCCCTCTGCCGGCACAGGTGCTGGTTCCATAGGCGGGTTTTAACCCGTCACCTCTCACCTGTCGCAGCTTCCACTCCTGCTCCTGCTCAGACTCTCTGGGCCTCAACGGGTCTTTGAAGACAGCCTCCGTCTCCATGGGAACCTGGTCATGGAGGCCCAGGGGCGGCGGCTGGGAGGGCTGCAGCCGCTTCAGCGAGTCGTTGGACAGCTGCACCTTGTTCATTCGCTGAGCGGCACGGTTGTCCCGAGCTTTTTGCTGCAGGCCAAGAAGTTAAAGATGAGGAGTGAGATCCAGACTGGGCCTGGATGAAGATGAGGAGTACTCACCACGAAGGGCGCTCTATCCTGAGAGCTGGCCTTCCTCCACAACTTGGTGATCTGCTTTACCCTGGTGGACCAGTCTGAGGGACAGACAGAGACAGAGCTGTTAGGGCGGACATCAAGTCAGAAGACGTCTGGACAGATTGGACCAGATGTCCTTTGGTCTGACATGTCCAGATGTTCTCTGTAGAACCAACTCAGGATGCAGCTACAGCTCAGAACAGGTCAAGATTCGGCCAAAAGTCCTTTATTACATCAAAGTCTGGGCTTTGACTAGGCCGTTCTAGCCAATGAACTATTGATGGTTGTTCTTCTGCTGGAAGGTGGACCTCCGGCTAAGTCTCAGGTCTACTGAAGCTTCTATCAGGTTCTCCCCAGCATGGTCTAGATTTATCTCCATTCAGCTTTAAATCAGGATAATCTAATAAAAATAACTCCAATTGGGTAAATAGTTTAAACCAGGAAGCAGAGTCCTAGTTTAACAGACATCTCTGCAGCTTCTCTACTGTTACCCACTCTTTACTCCATCCAGACAGTGTCTTGCCCACGACCAAAATCTAATAAATTAGCAAAGATTCCCAAAGGAGTAAATCATGATAATCTAATTAAAATCAAAATAACTCCAATTGGGGAAAAAGTTAAAACAATTAAATGTGGTCTGTTTACCATAAGATATCTTTCCTCTAAAAGTCTGCTAGTTAATGACTTGATTTGTGATAATCACATTGACTTGTGTTGCCTTACAGAAACCTGGCTGCAGCAAGAGGATTATGTGAGCATAAATGAGGCAACTCCTTCAAGCTATTTAAATTTTCACATCCCAAGAAGTTCTGGGCGAGGAGGAGGAGTAGCAACAATCTTCCAGTCTGACTTACTGATTACTCCCAAAACAGTTAATACCTACAACTCTTTGATCATTTAACCCTTAATTTCCCTGATCCAAATTTCAAGGCAAGAAAACCTCTTCTTTTTGTAACTTTGTATCGTCCACCAGGTCCTTACTCTGAATGTTTAGATGAGTTTTCAGAGTTCCTTTCTGATTTGGTATTAAATACTGACAGGGTCATCATAGTGGGAGAGTTTAACATCCATGCTGACATTGAAGGCGATAGCTTAAGAGCAGCCTTTAATGCTATCTTAGACACTGTTGGCTTTGTTCAAAATGTGAATAGTCCCACGCATTATCATCTTCATACTTTGGATCTTGTGCTGACATACGGCATAGAATGTGAAGAAATAACAGTATTTCCTCACAACCCTGTCCTCTCTGACCACTTTCTAATAACCTTCAGGATTACTTTAACAGAGTTCTCCTCCCCCAAAAGAAGGTTCCATTTTAGTAGATCTTTATCAGATAGTGCAGTTATACATTTTAAAGAATCTGCTTCACTTTCTCTCTCCTCTGTGTCGCTGAGCAGTGCTGCAGAGTGCAAAAGCATAGCTTATTCCCCTTCACAGGTTGATGATTTTGTTGATGGGGGTTGCTAGTTCTCTGCGTATTGCCTTAGACAACACAGCTCCTTTGAAAAAATGAAAACCGTTAAAATTGAAAGCTTGCTCCTTGGTTTAATGCAGAGCTGCGTACTTTGAAGCAAAATGCTAGGAAACTGGAGAGAAAATATCGCTCCACAGGCCTGCGGGAGTCCTTCCTAGTCTGGAAAAATAGTTTACTGCTGTATAAGAGGACCCTTTGTAAAGCAAGAGCAGCATACTTTCCTCATTAATAGAGGAGAATAAGAATAACCCTAGATTTCTTTTTAATACAGTTGCCAAACTCACCCAGAGCCATAGCTCTGTTGAACCGTCCATTCCACCTGCTCTTAGCAGCAATGATTTTATGGGATTCTTTATAAATAAGATTGATCTTATTAAAAATAAGATCATAAGCACTCCTCTATCCGTGACTGTACCTGAGGTAGTCATGGAATCTGAACCGGGTTTAGACTGCTTTGATCCAATTGAACTTTCTGAATTAGCAAAATTATTGTCTTCATCTAAGCCTTCAACTTGTATGTTAGATCCAGTTCCAACCAGGTTATTTAAGGAGGTATTCCCTTTGATCTCCTCCTCCATTTTAGATGTTATTAATCTATCTCTGTTGCAGGGATATGTACCTAAAGCTTTTAAGGTTGCTGGAATTAAACCTCTGCTTAAGAAACCGTCTCTTGACCCAGATGACTTGGTCAATTATAGACCTATATCCAATCTTCCTTTCTTATCTAAAATTCTTGAGAAAGTAGTTGCCAAACAAGTTTGCGATCACTTCCACCATGATGAACTTTTTGAAGAGTTTCAGTCTGGCTTTAGAGCTCATCATAGCACTGAAACAGCTCTGGTGAAAGTCACTAATGATATTCTCATGGCCTCAGATAATGGACTTGTATCTGTGCTCGTCCTGTTGGATCTCACACTGCATGAAAAGTGGGATTTTCGTCAATATGCGGCACTGTAGATTGTCGTGGAACTTCAGGTTAGCGGCAGTTTCCGGCAATTTGCAGGCTTCGCTGAAAACTCCCGTAAATTGTCAGAAATTGACGTGGACTTTCTTAGGCAGTGTTCCCCCCATGCCTCCCCCCCATGAAATTCTAGGGGAGGCTTTAACATGTAAATGAACATGCTGTGAGCTATACAAATGCAAATCAGGGTTGCAGGGGGAGTTTTACCCAAGTGACATTTTTCTAAAAGGTAAGAAAATCTCTGATACAAAGAGATCAGGCTCAGTATAGCCTCTTACATTTTAGCTTGAATTGATTTATTTAATTAAAGTATAGAGGCCAAAACAGATCTTTAGCTGACAGAGCAATACATTTAGAGCAGTAATTATTTATTTTTTTAAATTTGCATTTAAGAGAAAAAATAAAAGGTTGTCTGTCAATATGCTCAATTCACAATTACTTAAGTGGAAAAGTTTCAAGAAATGAGTCTGAGATTATTCACTTTATAACATGGCGCATTATCCTGTTGGAAGTAGCCATCAGAAGATTGGTACACTGTGGTCATAAGGTCCGGCCAGGTCACTGGACTATCATTTGGCAGGTCACTGGACTATCGTTGGGCAGGTTAGTGGACTATCACTGGGCAGGTCACTGGACTATCACTGGGCAGGTCACTGGACTATCAATGGGCAGGTCACTGGAGAATCACTCGGCAGGTCACTGGAGAATCACTCGGCAGGTCACTGGACTATCACTGGGCACGTCACTGGACTATCACTGGGCAGGTCACTGGACTATCATTGGGCAGGTCACTGGACTATCATTGGGCAGGTCCCTGGAGAATCACTTGGCAGGTCCCTGGACTATCACTGGGCAGGTCACTGGACTATCACTGGGCAGGTCACTGGACTATCACTGGGCAGGTCACTGGAGAATCACTCGGCAGGTCACTGGACTATCACTGGGCACGTCCCTGGACTATCATTGGGCACGTCCCTGGACTATCATTGGGCAGGTCACTGGACTATCACTGGGCAGGTCAATGGACTATCACTGGGAAGGTCACTGGACTATCATTGGGCAGGTCACTGGACTATCATTGGGCAGGTCACTGGACTATCATTGGGCAGGTCACTGGACTATCACTGGGAAGGTCACTGGACTATCATTGGGCAGGTCACTGGACTATCACTGGGCAGGTCACTGGACTATCACTGCGAAGGTCACTGGACTATCATTGGGCAGGTCCCTGGACTATCACTGGGAAGGTCACTGGACTATCATTGGGCAGGTCACTGGACTATCATTGGGCAGGTCACTGGACTATCATTGGGCAGGTCACTGGACTATCATTGGGCAGGTCACTGGACTATCATTGGGCAGGTCACTGGACTATCATTGGGCAGGTCACTGGACTATCATTGGGCAGGTCACTGGAGAATCACTCGGCAGGTCCCTGGACTATCATTGGGAATGTGAAGAAATAACAGTATTTCCTCACAACCCTGTCCTTTCTCATCTTCATACTTTGGATCTCAGTGCTGACATACGGCATAGAATGTGAAGAAATAACAGGATTTCCTCCCAACACTGTCCTCCACTGTTATGCTGATGATACCCAGCTATATCTGTCTATAATCCAGATGAAGCTAACCCATTACATAGATTACAGGCATGTCTGAAGACAGAAAAACCTGGATGACTCTTAACTTTCTGCTTCTGAATGCAGACAAAACAGAAGTTATAGTCTTTGGACCAGAGTCTCTGAAAAAGAAGCTGATTAGCCAGTCACTTCATTTGGATGGGATTAAAATGATTTCAGATAATAAAGTAAAAAATCTTGGTGTTATTTTTGATCAGGACCGGTCATTTAAATCCCAGATCAAAGAGGTTTCTAGAATTTCCTTCTTTCATCTGAGGAATATTGCAGAAATGAGCAATCTCCTGTCCAGGGGTGATGCTGAGAAACTAGTCCATGCATTTGTTACTTCAAGGCTGGACTATTGTAATTCTTTACTATCAGGAAGTCCACAAACTGTAGTTAAAAGCCTTCCACACGGCAGGGCTGCAGTCTATCACCAACACTATTTGCAATCTATATTGAACCACTGGCACAGAAGTTAAACATAAGGATCTTATGGGCATTAATATACATAATGAACTTAATAAAATAGGCTTGTTCACAGATGATGTAATTTGCTATTTACAAACCCGGGAAAATTCACTGCCTTGTCTGATCAAACAGAGATATTTGGCTTCTACTCAGGATATAAATTAAATTTGAAAAATACACATTTAGTTATTCGTCATTAGAAAAGATTCGTAGACAATATAATTTAAACTGGAACTCTGCTATGATGACATAGCAAGGAGTACATTTAACAAAAAATATGGATGACTTATATAAACCTAACTTTATTAGAGTGGACCAAGAAATTAAACTGGACATTAGAAGGTGAGACGCTCTAACACTAGATTTTAGTTCTAGAATCGAAACCGTTAAAATAAAGGTATTACCAAGGTTATTATACCTCTTCATGGCATTACCTATAAAAATTACGGACGGAAGGTTTAAAACTCGGAAAAGGATTATATCCCGATTCATATGGAACGCGAAAAAACGCAGAATAAGATGTTTAACTTTACAGTTACCAAAACAGAAAGGAGGTATGGTACTGCGGGATCTTTGAGAATATTACCAGGCTGCCCAAATAACTCCTGTAATAAAGATAAGTGACATAAACTGCAAGGAAAAATGGAAAAATATTGAACAAAAAGTCCAATGAAGAGAAGAGAATCATTGGAGATACAGAGACCACCAAGAATTGAGAAAGTTTATATTACCAGTTTGACTCTGGGCAAATGGAAACTAGCAAAACTATCGAGTTTGATTCAGTGGCCAGCCGACAACAAATACTTTACAACGACCTAAGATGTAAACAATGGACAGAAAGAGGTTTAACAGCGTTATTTGTAGTCCTTAAAGGTGGGTACTTTAAAAGTTTCAAGGAACTACAATGAGAATTTGCCCTTTTAGAAAATCTACAATTAAGTGACTTCTTTAACAAAGAGATAAAACACAGAGTAGACCAAAAGGAAAACATATAGAACAGTGTCCTTAATTTATAAATATCTGTTGGAAAATAGAGGCTGTAACTCTAGATATTAAAACAAAGTGGGAAAAGAATTGGGAATTCAGAAAAAGGAAGACGATTGGTTGAATATCTGCAGGACCAAAACTATGACTCCTTTTTCAGAATTCTGAGAGAACATAATCAGATTCTTTATAACACCTAAATTATCAGTAAATTTAAATAGTTCAACCATGTTGCAGAAATTGTGGAACATCTGATGTTAACATGCACATATTTTCTGTTCTAAAATCACTCGGTTCTGGAACGAAATACTCAGAAAGATTAAATATTAGGAATCACATCATATCTGGCCTTTGGAAAACATTGTTCTTAATGTTATTTGTTTTAAATTCAGTCAGTGGCTGCCAACAGGTAATAACCAGGAAGTGGGGCCAAACAGGTAATAACCAGGAAGTGGGGCCAAACAGGTAATAACCAGGAAGTGGAGCCAAACAGGTAATAACCAGGAAGTGGGGCCAAACAGATAAAAACCAGGAAGTGGGGCCAAACAGGTAATAACCAGGAAGTGGGGCCAATCCGCGCCCCCCCCCCCCCGTGGAGAAGCTTCACGTCGACGCTAGAGGACCTACCTGGGTTATGAAGGACGCCTTTGATCTTTGGGACGTTGGAATAAGAGTTTCCCCCTAATATGTTTCATTTGTTTTATTGGTTCTATTTCTTCTTTTGTTTTTACTGCATTTTTTGTTCATATTCTAAAAAGCTCAGTAAAAATAAAGTTATAAAAAAAGGAAAAAGGAACCAAAGCAGGAGAGAGTGTGTGTGTGTGTGTGTGTGTGGGGGGGGGTGTGTGGGGGGGGGGTTGTACCGGGAAACTGCTGCTTCAGTTCAGGGAAGTTGGTGTTGCAGTACAGAACCGGCGCCACGGTCGCCATCTCTCCAAGGACCTCCTCCTTCTCCCACTTCAGCGTGCTCCTCTGAGCCGTGGACATCGCATCCTGCTCGCCCTCCCCCACTGGCAGCTGACTGCCTGGGGCAGATGCTCCCTCTGAGGGAGGCGGTCTGAAGCCCGGGATACAGGTTCCACCAGGGGGGCGGGGAGGAGCAGCGGGCATCAGACCGTTCATCATGGGCAGACGAGGACAGCCCGTAGCTGCTGGGACAGAGCACAGAGGTCACCTGGGGTCACCTGGGGTCACTGGCCCACAGGTCTGGGTACTGGGAGCCGGGGGGTACCAGGAGCCGGGGTTTACCTGAGCTTGCGGTCTTGCTGGGTTCTGGCCGGTTGTTACTGCTACTTGGACTCAGAACTGCAGTGAAGATCTCCTCCACATCCTTTCCCTCCAGCTCTGCTCACACAGACAGACAGACAGACAGATTGATGACAGACTGATGACAGCAGAGCCCGGGGGGGTGGGGGGTGGGGTCTTACCTGGGATGTTACAGAGTCTGCTGAGGATTCCTCCTGAAACAGAAACATCATCAGATGGTTCCTCACCCTCAGTCTGCTCCAAGTCCTCTACACTCACCATCTGTGACCATCTTATCGAGCTCAGGACTCAGGATGGCGTCCAGAGGCTCGTCCTGTGCCGCTCTCCGACCAAGGCCACAACCATCCGGGGGGTAAGAGGACAGGGTGGGGTCACTGGCCACTGAGCTGATGTCCAGACCCGCTGGGAGACAGACAGGACAACATGGACGAGTTAGACAGGAAGAGGGAGGAGATGGGCAGATAGGAGGGAAGGAGGAGGAGAAGGTCTATGGGTGGGTTAGGAGGAAAGCAGCTGATAAGTTCCCAGAACTGAGCTAGAGGAGGAGGAGGAGGACCAGCCTTACCAAACGGAGATGGAGAACGCTCCACCTGGAACTGACCTGGATTTAAACACACACAGTTAGGTCAGACCAGCTAACCCCCCCCCACACACACACACACACACAAACACACCAGTGATGATGATGATGGTACCTGTGTGTCCAGTTTCCAGAATGTGAGGGTCTCTATTCAGGATGTCAGAAAGATCCACCAGAGCCTCAGATGACATGGCTGAATAGTGACACACACACACACACACACACACACCTGATCATGTGACCATGGATGTTCTGCCACTGCTTCAACTGGAACCACAATGGTTCTGCTTTTATCAGTAGATTCACATGCTAAAGGTCTCCCGCAGTTCCACTGTAAAACCAGCAGAGGGCATCGGTACACGTCATCTGATTGGAGCTAAAGACTCAGAAACAACCAATCAGATCCCGGCGTTCTCCGTCAGGGTCACACCCTATCAGCAACGCTGTTACAGGAAGGTGGTCCGTTACAAAGAACCCACCCACCATCCATCCATCCATCCATCCTCCCACCCATCCATCCTCCCACCCATCCATCCATCCATCAACCATCCATCCATCAATCATCCATCCATCAATCATCCATCCATCCATCCATCCACCCACCATCCATCCATCCATCCATCCATCCTCCCATCCATCCACCCATCCATCCATCCATCATCCATGCCGTCATCATTCCACACTCTCATCCATCCATCATCCATCCATCAATCCATCCATCCATCCATCCATCCATCCATCCTCCCATCCATCCACCCATCCATCCATCCATCATCCATCCGTCCATCCATCCACCCATCCATCCATCCATCATCCATCCATCAATCATCCATCCATCCATCAATCATCCATCCATCCATCCATCAATCATCCATCCATCCATCCATCCACCATCCATCCATCCATCATTCATCCATCCATCCATCCACCCATCCATCCATCCACCCATCCATCCACCGACCATCCATCCATCCCTCCATCCTCCCATCCATCCATCCATCATCCATCCATCCATCCATCCTCCCATCCATCCATCATTCATCCATCCATCCATCCATCCATCATTCATCCATCCATCCATCAATCCATCATTCATCCATCCATCCTCCCATCCATCCATCCATCATTCATCCATCCATCCATCCATCCATCCATCCATCCATCATCCATCCATCAATCATCCACCCATCCATCCATCCATCCATCCATCAATCATCCATCCATCAATCATCCATCCATCCACCCACCATCCATCCATCCATCCATCCATCCTCCCATCCATCCATCCATCCACCCATCCATCCATCATCCATCCATCCATCCACCCATCCATCCATCCATCATTCATCCATCCATCCATCCTCCCATCCATCCACCCATCCATCCATCCATCCATCATCCATCCATCCATCCATCCATCCATCCATCCATCCACCCATCCATCATTCATCCACCCATCCATCCATCATTCATCCATCCATCCATCATTCATCCATCCATCATTCATCCATCCTCCCATCCATCCATCATTCATCCATCCTCCCATCCATCCATCCATCCTCCCATCCATCCATCCATCCATCCATCCATCCATCCATCCATCATTCATCCATCCATCCATCAATCATCCATCCATCCATCCATCCATCCATCCATCAATCATCCATCCATCCATCATTCATCCATCCATCCATCCTCCCATCCATCCATCATTCATCCATCCATCCTCCCATCCATCCATCATTCATCCATCCATCCTCCCATCCATCCATCATTCATCCATCCATCCTCCCATCCATCCATCCATCCATCATCCATCCATCCATCCATCATTCATCCATCCATCCTCCCATCCATCCATCCATCCATCATCCATCCATCCATCCATCCATCCATCATTCATCCATCCATCCTCCCATCCATCCATCATTCATCCATCCATCCATCCATCATCCATCCATCCATCCATCATCCATCCTCCCACCCATCCATCCATCCATCCATCATCCATCCATCCTCCCACCCATCCATCCATCCATCCATCCATCCATCATCCATCCACCCATCCATCCATGGTTTCCTTGGGTAGAAACATAACCAATCTGTGTGGATGATCTAGGTGATCTGTCTCTAGATTTCTAGGTTCCCATCAGATGACGTGTTCCAACTAGCTGCTATAGAAAATCAAATGGAACCGAAACAGGAAGGAATAATTAAGCTGAGCTCAAAAGGTTCAAAGAAAACTCAAACTTACGCAGCCGTTTCCTGCTGGTTGCCATGGTGCCCAAAAGCAGCATAGTGGGGGTAGGACCTGGGACGCTGTGGGTGGGTGGGGCTTTAGGGTCAGTCACTGCTAAACCTGATTGGCTGCTGCCTGTGACTGCTCTCCGCGGGCTCCCATCCACCTGTCGGCTGCGGTCAAGGAGATCGCGGCCAAAGAAAGCCTCCTGGACAGAGAGGCAGAGGACCAATGGGAGCGCTGGACTCTAGAGGGAGGCGGAGCTTAAAGTGGGAATGACAGCGTTACCTGTAGGTACGACGGGAATGACTCCTCCAGCTTTGTCTTCTTCTTCCTGTATCTTTTCTTTACTTTTTCCATTGCCTGTTCAGCTGCAGACATGGTCTCCATGGCAACATCAGTCTCCAACACACCTGAGAGGTAACCAAGGATAAGGCTGTGATATCCACTATTGGAAAGGTTATAGTTACTTCTCCCTTAGAGTAACTCAGTGGTCAGTTAGTTTTAGGATCTAAAATGCTGGAATGATGAATTTGGAAAACGTTGCTTTTTGATATTAATCAATGCGAAAAGCTTTGATTTATTCACCAAGTTACGCCTTCATTTCATGAGGAAACTGCAGCAGAATCCCTGCAATGTTTGCAGCAGTCAGTGGTGAGATCAGGCGTTTCATTTTTTCAGTAACGCCATCATTGAATCGGCGGCTCTCCTTTATTATAAACCGCCGTAGATGTTCTGATATCAGCATAGAAACACTTCATCCTATCTAGAAATAAGTTCTATGCTCTTTTCTACAATGGAAGCAACGTTGTTTTAGAGCAGTGAAAAATTTTCCTGCTGCTCTGATAAAACCCAGTCAGTCCAGTAATCAGTGAACATTATTGGTCAATAGTTACTCAAATTAACGGTTAGAAGCTGAAATTAGAAGCTGGCTGTTTTCTTTAGTCCGCCAGACTAACAGACACCAGTTCCAAGTCTGACAGAGACTGAAAGGCTGTCTTACCAGTATCTCGACTCGGCATCATGTCTGATGAATCCTTCCTGCCCAGTCCGGCTTTACCTCCACGCTGCCGCACCATAAAGCCTCCGATACCTGAGGACGAGACGGGAGGGAGTCAGGAGGACAAGGTGTGGGCAGGGGAGCTGAGAGGGGTCAAACTGCTCCATGCTTGCCTATTTTATTACTGTTTTTACCTTCTTACTGCTTTGCCAAAGGTACAGAAAATCGGCTAAAACTAAACTTCAAGGATTCTCTTGTCAGACTACTTTTGAATCATTTTCATGTTATTTTGATCCCACTGAAGAGAAGCACCAGTCAACATCAGCACCAGATGCCTCCCATCTCCACAACGGACCACGACTCGCTTCTACGAAAAGATGTCGTGGAAATGAAAACTAACCAACGAGAAGTCATGGAAATATTACGACCCTGCCGGTGTCTCAACACACTCAGATATGACAATAACCAGACCAGGACCTGGGAAAATCCTGGAGCAAAGAACAAACAATCCAACCCAGACCTGGAAAGATGTCTGACCAGGCCAAAGCCACATTTAGATCATAAAACCCGGCAGACTTCAAAGAATCATCTTTTATTTCAAACAAAAAAAACAAGAAAAACAGAAACGGTGGATGTTGACTGAAGCATCTGAAATCTCAAAGAGGATCCCGCAGACCACAGCTTGGAGACCTGAATGATGTTAGTGAGAAGAAGTCAGGAAAATTAAAGGAGACCAGATTAGCCGCTTAACGAGACACAGAGCGTTTAACGGTGGGATTTCCTTCAGCAGGAACATCCGTTTCACACCTGAATAAATCAGTTGGCTTTTTGATAACTCTTCTGGGAAAAGAAACTCCTCTTTAATAAGAGTAAATTCTATTCTATTCAGTTTAGTTCTATAGCTCCAATTTACATCATGTCATCTCAGGTCACTTTATAGAGATTCAACCCCACGTGTGATTTTTCTGCTCTCTGATTTAAAGTTCCCTACCGACACACAGACGTCCCTGTTCTTCAGGTGGGATTTAAACCAGAAGCATAGACCCAGTTTTCCAGAAGCTGTAATAAAATCCAGTGATCAACAGAAACAAACGTTGGATTGAGGTCCAATAATTTCAGCACTGTGGTTCTTCCTTTCTTTCCCCAGCCTTCTATTGCCATTCCACTGCCACGGGTACGGAGCACCATAACTCCCTCTCTGCATTAAACCCCTCCCCTTGGGGAGCAGGGTGGAGTTAAGGGTCTTGCTCAGGTACCCAGAGTGGCAGTCTGTGGGAGTTGAACTCAGAACCTCTTTGGAGAGCGAGATCATCTGTGGTAGCAGCTCTAGACATCTTCCAGGCATGAGAGGAAAACTAGCAGCAGTTCAGCTACAGGATGGATGAACGGTAGCCGGCGCACGCTGATGATGTCATTCACGCGCCGCTTCGTTTTTAAACCATAAATATAATATATATGGGGGCCAGTGATTGGCCTCCATGTTCTGAATGCTGGCGTACCATAAAGAATAAATGATGAACAGTTTAGTTTGTGCCTTCAAGTCGTTGCCCATAGGAAGACGTTACTGGATATAACCTAACGGAATATCTTCAGAACGGCTCCAAATAACACTAAACTCATCTGGGAGAGTAGAACATGATGGAATAAAAGGAAAATCAAGGACCTGATGGAAAAAACGGCGTTCCCCTTTAACACCAGCTGCTTTGATGTATTCCAGTCAGGTTTCCATGACCAGCCCAGTACAGACTGCCCTGATGGTTAGTGATATCTGCATGAACTGTGTCCGATCGTCCGCTGAATGTCACATGATCCCTGCTTTTCGCTCCCAGTTGGTCATGTGACTCCACCCCTCCCTGCACAGCGCCATCTTTGTTAGTCACCGCTGGCGGGTAGCAACAGCCTATGTCGACAGCGGGCTGCTGTGACAATAAATCCTATAATGCTTTGTGAGGAGAGCTCTCTGAGCAAAGCATTCTGGGATATATCTGCTCATCTAGTGACAATGAATGATCACTACTTCCCAAGGAGCATTGTGGGAAATTTCAACTGCTTGTTCATCCATCAAGCCATCATCTACAATGGTGTAAGCACTGAATGGTGCCCTATCTAGTGGTTAGGGCTCAGACTCTGGAAGAGCTGATATTATTGGACCAGCGTTTGATTCTGTTGATCACCGGGTTTAATTAGAGCCTCTGGAAAACTGAGCAGGTCTTTGTAGTTCAACACTGGACTGGTTTAAATCCCACCTGAAGGACAGGGACTTTTATGTGCCAGTAGGGAACTTTAAATCAAAGAGCAGAAAAATCACATGTGGGGTTCCTCAAGGCTCCATTCTGGGGCCCCTCCTATCCTATTTTTTCCCCCACCTGGCCGATAAGGTTTCCTCTTCCTCTTCTTGCCATCTTCAGTGATATCAGTCTCCTTTGTGATGTCATCGAGATGAGCCTGATCCCGCTCTGGGCTGGAGTCAGACTTCAAGTCACAGTCCAAGTCACCTGAAAGGAAACGTGCTGTCATGGTCACGCACTGGGCCAATCTAGGGTTAGTATAAATACATGTAACAAAGCATGCAGAACTGACCCACTAACAGGCACACAGGGGTTGTGTTTGTACAATGAGCATAGGAGCAGGCCCAGGAACTCAGCAGGACACTAGCAGATTGTCAGGAGGTGCAAACCTCTGATGATAGAGTTTGGAAATGCAGATCTATCTCACACGCTAAAATGTTCGCAATTATCTTGGCCTTAAAAGAGACTGATCGTCTTTGGACTGTCAGAAATACCCGCAGCAGCTGAAGGACCAAAAATCCACAACATTTTGGGTTCAACGCCTTTATGTTGGGGGGGGGGGGGGGGTGTAACCCCCATAGAGCCTGGAAATGGGAGGGGCCAAGGCTTCTCAATCTGAGAGTCTACCGAGAAAGGAGCAGCCATTTTGTGACATCATAAGTTAAGATACGCCCACTGTAGTCAAACCCTCCCCTTTGGTCACATGATCAGGTAGTTTTCAGCCTGTTGCCCCCCCACTCCAGACCACATGGTAGGGGACCTCCATCTTGATCTGCCTTGTTGCCTTTGCATCACGGCCCCCTCCCCCGTTTTATCTAACTAGCTAAGCTGAATGAGCGTTACTGAGGCGCTACGATGCTACGTTGCTAACGCCTTTGTAAGGTAATCTTGACAGGTTGAATGAAGTTACGTTGTTCTAACAGTATTTATCTTTGCTTTTGTATTTGCTGCCATTTTGAAAGGACATTAATGAATATATTGACCTTGGTTCTCGCCTGAATAGCCTTCATAGGCGACCTCCTCTTAGAACCTTGTTCTGTATTTCTTTCATAACTAGTCACTTAGTTTACCTCCTGTTTACCTCCAGTTGTTTGTGCTTCATGCAACAAATGGCTGATCATTCAGGCCAGATCCACCCTCCTTTTGGTGACAGTTGATTAAACATAAACAGTTCTTTGATTGATAATCAATAGCTCTGCTGATAGCCTGGCCTGAGTCACATTGGTGGGAATAACTGGATTTGAACAGCCGGTCCAGAAGCCACCTGGATGTGAAAGGCCTGAAATCCTGGTAAGTGAGCAGATTGGAGTTATAGTTATTCACCTAAGAACGATTTTACCTCCGCTTCTGCATAAGTTCATCATTTATTCATAATCTACAGGTCATATTATTGGCTGTCCTTCGCTGTTCAGGAAGCAGTGGAGTCATTTCTGTGATGAACTTTAAGCCACACCTTAAAACGCCCCAGCAGACAGATAGCTGCCCACACAGCGCCCCCCGGTTCTGTTCAGACTCCTCAGCCCAGAGCGATTTACCTTGGTTCTGGTCTGGTTTGGTGGGAGTCTCTGGGTCTGTTGGGGTTTGCAGGACAGAGACGCTGTTCTGGTTGATAATCCGTAACTTCAGCTTGGGTTTACACCTGCAGGACGTGGAAAGAGAAAAGTTCTGAGAACACCTCCCCTGATCTTGGTCGCCAGGCAGAATGTGGACCGGGCCTCACCGGCGGTATTTTCGCGGTGATGTCAGAGGCTCAACCAGGGCCTGCAGGTGGGTGAGCCCGCGCTCCGTGAGGCAGACTCCGTCCTGAGTATAAGTCTTCAAATCTACAGAAACAGAGCGGTCAAATGAGGCTGCAGGACTTCCTGTGAAACTGAGCGGTGGAACGCGGTGGTACAGACCCATTTCTCTGCTTCTGGAGACAATCTGTGCCACGAAGGGACCCGAACTCTCAGACATGGCTGTAAGAAGCAAAAAGATCAATCATTCCCTCCCAGAAAGCCCAGCTAACATGTCAGCTCAGACACAGCTTCAAAGGAGGCAGACCGGCGGGGGGGCGTCCAGGGTCCCGGCACAGCGAGCACTCGAAGCCTTCGTCAGCAGCCAGAACCACCTCCTCCTCCGAGGCCAGGCCCTGGCACACAGCATGGACCCACCTGCAGACCAGGACACCGTGAGACGCCATACGGGGCGGGGCCCTGCGGCGGCAAGGTGGAGCGGGCTTTACCTGTCGCACTGAGAGCACTGCAGGACAAGCTGGTCGTGGACGTAGCACTGCTGACAGACTGGACACTGGCTGAGGCTGCCACAGGGGCCACACAGGCTGTAGTTGTTCAACCAATCACATCGCAGGCCAGGGGAGGTGGAGCCACACTGAACGCACCACACACACCTGGAGACAGAGGACACACAATCAGCTGGGCTGGACGGTCGGCCACGGAGGACAGTGGCTCCACCCACCACTTGCACTTCCAGGAGCCTTTGGGCACCATGAGGAGGGGCGGGTCCAGGCAGTAGGTGTGGTAGCTGATGTCACAGTCGTCACACAGCAGCAGACGGGCGGGGTCACAGGCATCGCCGCACGCTTCACACACCGTGCACTCTAGACAGCGCCACCCTTTGGTGAGGACCACCCGGGTAATCTGGTGACACAGGAAGCAGAGCGGTTAACCGGACCAGAACCCAAACCCGGAGGGAGCATCGGCGTCTAGCGACGGCCACCTTAACGTTGACGCAGTAGGGATGGTAACACTGGCCGCACTGGGAGCAGGCCAGCAGGCGTCCTTCGGCCCCCTGCCCGAAGCTGCCGCACACAACGCACATGTCCTGCAGAGACACAGAGACGCAGCTGAGACGGCGTCCTAGGACAGCACCCGGCTCCCGGGTCCGCCTCCGTACCTGTTTGAGGGTGAAATGGTCCGAGGTGGAGAACATCACCACCGTGTTGTGCATGGAGTTCTCCTCCTCCTCCTTCATCTGAAACGTTTCCATGGAGACGCCCTTAGACAAGCACAGCAGGGAGACGCGTCATACCACCGTGTCCTACCCACACCCGTTACCATGGTGACACAGCTCCGCCTGTGTTCTTACCCCGGGGGCCACAGGAGGACCGTCTTGGGTCTTGGGCCGACTCCTTCCTCTCCCTCCTCTTCCTCCACCAACACCTCCTCCTCTGGACCTCCTCCTGCTTGGAAATCCAGAACCGCGACCCTGAGAAGGACAGGTGGACAGAAACCACAGCCAAGTTGTTCATCAGCAGGCGTTACCATGGATACCATGGAAGATATGCAGTAGCCTGAAGATCCTTTTACAACCAGGTGTTAGAGCCAGCAGGGGGCGCTATAGACCCAGCTGGCTCTGAGCTAATGACGCAGCCCCGTTCTGAGCGCACTAGTTCATTCCGTCTGTTGATCAGCAACCAACGTGTTTCCAGGAGAACCGCCATCAACGGGGAGAACATGGAGAAGGAAAGGAGGCGCCAACTGGACCTGAATCCACAGAAGTACCATCAACAGCCAGAGGCTGAAATCTCCAATGACTCCATCTGGTGAAAACTTTCCGTCAGCAGCTGTGACCCGGATGCTCAACCAGTCCAACCAGCAGACTGAGCAGGTCCTGTTCACCATGGATGGCTCATTATGGTCTGCAGTGATGGAGCTCAACTAATATTACAATTTCTACATTTTCCTTTAAACGTTAACTATAACTAAGCTGCACTTTTTATCTTTGAGTCTCTGATGTCTATCAAGACGTCCCGCCTGTGACAGCATGGCAGCTCCATCGCCATGGTTACAGGATATGCGGCGCACGTCTTTCAGGTATCTAAACCTGTTGGCAAAGGGGGCTGATGTCAGGGTGAAGAGTGCTGCGGTTAGCTCAGAGGAACCGGGCTGCTACTCAAGGTTCAACCCAACGCCGTCACAGAGTCTCCTTTCTAACCTGACCCGACCGTTCCTTTCTAACCTGACCCGGCCGTTCCTCTCTACCCTGACCCGGCCGTTCCTCTCTAACCTGACCCGGCCGTTCCTCTCTAACCTGACCCGGCCGTTCCTCTCTACCCTGACCCGGCCGTTCCTCTCTAACCTGACCCGGCCGCTCCTCTCTAACCTGACCCGGCCGTTCCTCTCTACCCTGACCCGGCCGTTCCTCTCTAACCTGACCCGGCCGCTCCTCTCTAACCTGACCCGGCCGTTCCTCTCTAACCTGACCCGGCCGTTCCTCTCTAACCTGACCCGGCCGTTCCTCTCTAACCTGACCCGGCCGTTCCTCTCTAACCTGACCCGGCCGTTCCTCTCTAACCTGACCCGGCCGTTCCTCTCTACCCTGACCCGGCCGTTCCTCTCTACCCTGACCCGGCCGTTCCTCTCTACCCTGACCCGGCCGTTCCTCTCTAACCTGACCCGGCCGTTCCTCTCTAACCTGACCCGGCCGTTCCTCTCTACCCTGACCCGACCGTTCCTCTCTAACCTGACCCGGCCGTTCCTCTCTAACCTGACCCGACCGCTCCTCTCTAACCTGACCCGGCCGTTCCTCTCTAACCTGACCCGGCCGTTCCTCTCTAACCTGACCCGGCCGTTCCTCTCTAACCTGACCCGACCGCTCCTCTCTAACCTGACCCGACCGTTCCTCTCTACCCTGACCCGGCCGTTCCTCTCTACCCTGACCCGGCCGTTCCTCTCTAACCTGACCCGACCGTTCCTCTCTACCCTGACCCGGCCGTTCCTCTCTACCCTGACCCGGCCGTTCCTCTCTACCCTGACCCGGCCGTTCCTCTCTAACCTGACCCGGCCGTTCCTTTCTAACCTGACCCGGCCGTTACTCTCTAACCTGACCCGGCCGTTCCTCTCTACCCTGACCCGGCCGTTCCTCTCTAACCTGACCCGGCCGTTCCTCTCTACCCTGACCCGGCCGTTCCTCTGCTAACCTGACCCGGCCGTTCCTCTCTACCCTGACCCGGCCGTTCCTCTCTAACCTGACCCGGCCGTTCCTCTCTACCCTGACCCGGCCGTTCCTCTCTAACCTGACCCGGCCGTTCCTCTCTACCCTGACCCGGCCGCTCCTTTCTAACCTGACCCGGCCGTTCCTCTCTACCCTGACCCGACCGTTCCTCTCTACCCTGACCCGGCCGTTCCTCTCTACCCTGACCCGGCCGTTCCTCTCTAACCTGACCCGGCCGTTCCTCTCTAACCTGACCCGGCCGTTCCTTTCTAACCTGACCCGGCCGTTACTCTCTAACCTGACCCGGCCGTTCCTCTCTAACCTGACCCGGCCGTTCCTCTCTAACCTGACCCGGCCGTTCCTTGCTAACCTGACTCGGCCGTTCCTTTCTAACCTGACCCGGCCGTTCCTCTCTAATCTGACCCGGCCGTTCCTCTCTAATCTGACCCGACCGTTCCTTTCTAACCTGACCCGGCCGTTCCTTTCTAACCTGACCCGGCCGTTCCTTTCTAACCTGACCCGGCCGTTCCTTTCTAACCTGACCCGGCCGTTCCTCTCTAATATGACCCGACCGTTCCTTTCTAACCTGACCCGGCCGTTCCTTTCTAACCTGACCCGGCCGTTCCTTTCTAACCTGACCCGGCCGTTCCTTTCTAACCTGACCCGGCCGTTCCTTTCTAACTCAGAGTACACTTGTTCTGTCTGCATGGATGGCTTCAGGTGTGCTCATTTTCAGTTTCCTTTGTATGCTACTGTCTTTCAATGTTGGGGTGCACTTATTTACCACTTTCATGCTCCAGAGGGGAGAGTCTGGTGGATGAGGTTTAGGGCTATTCCAATCTCCCTCCCCCATGGAGTCCTGGGAAGATGAGTGAGGGCTCAGCACCCTTCGACTGCTCCACGACGAACCCTGAGTAATGCCACAGGAGGAGGAAGATCGAGGAGAAGAGGAGAGGAAGGAGGAGGGGAAGGCAGCAACATAGGTGGTGCAACAGCCACAAAAAATTAAAAACAGAAAAGATCAACTTAAAACCACATAAGAAAACGTCACTATGACAACCACATGCAGCTCAACTAGAAAATCATTCAGAAAGTTTGAACAGCGTCATGCCATAACAACATGCTACAGGCGTGAGTAAAGCTACATGCTGCAGGTCCAATTCATGAAGTTCTGATCCACAATTAAAGGAACAGCTCTAGACTGGTTTAAATCTGATCTATCTGATCAATTTCAGTTTGTTCATGTTAATGACAGATCTTCAACATGCTCAAAGGTTACCTGTGGAGTACCACAGGGATCAGTCCTAGGACCAATTCTCTTTACTTTATACATGCTCCCAATCGGTAGAATTATTAGACAGCATGGGATTAATTTCCACTGTTATGCTGATGATACCCAGCTATATCTGTCTATAATCCAGATGAAGCTAACCCATTACATAGATTACAGGCATGTCTGAAGACATAAAAACCTGGATGACTCTTAACTTTCTGCTTCTGAATGCAGACAAAACAGAAGTTATAGTCTTTGGACCAGAGTCTCTGAAAAAGAAACTGATTAGCCAGTCACTTCATTTGGATGGGATTAAACTGATTTCAGATAATAAAGTAAAAAATCTTGGTGTTATTTTTGATCAGGACCTGTCATTTAAATCCCATATCAAAGAGGTTTCTAGAATTTCCTTCTTTCATCTGAGGAATATTGCAGAAATGAGCAATCTCCTGTCCAGGGGTGATGCTGAGAAACTAGTCCATGCATTTGTTACTTCAAGGCTGGACTATTGTAATTCTTTACTATCAGGAAGTCCACAAACTGTAGTTAAAAGCCTTCAGCTGATCCAAAATGCTGCAGCCAGAGTTCTGATGAAAATGAAAAAGAGAGATCATATCTCTCCTATCCTGGCTTCTCTTCATTGGCTTCCTGTTAAATCCAGAATAGAATTTAAAATCCTCCTTCTCACATATAAAGCCTTAAATGGCCAAGCTCCATCTGATATCAGAGATCTGATTGTTCCTTATGTTCCTAACAGAGCACTTCGCTCTCAATCTGCAGGTTTACTAGTGGTTCCTAGAACTTCTAAAAGTAGAATGGGAGGCAGATCTTTTAGTTCTCAGGCTCCTCTCCTGTGGAACCAACTACCAGTTTTAGTCCGTGAGGCAGACATCCTGTCTACTTTTAAGGCTAGGCTTAAAACTTTCCTTTTTGATAAAGCTTCTAGTTAGAGTGGCTCAGGTTATCCTGATCTATCTCTATAGTTCTGCTGCTATAGGCTTAGTCACAGCCAAACAGGTCTGTTCCTGTTTGGCTGTGACTCCATCCTGGAGAGAAATATCAGCTGTGCTGCTGCCATCAACACCTTTGTTTCTAGATGTTGGAGCTTGGCCTGTTTTCCAGTGTAGTCCTGTTTCTCTGACTGTGACTAACTGGATGTGCTCTCTTCATCCTCTGACATGGGAGCTGGCTCGGAGCTCGTCTGCCTGGCTGTGTGTTTCCTGGACGGGGCCGCCTGTGGAGCTGGTTGACAGTTGCCTTTTGTATCTATGCTTCTTTTTCTATGTCTGCTTCTGTCTCCTTGAACCCCAGTGGGCCTCAGCAGATGGCCGCTCACACTGAGCCTGGTTCTGCTGGAGGTTTCTTCCTGTTCAAAGGGAGTTTTTCCTCTCCACTGTCGCTACAAGCATGCTTAGTGTGAGGGATTGCTGAAGAGTCAATGAGTCGATGCAATCAGCTGGTTTTCCTTAGATAGAAAACTTTGAATCAATCTGACTGGATGATCTGCTGAACTGGAAAGTGACCTGAGATGACTTGTGTTGTGAATTGGAGCTATATAAATAAACTGAATTGAATAAAATTGACCCGTGGACCAGGTTCTGATCCCCAATAACCCATTGAACCCCAGTGTACAGGGTTCTGATGAGGTTCTGACAGTGTAAATGTCCAGGTTGGATCAGTGCAACCATCATACCTGTCTGGCCCGGGCCCTGCCAGGGGAGAACTTCCTCCTAGAGATTGCTGGTTTTCCCATGCCAATCTTCTGGGTGAAGGGGAACACGGTGGTTGGTGGAGCCTAATGACAGGAAATGAGATGAACTGGTGCAGACAAACCAAACACAGGAGACATGATCACATGTGGCAGACATTTCACCTGGACTAGAGGGGAGTCTCTGGAGGAGACAGGAGAAGGTGGAGTGAGCGGAGGTGGTGTGTTTGGGGTCCTGGCAGGTGAGGTGTCAGGAGAAGCTTCAGTGGAGAAGGGAGACTGCCTCAGGCGGATCAAAAGGTCATCTGAAGGGTGGAAAGAGCTGCGGGGGAGTCTGAGGCTCCGCCCCTTTTCTCTACATGCGAAAGGGGCAGTGGTCATCAACTCCATGACTTCCATGTCCAAGGATGGGTCCAAGTCCAGAATGGGGCTGCCTAAGATCTCCTCCTTATCTTCTACTTGACGCTCATCCTTTGGCTTCACCTCCTCTGCTTTGTGCTCTTCTTCCATTTGCTGTTTACCTGCTCTCCCCACTGGCTGCTTCTCTGGAGTCTCACTTTTTGACACGGGTGTATCTTTGGTGGGTTCAGTCTCGGTTGAAACAGGCTCACTCCGGCTGTTCTCATCCCACACTCGGTCGGCCCTTAAAGGACAGTTCTCTTCAGGGGGCTGAGAGCAAACCAATGAGGCAGTCATGGAAGGAGAGGAGGCCAAGGAGTAATCCTGGAAACCAGCCTTAGGATGTGGGCTAGAGAGGCCTGAAGAGAAAGTGGAGCCAGATGTATTCCTCACTTCAACATCTGCAGAAACAAAAAACAAAGAGCAGTTGATGATAAAACAATAAATGTTTGTTCTTAACCTGTCGGATCTTTTGTGCTCCAGTCAGAACTCTCTGACATTGTTGGTTAAAATAGAGCCTTCTGGGGTTGGTCAACATGTTTCACTTTAACAATGGTAGCTAACACGTTCTGTTAGCTTTAAAAAACACAGGTGTAGAAAATCTGGATTTATCTGAATAAGTAAGGTTATTTATATTTCAAGAAGTTCACCTTAATGGACGGAAGATTGACACGTACACACCGCTCTGGCTGAGCGAGGGAGTCCACCAAGCTCCACCCAGACCAGGAAATCAACATGCAGCTGGCTTGAAAGCATCAGTTTAGACAACTGGACTTGAAGCTCTCTAGAAAACGCTTTCTCGGTTTTAACTAATGGTGGAGCGCACTAAGATTATAGACGGGAGTTAGAACAAAGAATGCGGGGGACAGCTGGGGGGTTAATGACCATTAGTGTGACCTTTGACCTGGATAACAGAGTCCTCACATTTCTATTTCATCGCTACAGACCGCCAGAGGGCGGTGCTGAAAGCATTGAATATGTTATGCACTGAATAGAGTCATCCAGGGTTCTGTTCCTTACTTATTCTTGTGGGTGGTTTGCCTTGTGTAGCATATTATTTTGAACTTTTAGGACCAGTCTTTGGACGGTTCCGGGTAGCTGGAAACCCTGTTGACTACTGGCTGGAGGTGCAACAATTTCGTCCTCCTAGGGCTGTAACAGGTTGACCTTCGTACGGGACTTAAAGGTATGCATAGTGTTTGTTGGTGACCCTTCTCCCGGCTCACAGGCTCTTACCCTGTTTTCTGACCAGTCTGGCTGAGTTCAATGTCAACGTTTAAATATGGCTAACGTTTTCTTAATTCACTGATCCTCGTTTTTTCCCTCATCTGGTGACGGCAGGGGTTTTTCACCAGTCTTTCCCAGTATAACTCATCATATTGTCTGCCGAGGCTCGTCCTGCAGCCTTGGGTTCTCAAAATATTGTGCTGTTTCCCTTTCGAACCCATGGTGCGGAGCTCAAGAGGCTCTCATATAAAACTGCCTTTTTGCTGGGTGCTGGAGGCATATATGGCTGCCACTAAAACCGCTCAGACCAACTGTTTGTGTGCTATAGATGTTCCAAGCGGGGCTGTCCTCTTTCTAAACAACTTCTCTCCCACTGGATTGTAGTTATCATCTACTGTTCCATCCCCTCAGTGCAGGGTGTGAAGGCCCACTCTACCAGGAACCTCTAAGCTTCCTGGGCTGCTATGAGGGGGGTTTCGTTGAAGGCCATATGTTTCTCCAAACACATTCACTAGGTTCTACAATGTCAAAGTAGCTGCCCTTTAACACCTGGGTCACCTTCTTTTACGAGGTTCAGCTAGCCCTCTGATTGAGCTACGCGCTCTGTATTCCTTGTGACGTGGTAGGTATTTGTCATTCAGTTGTTCCAGCATTGCCCTCTGCAGGTCACCTGCAATTTATAGAACAATAGTCACATTCCTAAATTGCGATATGTGACTACGTAGCTGGGTTGGGTCAACGTAAACAGAAGCAGCAGCTAAATCTGGACAGCCAACTGAACTTGCACAGCTGGATGAGTAACATTACTGAAGGAAATCATAATCCTAACAAAGAAGAGAAAGTATTTTATTTACCTTAATTGACCAGGTATGAAAAGTGTGTTGATTACAAAAGCATATCTAATGATCATTTCTGTCCACTCACCTTGTTTTATGGCTTTTAACCAGAGCTACTGTATTTTCTCTTTGTCTAGCAGTGAAAGCAGCTAAGGGATCAAACTTCTAATTGTTCGTATTTTGCTCAGACGGTCTCTGTAAAGTGACCTGAGATAACATTTTGTGACTTGGTGCTATATAAACAAACTGACTTGAAAATTGAATTGAATTGTACTTCGTGTATTCTGCAATCTAAAAGTGAAGTAATCTGCCAATCTCAGCTCCTTTTTTAGCTGACCCTGTGCTTTTTGGTCCAGTTGTCCGTTAGTTTTGCCCCCAGCAAATGCTCTGAAGTAACGGATATGGACAAAAACAGGGTCTACAGGATTAACCACTCAGAACTGATCTTAACCAACATGAGGGGATCTGAATCATTCTAAAACAATTTGGCATGGTAGGAGCTAGCCATTCAAGTCAGTTCTACAGAAGATGGACGAGGTCAGCACCCCCCATCATGTCATGGCTGCTACCACTCATTCCTCCTCACCTGCAGAACAAACTGGAATAAATCGGAGCCGACACTCATCCTCCACGCTTCCTCCTCCCTCGGCCATCTCGGCAGGCTCCACATAACCTTCTGGATTCCTCTGTGGTTCCTCAGGTGGCTCTCCTTGCTCCTCTTCACCTGCTTCAGGAAGATGTGTTTAGAAAGCTATATCATTCTGACGTCACAGTCAGTGTTGCATTCTGCATGACACTCACCTCCAAGAGATCCACACTCCAACACAGTTTGTTGAGTGACTGCTGGACTGGAATCAGGCTGTACTTTGGTAGAAAGATTGTGACTAGGATGGATTTCAGACTTCTCCTGCCTGACGGGAGCAAGACTAGCAAGATCCAGACCAGAACTGACCTCCTTGGATATGGAACAAGTATCATCTACACCAGGATCAGAGCAAGCCTCTGTCTGAATACCGCTAACAGGACTGAGACTTGACTCTGACTGGACAGAACAATAGGGGACAACACCAGTGTCAAAACTTTTCTCCAGCTGAACAGGATCTACAGGCCCATGCGTGGGACTAGGTTGTTGACCGTCCAAATCCACAGTACTAATGACAGAGCTTTTCCCTGAGTCAATGTCAGAGCAGACCTGAGCTTGGAACGAGGAGGTAAGTATTATGGGAGCAGGGCTATCCTGGGATTGGGCAGGACTTGCTGAGTCACTGGTGATCATGGCGTTACTCACTGCATTGTCAACATAGAAACAGCAGGCAGGGCTTTGAGTAGATTGAGCAAGGCTATCAGGTCTCTGAGACCCAGCTTCAGGACCAGTTGGGAGTGGACCAGGAGAGGGTGGGTTGTCATGTGCCAGGCACATTTCCATATCAGGATCTACAGTCTGGACATCAAGCAGGGCTTTAGAAGCCGAGCTCAGTGGATCCTGAGATCCTTTGGTATCCATTGCTGAGTTTGCTGAAGGTCGGTGCTGCATTTCCCTATTCTGAGCTGGGCTGTGAGGTGGGCTAGCAGGGCTAGGATTCTGTGTTTGCTCTACATATAAAGGACTATTTTGACCAGCACAGCTAGTCCCTGGTGACCCATCTCCAATGGAGGGGATACTGGTTAAGCAAGGGTTATAAGCGCAATGTGGATTAATCTCAGTCTGTGATAAATTATCCACAAAGCCTCTTATTCCTACTGCATGGTGCTCACTATCAGGAGGGAATTCTATATCCTCATCCTGACCAGAGATTGAGTGGACAGGTTGAGCCAGTTGTGATGTCCTCATGGACCTTACAGTTAGAGACTCTGAGCTGTCTGCTTGAGTGGAGGAAGTGGTGGGGAGGAAACCAGTTGACTGTGGTGGGAGGATAGTCTCTGTTGGCAAGGGGTTCTGGCAGGTTTTGAGGCAGAAGGCAGGGTTTGCAGGTACTGGCTCAGCTTGTGTGGGGCACTCCTTGGTTTCTGAACATAATGATTGACTTTGTCGAGCACTCTGGTTTACCTTGGTGTTTGGCACACAAGGTGAGCAAATCAGGCTACTGTGTTCAAGTGAACTGCTACATTTATCAAGGCTTTCTGGTTTCTGTCTGGGAGAAATAAGAAACAGGCTTGAGTGGACAGAGTGTCTCCCAGCAGAGGGCACTTTAGATTGGTCAGATCTAGAGCTTAAATTTGGTGAGGTATGTTCCAGTTTAACAGTCTGTCCATTGGATTTAAGGATTTGCTCAGCTGGGGACACTAAATGCCTGCAGGTTTGGCCATACTTTAGCTGAACTGGACTTGCAGGTTGTGAAAGACTGGGGGGTCTAGGGATTTCTAGGGGAGGGTTGGTGCTACAAGGAGCTGAATAGGATCTAAACATTTTCTTTGGAGGATGTGATCCAGAGGCTGCCTCTTCTAATGGACTACATATGTTGGGACTGAGCTCAGGCTGTAAGATCATGATGGGTGTGGAACTGCATGGGCTTCGTAGCTGTGTTTCAGGTTCCAAATAGTAGCTGGACTCTGCTGGTTGGAATCTGATAGGGCTCAGCATTGGTTGACTCAGATTCTGGGTTGAAGGGCTGTGTGGAGGAAGTATATGCAGACGTTCGCTATCCTGTTCTGGATTCTGTTGATTCTCGGTCAACTTGTCTTCCAGACTTGCAGAGGGTAAATTCATCCCAGATGAACTGTGAATTGCCTGCACTGGGGGGGCGTGTTTTTTTTTAGTTTTAAGGTGTTGAGCAGGACAAGAATGAGTTGATGCTGGACAACATTCAGTTGAACCGGACTGACTTTGAACAGGTCTGTCAGGTGTAAGGCTGTGTAGTGTTTGAGTTTCCTTTGTTTTTGACTGAAAGTAAGGTGGTAATGATGATGTAGCGCTTGATATGGACTTAGCATGACCAGAATCAAATGGCCTGGACATGACTTGGTGATCCACTGTCCGTAGGTTTGAATGGCTGGTACTTTCTTTGAAATTTTGTGGTTCAGTAGGACAAAGCAAAGCATTTTGATGGTCCTCTTTTACAAGGGATGATTCAGGACTGTCTTCAGTCCTTTCAATTGGCACGGAATCTGGTTTGAGATTTGTAGAGCATTTAGGACTTTGGATAACATCCTCTGGAGAAGATACAAGACTTTCACCTGTGTTCTCTAGAGGGGTCCTTTGAATCTGACAATTCTCCCTCTGAGAAAGACAAAGATTTACAATGGTGTCCTTTAAAGATGATATTTGACTTGTACAGATCTGGCCAGGGAGTGTTGGTGGAGGATATGGATGGTTCTTCTCCGAAGACTGAACAAGAATTTCATATTTCTCACCAGTAGAAAATGGAGATGACAGAGGACTCTGACTATCCTCATCAGAAGAAGATTGCAGACTTGGACTTGTCACTTGTATCAAAGTGGCAGAGGTTGACAAGTTCTCTTTTAAAGATTGTGCCCGGTTTTTACTTGACTGCACCTGAAATGGCGTAGAAACATTTTGGAGTTGACTTTTACATTTATCCATGGAATTCAAGATCTCTTTTGATACTGATATAACTTCAGTGGGTTGCGTCTTTTGTAGAGGTGATGACAGACTTTGATGGAGACTTCCTTCTGATGGTGAAGAATGCTGACAGGTCTCTTCCAGAGACTGTGAATTGCTTTCATGGGAATCTTCAATGACAATTGGGGGAATTTTGTGGCCCTTCATTGAAGATGACATAGAGATTTGACCTTTCTCTTCGGCTGGTGGGGCCCCAAGAGCCCTATTGGTCTCTTCAGCGGGTAAGGCCCAAGGAGCCCTTTTGCTCTCTTCGACTGGTGAGGCTCCAAAAGCCCTATCGGTCTCTATGACGGTTGAGGCCCCAAGAGCCCCATCGGCCTCTTCTACTGGTGGGGCACCAAGAGCCCTATTAGTCTCTTTAATGGGTAAGGAACTAGGAGCCCTATCACTGTCTTCGACAGGTGAGGTCCCAAGAGCCCCATCAGTCTCTTCAATGGGTGATGACCCAAGAGCCCCATCGGCCTCTTCTACTGGTGGGGCCCCAAGAGCCCTATTGGTCTCTTTAACGGGTAAGGCCCTAGGAGCCCTATCGATCTCTTCGACAGGTGAGGTCCCAAGAGCCCCATCAGTATCTTCAACGGGTGAGGACCCAAGAGCCCCATCGGCCTCTTCTACTGGTGGGGCCCCAAGAGCCCTATTGGTCTTTTCAACAGGTAAGACCCTAGTAGCCCTATCGGTCTCTTCGATGGGAGAGGTCCCAAGAGCCCGATCAAACCCTTTGACGGATAAGGCCTCAAGAGCCCCATCGGTCCCTTCCACGGGTAAGGCCTCAAGAGCCCCATCGGTCCCTTCCACGGGTAAGGCCTCAAGGCCCCCATCGGTCTCTTCGACGGGTAAGGCCTCATGAACCCCATCGGTCTCTTCGACGGGTAAGGTCTCAAGAGCCCCATCAGTCCCTTCAACAGGTAACGCCTCAAGAGCCCCATCAGCCTCTTTGTAGCATGGAGCCCCAAGAGCTCCATCAGCCATTTCAACGGGTGAGGCCTCTAGAGTCTTATCAGTCTCTTGGACTAATGAGGCTCCAATAGCCTGATCGGTCTCTTCGATGAGTGAGGCCCCAAAACCTCCGTTGGTCTCTTTGACAAGTGACGACCCAAGAGGCTGAACTGACTTTTCAGTGGATGGGACCCCAAGAGTCTGACATGTCTCTTCGAGTGAGGGACCAAGGGTCCTATGGGTCTCTTTTGTAGATGGCATAAAACTTTGATTACTCTGTCCTGAATTTGGTGCACCAAGATGATAGTTACCATCTGGAGATGGTGCAGGACTCTGATTGGACTCCTCTTGAATAGTTTCAGGACTGTGATGCAGGGTCTGCGAAATGTGGCTTTCAACAATATTTGAGCTGTCTTCCAGAGATGGTACATGATATCTGTATAGGCTATGTAAAGCAGAGGAAGGATCCAGGTGGCTTTCCTCTGAAGATGGTAGAGAAATGTGATGAGTCACCTCTGCTGATAGTTTAGGTGTTTGACGAGCTGCTTTACAAGTTGGTGAATGATTCTGTAACATCTCCTTGGAAGGGGCTGAATGATTCTGATTAGTTTCCCTTAGAGGAGATGAAGGACACTGATATGTCTCCTCTGGCACAGATAAAGGACTCTGTTGGGTCTTCTCTGAAAAGGGAACTAATGGATAATGATGCCGTTTCTCTGATGTTGAGGCTAACAGAATCTGTTGAGGCTCCTCTGGCAGGGGGAGAAACCGAATTTGTCCCGTCTCCTCTGTGGGAGCCGAAGGAATTTGTTCAGTCTCGTTAGAGATCACTGAAGGACTCTCTTCAGTCTCCTCTGGCAAGGAGTCTAATGCACACTGAGGTATCTCTGGGGAAGCTAAAACATTCTGAGGCTTCTCTGGAAAGGAAGCTAATTGACACTGTTGCGTCTCCTCTCGGGAAGCTAAAGGACTCTGACACATCTTCCCTAGTGAAGGTGAAGGGCACCGATGCAGCTCATCTAGGGGGGGTAAAGTAGTCTGATGAGTCTCCTCTGGGGCGGCTGATGGTTTCCGAATCGTCTCCTCGGGAACTGCTGACTGACTCTGATGCGTCGCCTCGGGGGCGGCTGACTGACTCTGATGCGTCGCCTCGGGGGCGGCTGACTGACTCTGATGCGTCGCCTCGGGGGCGGCTGACTGACTCTGAAGTGCCTCGGGGGCCGCTGACGGAATCTGAAGAGCTCCTGGGGCCGCTGATGGACTCTGGAGAGTTGCTGGGGCTTCTGATGAGATCTCAAGGGCCTCGGAGGCTGATGATGGACACTTAAGCTCTTTGGGGGGAGCTGATGGACACTGAAGCTCCTCGGGGGGCGCTGATGGACACTGAAGCTCCTCGGGGGGCACTGATGGACTCTGAAGCTCCTCGGAGGGTGATGATGGACAGTGAAGCTCCTCGGGGGGCGCTGATGGACTCTGAAGCTCCTCGGAGGCTGATGATGGACAGTGAAGCGCCTCGGAGGCCGCTGAAGGACCCTGAAGCTCCTCGGAGGCCGCTGATGGACCCTGAAGGTCCTCGGAGGCCGCTGATGGACCCTGAAGCTCCTCGGAGGCCGCTGATGGACACGTAAGCTCCTCGGAGGCCGCTGATGGACACGTAAGCTCCTCGGAGGCCGCTGATGGACACGTAAGCTCCTCGGGGGGCGCTGTAGGACACTGAAGCTCCTCGGGGGGCATTGATGGACACTGAAGCTCCTCGGGGGGCGTGTTAGGACACTGAAGCTCCTCGGGGGGCGCGTTAGGACACTGAAGCTCCTCGGGGGGCGCGTTAGGACACTGAAGCTCCTCGGGGGGCGCGTTAGGACACTGAAGCTCCTCGGGGGGCGCGTTAGGACACTGAAGCTCCTCGGGGGGCGCGTTAGGACACTGAAGCTCCTCGGGGGGCGCGTTAGGACACTGAAGCTCCTCGGGGGGCGCGTTAGGACACTGAAGCTCCTCGGGGGGCGCGTTAGGACACTGAAGCTCCTCGAGGGGCGCTGATGGACTCTGAAGCACCTCGGAGGCTGATGATGCACACTGGAGCTCCTCGGGGGGCGCTGATGGACACTGAAGCTCTTTGGGGGGAGCTGATGGACTCTGAAGCTCCTCGGGGGGAGCTGATGGACTCTGAAGCTCCTCGGGGGGAGCTGATGGACTCTGAAGCTCCTCGGGGGGAGCTGATGGACTCTGAAGCACTTCGGATGTCGATGATGGACACTGAAGCTCCTCGGGGGGCGCTGATGGACACTTAAGCTCTTTGGGGGGAGCTGATGGACTCTGAAGCTCCTCGGGGGGAGCTGATGGACTCTGAAGCTCCTCGGGAGGAGCTGATGGACTCTGAAGCTCCTCGGGAGGAGCTGATGGACTCTGAAGCTCCTTGGGGGAAGCTGATGGACTCTGAAGCTCCTCGGGGGGAGCTGATGGACTCTGAAGCGCCACGGGGGCCGCTGAAGGATTCTGAAGCGCCACGGGGGGCGCTGAAGGACTCTGAAGCACCTCGGGGGCCGCTAAAGGACTCTGAAGCACCTCGGGGGCCGCTAAAGGACTCTGAAGCACCTCGGGGGCCGCTAAAGGACTCTGAAGCACCTCGGTGGCTGCTGATGGACTTTGAAGCGCCTCAGGGGCCGCTGAAGGACTCTGTAGCGTAGGCGTGGTAGGAAAAATGCGGGTATCTTGGTGAGTGGGGCTATGACTATCATGGGTCTGCGCTGGAGACGTCGCCTCATGCTGATGGGTGTTGTCTGCAGATTTCTCTAAGCAGTCATCAACAGGCAGAGATGACATCACAGATCGGTCATCATTGGTGGAACTTTGCCCTGGTGACGATGTGGGAGATTGGTGGAGCTCAGTGGTAGATAATGATAGATTTTGCAACTCGATAGGGGATCCCGAATTACTTCTTTTTAGCAAATATAATGATGGTGCAAGGCTGTCCTTCAAGAACGATCCAGATTGTGGAGGACTGAGTAGGAGGTCTTCCTTACTGTCTCCAAGCTCCCTTTGCATTTCTACAGTTGCAGAACTTTGATCGTCTGACGGTTCAGGACTGAGTTGAATCTGTAATAACTCAGTCTGAAATGTGGAACGATTGTGATGTGATGGTGAATAGGTTGGTGACAATTCTGAGCAGGTGAGCTGGACTGGACTATGAGCAGGAGGAATGGTGAGTGGAACCAGTGTGCAAGGTGGACTTGGTGACAGGGAAGTGTCATTTGGTAGGACTGGGGTACTGTTTGAGGTGGGCTGCTCCTCCTGAGGGATGCAGGAGGAACAGATGTAAAGAGGAGATGCCTTGCCCTCTCTAGTCTGATCAGAACACTCTGCATGTTCGGACCTGAAACACAGAAAACCAGATATTAAAGCTCAATCTAATGGACAGCCAAGGGAAAATAAAAATAGAAATTAATTTCTCTCATGCTGTGTGTGTCTGCTGTACTATTAACATGAAGGTCTATTCTGGTTTGATCAGAAACCAGGACCTGCTCTAGGTTCCCCTGCTAAATTTTCTGATTGGTGCAGGAGAGCAGGGAGGAGCCTACCTGTAACAGCTGCGGCAGGTCACACTTTCCTGTAGTGAAACGAGGTCAACAACATGGTCACAACGAGGACAGGGCAAAGCAGGGTCACATGTCTCGCACAGGAACGGATGATTGGCCCACTGTCCTGATGACGTCACACCACATCGGAGACAGACCCTGCAATTCTACAGAATTAAGGGTTGATGAGTTTAGGACCAACGCACCTGAGCTCAGGTTGGTGCCGTTTTATCTGACCTTGCAGGTCCAATGAGTACTCGGGGCGTGATCCAGAGGAGGTGTGAGGCAGTGTGTGTGGTACGCTTTATCACAGCGCCTACACACCAGCAGCGCATCTTCATCACCCTGTAACCTGACAGACAAACACAGACAGACAGTTTCCAGCTGGTTACTTTCTGCTCATCAGGCTAAGCATCCTGTTACGGCCACAGCTTCTGCTTCTTCTCTCCTTCATTCCATGATTATGATGAGTCATAAAGTCCATCTACCCAGAGGCAGACGCTTTGTTGGAAGCAACTGGAAGTGGTTGGCCCCCAGCATCGATTAAACCTCCCCCATCAGGTGCATATCATGGAGCAGTGGTAAATACTGTATGTTTTAGCTGCCCTAAACAAACCAGTATAGATGCAGAGCTAGCTGCAGTGCGGCCCATTAGCCCTCAGGAAGAGGATGGAAATAACCTGCTGTTTCATGGACAGGTCATCACCTGTCCATGAAACAGCAGGTTCTTTCCATCCACTTCCTGAGGGATGAGGCAGTGCCATTAAGCTTCACAGCCCACATAAAAAAAAAAAATCAAAAGTATGTCCCCATAGTTCTACTACTAATCCCAGCTTAGTGTCAGAGGGAGGTGATGAAAGCACTGAATGTCCCTGGAGGAAAGGCCAGCACAGACCAAGAGGGACGGCCACAAGTTAGACCTAGGGTTAGGTGTAGACCTAGGGTAAGGGTTAGACCTAGGGTTATATCTAGGGATGGTCCTCAGAGAAGGACACCACAGGGCATGTGGACACTTCAGAGGTAGCCAGGAAGCAGAGACTCACATGGTGGGATGGGAACAGGCTCAGACCAGCAGGGGGCGGAGCTGCCTGTGCCAGACGTAAACAAAAGGAGAAAGGCGCAGAGCTTTGAGAACTAAGACCAAATCCAACATTGGTGCTTATGGAACCAACCATGGGTTGCAGCCATCTTAATGCTGAAGGAGGGCTTCCCTCATCAAGGGGAGTCTGATCAAATGATGGAGTGCCGGAAAGACAAACAGTATCCAGTTAGCTGCAGCCTACACCTCCCAGTGTCCCACCCACAGTTGGACATCAGCAGGTCTACAACTCCTACAGGATGGACAGGCCAGACAACGCCTGCTCCAGAAGGTCTCTAGACTCCTTCAGGAGCTGCTCCCATCTGGAGGAGACCAAGGAACATACCTTCTTTATAGGTGCCATAGAATGTGCTTGGAGACCAAAGCAGGTCTGATTTAATAAGGACGTGGAAAGGAAGCTCCCTCAGCTGCTGATGGAGGCCATCAGGTGTTGGTACCTCCTCAGCTGCTGATGGAGGCCATCGGGTGTTGGTACCTCCTCAGCTGCTGATGGAGGCCATCGGGTGTTGGTACCTCCTCAGCTGCTGATGGAGGCCATCGGGTGTTGGTACCTCCTCAGCTGCTGATGGAGGCCAACGGGTGTTGATACCTCCTCAGCTGCTGATGGAGGCCAACGGGTGTTGGTACCTCCTCAGCTGCTGATGGAGGCCAACGGGTGTTGATACCTCCTCAGCTGCTGATGGAGGCCAACGGGTGTTGGTACCTCCTCAGCTGCTGATGGAGGCCAACGGGTGTTGGTACCTCCTCAGCTGCTGATGGAGGCCAACGGGTGTTGGTACCTCCTCAGCTGCTGATGGAGGCCAACGGGTGTTGGTACCTCCTCAGCTGCTGATGGAGGCCATCAGGTGTTGGTACCTCCTCAGCTGCTGATGGAGGCCATCAGGTGTTGGTACCTCCTCAGCTGCTGATGGAGGCCATCAGGTGTTGGTACCTCCTCAGCTGCTGATGGAGGCCATCAGGTGTTGGTACCTCCTCAGCTGCTGATGGAGGCCATCAGGTGTTGGTACCTCCTCAGCTGCTGATGGAGGCCATCAGGTGTTGGTACCTCCTCAGCTGCTGATGGAGGCCATCAGGTGTTGGTACCTCCTCAGCTGCTGATGGAGGCCATCAGGTGTTGGTACCTCCTCAGCTGCTGATGGAGGCCATCAGGTGTTGGTACCTCCTCAGCTGCTGATGGAGCCCATCAGGTGTTGGTACCTCCTCAGCTGCTGATGGAGCCCATCAAGTGTTGGTACCTCCTCAAACATAGTGCAGTGGAAAAAGAACCACCTGTTCTGCACTTCATCAATCAACCAGGGAAGGAAATGAGCTGAATGAGCAGCAGTCAGTCCATCCAGAGCTTTAGAAAAACAAAAAATGATGCAACAGAAAATACCCCCCCATCATTAAATATAAAAACAACTACAACAGACAGGAAGAGGACGGACAGGAGGACAGACGGACAGGAGGGACAGAGGAGGGACAGACAGGAGGGACGGAAAGGAGGAGGATGGACAGGAGGACAGACAGAAGGTTGGTTTCAGGGTCAGCGGGCGTCCTGACAGTACCTGCAGCTCTGACATGCTCTGCACTGATGACACTGCCACCCAGCGCGGTTCAGGGGGGAGGGGGTCAGCACTGGCTCCAGGCAGCTGCCATGGTAACGGTTACCACAGCAACAGCACATCATCAGCCCACCGGGTTCAGATTCAGATGAACACAGCAGGCACTGCAGTGAGGCTGAAGTAACAGAGGGTTAATGTTTCCATGGAAACGGGGACCGGGTCAGCCTGAAGGAGAACCACCTGTACCTGAGTGGGCGTGTCTGGTGCACAGCGTTCGCCTGCGGTTCCACTCCAGATGAGCGCCCGCCACCAGAGCACAGGGGAAGTGGTAACTCCACCCACATCCCTTCTCCTGGCAACAGAGGGTCGCGCCCAGATGTTGGCAGAATGCACACACCTGGATAGGACAGAAAGGGGGCGGAGCTTAGACGAGCCATGAAAGATGTCTTCACACTGTGCTTCCAACTGCATGACGGCTGAAACGCCACTTCAGTCACACTGGGCCAACCTTAGATCTTTGGCTTAGAGGCTGAGGACGTTTCTACTGAGCTCTAGGAGATGTTCTCCTAGCAGGTGCCCTCCTAGCAGATGTTCTTTAGCAGCTGCTCTCCTAGCAGATGCTCTCCTAGCAGCTGCTCTCCTAGCAGGTGCTCTCCCAGCAGATGTTGTCCTAGCAGGTGCTCTCCTAGCAGCTGCTCTCCTAGCAGGTGCTCTCCTAGCAGATGTTGTCCTAGCAGGTGTTCTCCTAGCAGGTGCTCTCCTAACAGATGTTCTCCTAGCAGCTGTTCTCCTAGCAGGTGTTCTCCTAGCAGGTGTTCTCCTAGCAGGTGCACTCCTAACAGATGTTCTCCTAGCAGATGTTCTCCTAGCAGATGTTTTCCTAGCAGGTGCCCTCCTAGCAGATGTTTTCCTAGCAGGTGCTCTCCTAGCAGGTGCTCTCCTAGCAGATGCTCTCCTAACAGGTGCCCTCCTAGCAGATGCCCTCCTAGCAGATGCTCTCCTAGCAGATGCTCTCCTAGCAGGTGCTCTCCTAGCAGGTGCCCTCATAGCAGGTGCCCTCCTAGCAGATGTTCTCCTAGCAGATGTTCTCCTAGCAGGTGCTCTCCTAGCAGATGTTTTCCTAGCAGATGCCCTCCTAGCAGATGTTCTCCTAACAGGTGCCCTCCTAGCGGGTGCCCTCCTAGCGGGTGCCCTCCTAGCGGGTGCCCTCCTAGCAGGTGCTCTCCTAGCAGGTGCTCTCCTAGCAGGTGTTCTCCTAGCAGGTGTTCTCCTAGCAGGTGTTCTCCTAGCAGGTGTTCTCCTAGCAGGTGCCCTCCTAGCAGATGTTGTCCTAGCAGATGTTGTCGTAGCAGGTGCTCTCCTAGCACATGTTCTCCTAGCAGATGTTCTCCTAGCAGGTGCCCTCCTAGCAGATGTTCTCCTAGCACAGTGGTTCCCAAAGATTTTCTTCTGGGCCCCCCTTTGGATTACAATAACATTTCAGCGCCCCCCCCATCCTGACCCCAGTCACCCCCCCCCCCGACCCCCCCCCCCCCCCCCCAAAATAAAAAATAAATAAATAATCAACTGGTCACACACATCGTTCAACCAGATATAATAAATCTATACACATATTTTGTTTTCAAACTCCACTGAAGTTTATTTCACACTTCAGGTTGCAACAAGACAAACTACACACCATCTTTACAGTGGAACACTTTTGTGTAACTGTATTTTTTTAATAGTTCTATACTGTAGATTAGAAGACGATTCTTTGTTGTCTGTGTTATTTTAAACATATTTCTTTTTTTTTATTTGTAACAATATTTAACTTTGCTATAATCTATACATTAAAAAAACCTCTGTGCAAAATGGAGTGAAAACATTGAACAGCTCCCTGAGAGTTTTTTCTTTGTACTTTAATCCTCCCATCTTTTCAGTGGCTGTAGTGAGCCTGCTTTTTGGTGTAGATCTTCTCAAATCTGGGTTGCAGTGTCACAACTGTCCATTATGCTCAGTGAAGCAAGCGCTGTTTTTTTTTTTTTTCTTCATTCATCCATACCGCTTCCCGCGCCCCCCCTGCAATGGCATTGCGCCCCCCCTAGGGGGCGCGCCCCACACTTTGGGAACCACTGTCCTAGCAGATGTTCTCCTAGCAGGTACCCTCCTAGCAGGTCCTCTCCTAGCAGGTGCCCTCCTAGCAGGTGCTCTCCTAGCAGGTGCCCTCCTAGCAGGTGCCCTCCTAGCAGGTGCCCTCCTAGCAGATGTTCTCCTAGCAGGGGCCCTCCGAGCAGGTGCTCTCCTAGCAGGTGCCCTCCTAGCAGATGTTGTCCTAGCAGATGTTGTCGTAGCAGGTGCTCTCCTAGCAGATGTTCTCCTAGCAGGTGCCCTCCTAGCAGATGTTCTCCTAGCAGATGTTCTCCTAGCAGGTGCCCTCCTAGCAGATGTTCTCTTAGCAGGTACCCTCCTAGCAGGTCCTCTCCTAGCAGGTCCTCTCCTAGCAGGTGCCCTCCTAGCAGGTGCTCTCCTAGCAGGTGCCCTCCTAGCAGGTGCCCTCCTAGCAGGTGCCCACCTAGCAGGTGCCCTCCTAGCAGATGTTCTCCTAGCAGGGGCCCTCCGAGCAGGTGCTCTCCTAGCAGGTGCCCTCCTAGCAGGTGCCCTCCTAGCAGATGTTGTCCTAGCAGATGTTCTCCTAGCAGGTGCTCTCCTAGCAGATGTTGTCCTAGCAGATGTTCTCCTAGCAGGTGCTCTCCTAGCAGATGTTGTCCTAGCAGATGTTCTCCTAGCAGGTGCTCTCCTAGCAGGTGCCCTCCTAGCAGGTGCCCTCCTAGCAGATGTTCTCCTAGCAGATGTTCTCCTAGCAGGTGCTCTCCTAGCAGATGCCCTCCTAGCAGATGTTCTCCTAACAGGTGCCCTCCTAGCAGGTGCCCTCCTAGCGGGTGCCCTCCTAGCGGGTGCCCTCCTAGCAGGTGCTCTCCTAGCAGGTGCTCTCCTAGCACGTGTTCTCCTAGCAGGTGTTCTCCTAGCAGGTGTTCTCCTAGCAGGTGTTCTCCTAGCAGGTGTTCTCCTAGCAGGTGTTCTCCTAGCAGGTGTTCTCCTAGCAGGTGCCCTCCTAGCAGATGTTGTCCTAGCAGATGTTGTCGTAGCAGGTGCTCTCCTAGCACATGTTCTCCTAGCAGATGTTCTCCTAGCAGGTGCCCTCCTAGCAGATGTTCTCCTAGCAGATGTTCTCCTAGCAGGTACCCTCCTAGCAGGTCCTCTCCTAGCAGGTGCCCTCCTAGCAGGTGCTCTCCTAGCAGGTGCCCTCCTAGCAGGTGCCCTTCTAGCAGGTGCCCTCCTAGCAGATGTTCTCCTAGCAGGGGCCCTCCGAGCAGGTGCTCTCCTAGCAGGTGCTCTCCTAGCAGGTGCCCTCCTAGCAGATGTTGTCCTAGCAGATGTTGTCGTAGCAGGTGCTCTCCTAGCAGATGTTCTCCTAGCAGGTGCCCTCCTAGCAGATGTTCTCCTAGCAGATGTTCTCCTAGCAGGTGTTCTCCTAGCAGATGTTCTCCTAGCAGGTGCCCTCCTAGCAGATGTTCTCCTAGCAGGTACCCTCCTAGCAGGTCCTCTCCTAGCAGGTCCTCTCCTAGCAGGTGCCCTCCTAGCAGGTGCTCTCCTAGCAGGTGCCCTCCTAGCAGGTGCCCTCCTAGCAGGTGCTCTCCTAGCAGGTGCCCTCCTAGCAGGTGCCCTCCTAGCAGATGTTCTCCTAGCAGGGGCCCTCCGAGCAGGTGCTCTCCTAGCAGGTGCCCTCCTAGCAGGTGCCCTCCTAGCAGGTGCCCTCCTAGCAGATGTTGTCCTAGCAGATGTTGTCCTAGCAGGTGCTCTCCTAGCAGATGTTCTCCTAGCAGGTGCCCTCCTAGCAGGTGCCCTCCTAGCAGGTGCCCTCCAAGCAGGTGATCTCCTAGCAGGTGATCTCCTAGCAGGTGCCCTCCTAGCAGGTGCCCTCCTAGCAGGTGCTCTCCTAGCAGATGTTGTCCTAGCAGGTGCTCTCCTAGCAGGTGCCCTCCTAGCAGGTGCCCTCCTAGCAGGTGCCCTCCTAGCAGGTGCCCTCCTAGCAGATGTTGTCCTAGCAGGTGCTCTCCTAGCAGATGTTCTCCTAGCAGATGTTGTCCTAGCAGATGCCCTCCTAGCAGGTGCCCTCCTAGCAGGTGCCCTCCCAGCAGGTGCTCTCCTAGCAGATGTTGTCCTAGCAGGTGCTCTCCTAGCAGATGTTGTCCTAGCAGGTGCTCTCCTAGCAGGTGTTCTCCTAGCAGGTGCTCTCCTAGCAGATGTTGTCCTAGCAGGTGCTCTCCTAGCACCGTGGTTCTCAAAGTGTGTGGCGCGACCCACTGGTGGGGAATTGAGACGTGACAGGTGGGGCGCGCCAAGTTCCGGTGTGTGTGTGTGTTGTGTGACTATAAATGTAGAACGTGTGAGAGCAAACTGTCCTTATAGCTGTATGTTGCCGCCTTTTAGACCAATCAAACCCACAAAGTAATCATTACTAGCCTACATGCAGTCCAATTAAAAGAACATTAGATATGAGAAAAATTTCACCTGGAACTGAAGTGCCAAAATAATGATTGACGTGACGTCGGCATATTATTTGTAACGGAATAAACTTTCGCGCCCCAGTGTTGCCAACTCAGAGACTTTGTCGCTATATTTCAGACCCCTCCAGCGACTCTTTTTCAAAAAAGCGACTAGCGACAAATCTAGCGACTTTTGGAGACTCTTACGTGAAAGCACGTATCGTTCCTTTTCTTGTCCTCCAGCGGCAGGTGCTGCCGTGGGGCGCCTCCTCCGTCCCCACCCTGTTCTCCCCCGCTAACGCAGGAGTCCCTCTCAGCGCTGCAGTCAGAAACACAGCATTTTTATCCTCAGCGTCCAGACTGCAAATAAAGCGCACATGCGCCGGGATTGACGGCGCAGGTTGATCATAAATAACTGAATTTGAAATATTTTATCTTAAATAAATAACGGCGTTTGATTCACACAGCAGCATGTTCATGTTTCTGGTTTGGAGTGGAGAGGGAGTATCCACTCATCGGGCAGAGAGCTGTGTGCATTCTTCTTCCCTTTGCCACATCATATCTCTGTGAGATGGGCTTTTCAGCTGTTGCTTCACTGAAAACAAAGCATGACAACCCCGTTTTGATAAACTGTGCAATGCAAAACAGGCTCATTGCAGCCACTAATGCAGGGATAAATAGACCTGTCTTGCCAGATGGATTTCACTTATTTTCTTTTATTAACAGATTGCAGAGTGGCACTTTAATTTTTTCTATCTTTGAGCTGCATTTTTATTTTCTTTATTTTTGTTTTTATTTTCTTTATTTTTGAGCTTGCTGTTATTTGATGTAGATAGTTTGTATTTAGATACTACTTGTTACTTCAATAAAATTGGAACATTTTAAGATCGTTTAATATTTCATTAGCATTGTGTTGGGGCGATGGGGAAAATTCCCCCTTGTCCAAAGTGGGGAATGACAGAAAAAGTTTGAGAACCACTGTCCTAGCAGGTGTTCTCCTAGCAGGTGCTCTCCTAGCAGGTGCTCTCCTAGCAGATGTTGTCCTAGCAGGTGCTCTCCTAGCAGGTGCTCTCCTAGCAGATGTTGTCCTAGCAGGTGCTCTCCTAGCAGGTGCTCTCCTAGCAGGTGCACTCCTAGCAGGTGCTCTCCTAGCAGGTTCTCTCCTAGCAGGTGCTCTCCTAGCAGGTGCTTTGCGTGGGATACTGAGATCAAAGGACTGGGATCATGGCTGCCAAAAAAAAAAATGGCAGCTGAGAGGTGTGACGGGACAGATGAGCAGAGAGCAATGGAAATGTTTGAAATCAAACAGTCCCTAAACTTTCTTTCTGAGGAAATTGCAAAAATATCAAAACAACAGAGCACCATTATGAACTTAATGGGCGAGATTCGGGAGTTAAAAAAGCAAAATGCAGAAAAGGATGCCAAAATCAAAATGCTGGAGACTAGAGTAACTGATATGGAGCAGTACTCTCGCGTCAATGACGTTATCATAACCGGCTTGGAATCACGACATCGATCCTACGCCAGAGCCACGGCTGGGGCATCTGGCGAGGATTCATCTGACGCGGAGTAAATTTCACTGGAGCAACAAGTGCTGCGCTTCTTCGATAGTAAGGGAATCTCCATTGATGAAAACTGGATTGAAGGGTGTCATCCTCTTCCGCGCAGAAATCAAAGTGACAAGCCGTCAATTATACTGCGCTTTGCGAACAGAAAACATAAGAGACTGTTGATGCCACAAGGACGAAAACTTCGTGGGACCAATGTTTACGTGAATGATCATCTGATTAAGAAAAACGCGGAAATCGCAGGGAAGGCGCGCTACCTGAGGAAGCAAAACAAGATCCAAGCGACGTGGGTGAGAGATTGTAAAGTGTTTGTGAAACTTCTGGGCTCGCCCGAGGACGCGAAAGTGCTCGTCGTCCGTGAGATGTCGGATTTGGATAAGTACATGTGAGGTCAACGGACTGGAAAATAAGGTAACGCAGTTCCTTGTTTTAAATGGATATGATGGATATGCTGGCTGTGGGCGGGCCAAGTCTGCCGCAAATCGAGCTGTGCGCGCACACTACACCTCGCTATGGCTGACACCTGTATGGACACGGACAAAGGTAATGATATTGTGGCAGGGGAATACACCAAAATGATCTGAGATCATTCGTCTGAGGAGCAGAAGCGATGCGATGGATTAGGTGGGTTTTCCCCCACGCTACAAACTTTCACGTACACTGATCATAACACGCTTGATTATGAGCAGGACATCGATCCAGAAAATAATTTCTTCCATGATATGTCAAATATGTGTAAATACTGGACAGAGGATGAATTTAACAAAACTCTGAATGTAAGAAGTGGACTATCATTGATCCATTTCAATGGTAGAAGCCTCCATTCAAACTTTGAACACATAAAAGACTATTTGGGGCATATTAAAAGACGTTTTAATATTATCGCGATCTCTGAGACGTGGATGACACCGGATAAATATACAGACTTTCACTTACAGGGCTATGAACTCTTACATGTAGATCGTGTCAATAAAAAAGGAGGGGGGGTAGGCCTGTTTGTGGATAATAGTTTGTGTCACAAAATGGTAGAGAAAATGTCCTTTACAGTTGATGATGTGCTTGAATGTATAACCATTGAAGTCAGTTTGCAACGAAAGAGAAATGTGTTGGTCTGCTGTATGTATCGCACCCCAGGGTCTAAAATAGAAACTACAGTACAAATAATTGAAAAAATGTTTTCAGGCTATCAGAAAAGAGCTATAATAACAGGTGATCTGAACATAGACCTTTTGAACCCTAGCCATAATAAAAATACAGATGAATTTATTGAAATGATATATAGTTTCGGGTTTTATCCGATGATCACAAAACCTACCAGGATTACCCAGCACAGTTCAACATTAATAGATAATATTTTTTACAATGATTCGGAAGACACTACTATGAGTGGTTTACTCGTATGTGACATAACTGACCACCTACCAGTTTTTGCAGCAATAGATGGTGAGAATGTTATAGAGCAAAATGAATATTGTATATATATAAGAAAAAAATCAGAACAATTAATTGCAGACTTAAGAGAGGATTTACTAAGACAAAATTGGAGTGAGGTTTATGAAGAAGAAAACGTAGATAATGCATATAGCATATTTCTTAATAAATTCAGTATGTTGTATGACAAGCATTGCCCATTAAAAAGAATAACTATGAAAATAAATAAAAAAGAAAATGTATGGATGTCAAAGGGGCTTATTAATGCTTGCAAAAAGAAAAATGTGCTATATAAGGAATATATTAAGGCGAAAACAATCGATGCTGAAAACAGGTATAAAAAATATAAAAATAAACTCACAAGTATTCTAAGAAGCTGCAGAAAAAAAATATTTTAGCTCCAAATTGGAAAAGAACAAGGATAACACAAAAGGATTATGGGCAGTTTTAAATACAATTATTAAAAAAGGGAAGAAAGCACATTCTTATCCAAATTACTTTATCCATGAGAATACAACAATAACTGATACTAAATGTATTGCTAATGAATTTAACAAGTTTTTTGTAAATGTGGGTTCCACTTTGGCGGATGAAATCAAAGATGATGATGAGACAGAAGCTGAAGCTATTAAAAATGTGGAAATAAATAAGAATTCAATGTTTTTGAATGCAATAGAAGAGGAAGAGATATTAAAAATTGTGCATGAACTTAAGCCAAAAACCTCTGCAGATTCTAATAATATTGACATGGAATCTATAAAAAAATTGATAAGAGTAATTGTAAAACCACTGAGGTATGTGTTTAATTTATCCTTCCAAACTGGAGTATTTCCACAAGAAATGAAAACTGCCAAAGTGGTTCCACTATATAAAGCTGGCGAAAAAAATTGTTTTACAAATTACCGTCCTGTGAGCATTTTATCACAATTTTCAAAGATCTTGGAGAAGTTATTTATTAAAAGATTGAATAGTTTCATTGACAAACATGATCTATTAGCAGAGAGTCAGTATGGTTTTAGGGTAGGTAGATCTACATCATTAGCTCTACTTGATTTGGTAGAAGAAATTACAGAATGTGTGGATAATAAGAAATGTGCCATAGGTGTATTTTTGGATTTTAGTAAAGCATTTGACACCATTAAACATAACTTACTCATCAAAAAAATGGAGCGATATGGAATTAGAGGCATAGTGTTATCATGGATTAAAAGCTATATGGATCACAGAAAGCAGTTTGTTCAATTAAATGAAATAAGATCAGACCTACTAGAAATAAAGAGTGGGGTACCGCAAGGCTCGGTGCTGGGACCGATTTTGTTTTTAATGTATACAAATGACTTGAACAACATCCTGAACATGAAAATTGTATCATTTGCAGATGATACAAATGTATTTGCATCTGGTGAAAATCTTAAACAGATACTTGCATTAGTCACACAAGAATTAATGAAAATAAAGAGATGGTGTAATATAAATAAACTATCGTTAAATTTGAAAAAAACTAAGTTCATGATATTTGGAAACATTAAAAAAAGTAGTGAAATAAAGTTAAGTATTGATGATGTACAATTAGGATTAGTTGATGAAATAAAATTTTTAGGTGTCATTTTAGATAATAAAATTAGTTGGAAGGGACATATACAGCACATCCGGTCAAAGTTGGCCAGATGTTTGGCTGTTATAAATAAAGCCCGGCATCTTCTGACCAAACAAGCTTTAAACACATTATATTTCTCATTGTTTCAGCCCTATTTAACCTATTGTGTTGAAGTGTGGGGCCACACTTACAAAACAAACATTCAACCACTGATTATTATGCAGAAGAAAGCAATACGAGTAACGAATAACAAACATTATAGAGATCACACTCACTGCTTATTCCTAGATTCAAGAGTTCTTAAATTTGTAGACCTGATCGATTTCAAAACTGCTCAAATTCTTTATAAAGCAAGAAATAAATTACTTCCTGCACACATACAAAAATTGTTTACAGATAGAGATGGAAAATATAATCTAAGAGGAAAATTACATTTCAAAACTAAGTGTGTTCGAACAACAAAAAGAACCTTCAGTTTATCAGTTAGTGGAGTGAAGCTCTGGAACAGCTTGCCTGAAAACATTAAACATTGTAAAAGCATCCAGCAATTCAAAAAACAATATAAGAAAAGTATTTTTGATGAATACAAAAAAGAATAATGCACAAAAAGTTATACTGTTTGTCTTACTGTAATCGTCCTTTACCACCATGACTTATGTAACTGAGGGGTAGGGTTTAATAAGCTTATGCTTCATCCTGCTCCTTTTTGAAACATACTGTATGTTTAGGTAGCATTCTATGCAAACATTGTAAAATCATGTCATGTTTCAAAATAAATGAAATGAAATGAAATGAAATGAAAATGAAATGCTTTCAGTAGATGCTAACTCACCTGAGTGCTTCCTTGGTCGATGGCTTTGTCAACGTAGAGTAACGATTCGCCATCGCCTTGTCGCACACCTTCTGACCAGGCAGCACACTGCAGGTGAGCGCAGCACTGACCTGAACACAGACCTCAGTCAACACAGAGAAGAGGAGACAGACGAGGAGCAGGAGGAGGAGCAGACTGGTCTACCTGTGGGGTCAAACAGTGATTGGACGTTGATGTCGTGCGGAAGGCCAATGGGTCCGAGCTGCTTTATGAACTCTGAGGAAGACTTGTCTCCTGAAATATCAAAGCAGAACCAGTCAGTGTCCTTCTGATGGATGCTCTGATCATCTGATGATGTCAGAGGGTCCATCAGTTCCTCCATCCATGGACATCGTCAGATGGTCCAGTACTCACCACACTGTGCTGGACTGCGGCACCTGAAAACAGACAGTTAGCCGTTTAGCATCCTGTCAAACAAACACTTCTTCCTGATGTCTAAACTGAAAAGGAAGTGATTTCACTCACGCGGGCGGGGCTAGGTCACTACGGTAGCAATGGTCATGGTAGTCGTCATCCCGGTCGGAGGATGCGCGGCGGTTCAGGATGTGTAGGGGGATGTAGCCCGGTGTCGGGCCGAACACCACCAGCCGGCCCTGGCCCAGAGGAGGCTGGTCGCCACGGTAACAGAAGGCACACTGCTTCAGCCTGCAGGACAGATGAGAACGGAGGTGACTTCCTGGGTCAAACTCTGGTGAACTCAGTCCTGTGTAACCATACCAACAGGGCAAGGGGTTCAGCTGTCTGTCTGAAGGTCCCCTCCTTAAACCACTGCAATCATCTAATCCTGATCCATGCTAGCCTTGACCACCAACCTCTGGACTGAACCGGTTTGTTGCAGAGCCACCTGACCCAGAAGGAACTCTCTGATCCAACAACAGATTTAGAGGTTCAGACGCTCTGCCCCAAACCTGCTGATTCTGGTTCCAACAGAATCACCCATGGCCATCAGATCCAGCAGGTCCACAATCCCCCCCATCAGATCCAGAACTCCCTTCCACAAGATCCAGCAGGTCCAGACCTGCTGGATCCGCTAACAGCAAACGTTCTGGTCTCCTCACTGAGACGATGGACTAAGCAGAGGATGTTCCAAAGGACAGGAGGACCTGGATGGAACCAGGCCAGGAAGTCTGACCTGCTGCTGGTGCTCAGCTTTTAGATAGGAATGGGTCCCAGGTAGAGGAACTCACCTTTGTTTGGTGTGTCCAAGGCTGGGGGTGGGTGAGCCCCCTGAGTCCTCTGATGGGGAGTGCTGGAACAAGGAGGACAGGGAGTCCTCATCTTCCTCTGCCAGTGTCAGGCTGAGGGACACGGGGGGACTATAATGGGGACTCCTGACTGGATTCTGCTCCACAGGACCAACATCAGAGTCCCTCTCATTCTCTGTGGTAATGGAGCCGCTCTCCTGGGGGGGAGGGCTGGGTGGCTGGTCCTCTTCTCCTGGTTCGGGGTCAGGTCTGCATTTTGGGGACGACGGACTGTTCTGAGGACCCTCCTCTGGGCCGTGGTCTGGGGACAGAGCTGCAGGAACCAAACTGCTTCCATTTTCCTCCTCTGTACAGGGGGCGGGTTTGGCGCTACACTTTGGGACTTTGGACTCAGGGTCTGGGTCAGGGTGGCGGCCAAGCCCAGCCTGAGCAGGTCCAGGGTCCGGTACCGGATGTGTGGAGGAGGGCTGCCGGCGCTCCGCAGGCTTCGCCTTCTGCTTGTTGGGGACCCTGGGCTCTGTGGAGGAGGAAGAAGCTCTGAGGTCAAAGAGCAGCAACATCCCTCTGAAAACCAACATGAATCTCCAGTTTGGGGTTAAAGCCCACCTCTCTTCTTCTGGGGCTGGTTCTTCTCTGCAGGGCCCACGCTCTCTTCATCCTCTACTCCTCTTCCTCGCCCCCTGCAGTAAAAGAGTTAAAGAAAGAACATTAAAATCTAAACAAAGTGCCGCATGTTGTCTGAAGAGCTGATGATGGATGGATGGATGATGGATGGATTGACTTTATTGATCTCACAATGGAGACATTTACTTGTTCCATCAGCCTGAACAATCAAAGGAGAAGAAGAAGAAGGAGCCAAAGGAAGAAAAAGGTGCATGATGGGATATATACAGAATATACAGGGCGTCCACATAGTATAAAACTAGCAGGATTATTATACAGGGTGTTTACATGAGTATTTATATAGACCCATCATCAATCAATCCATCCATCTTCCTCTTATCCAGGGTGGGGTCATGGAGGTAGTAGCTTCAGTAGGGAGGCCCAGACGTCCCCCTCTGCAGCCACATTGGGGCCAGCTCCTCTGGGGGAATCCGAAGGCGCTCCCAGGCTCAGCTCTCCCTTCACCACTACAGACCGGTACAGCGCCCGCTTCACAGCAGACGCCGCACCTATCCACCTATCGATCTCCCGCTCCATCTTTCCCTCTTTCGTGAACAAGACCCCAACATACTTAAACTCCTCCACTAGGGGCAGTACATCCTCCCCAACCCGAAGAAGGCACTCTACCCTTCTCTGGCTTCAGACCATGGTCTCGGATTTGGAGGCACTGATCCTAATCCCGGATGTCTCACACTCTGCTGCGAACCGCTCCAGTGAGAGCTGTAGATCACGCCCTGTAGCGGAAACTTTGCGGTCACCGCTTCAGAGTAGGAGTATAGGTCGGATCCCAACGCGTGTCTTAAAAAAATAGAGGCATTTATTTGTCTTTAACTTGCATACCAAACAAAAGCGCTCCCGCATCACGCAGTTGAAAAACTGTTGCCACTTCCACTCTACCTGCCCGGTCGGTGACGGCACCTAACTATTGTCAATCAATCAGCTTGTCAACGTCACACCCACCATACAGGAAGAGCAACAAATAAACATATCAGAATGAAAACTAACATATTTTCAACTAAAGATTCAAAAATAAATCAGTAGAATTAGAATGCAAATATGTTCAAGATAAATTCAGAAAAACAAAAGAAATACAAAACGGCTCCAACATTCCGGCCCCTAATTGATCAAACTATGGCAATTTAACACATACATTCACAAGGAGCCGGACATTTCAAAAGAGCATTCAATACCGACCATGCATTCAAATAAAGTCTTTCACATTCCTTTCTTTTTTTTTCAAATTAAGTCCCTTTAGGTATTCATAAATCAGAAAATTGCTTTCTGGAAAAAAGTAGTCCTTTCATAGAAAAATCAAGGGATTTCCAAAAAATGAAAGAATTAAGTTCATTTTAGTCCATAAGACAACATACAGTAAACACACCATAGTCATAGACTGTTCTTAGTCATATTTTCAGATATTCAATAGCGGTTCATTTTTTCCTGCATATAAAGCCATTCACTCAATCAATACATTTACATATTACATAGAAAACATGAAAGCTTAATTCAATAAACCATTCTATGGTCAGTAAAGTGTACTGGTCAGTAATGAACGGTCAGTCAGGCCATGTCTCTGAGGAGGCAAAGCTTTGTGATTGGCCTTTCTAGATCACCAGTCTGAGTCTTGACTTTGACATGACGTACAAATCCTTTTGCATCAAGGAAAGTTTCTATTACACGTCCCATCGGCCAGGAATTTCGGGGTGACGTGTCATCAATGATGAGGACGATGTCATCAGATTTAAGATTTCTTTATACCTCGTTCCATCTTTGTCTCTCCTGCATCAGTGAGAGGTATTCGCGTGTCCATCTCTTCCAGAAGAGATCTGAGAGGAACTGAACCTGCTTCCATCTTCTTCTAGCGTAGCAGTTCTGCTCGTTAAAGAGCCCAGGTGGAAGGATGGGCTTTGCTTTAAGTAATAGTAGTTGGTTTGGCGTAACCCCTTGCTCACACTGGCTCCGGTGCGGTTACCGAGCCAACGGAGACCGCAACTCCCGCACACCCCCTCTCACACCGCCCTTTTGACTACGGTGCGGTGCGGCTCTGTGGCTCCAGCAACAGGTCCGGAGATTTAACAGAAGTTCACTTGAGTTCACGTAACTTCACGCGATAATACGGCCCAAATAAGGATATTTGCGAGAGCTTGTTGCGGAGGGCTCCGGCACGCCGCAAGGATAGCTTTCTTGCGGAATTTTCTGCAGCGCCGGAGTGTCTCGGTAACCGCAGCCGGACAGCTCAGCAGCCGGTGAGAGAGGTTTACGTCTTTTTAATGACTTGGAATCACTGCGGCGCCGCACCCACCGCACCGCAACGGTAAGACCGGAGTCGGTGTGAGCCTGGGGTAAGAGGTTCGGGATCTGTCGGATCTCCAGATGTTACCGTTATTGGACGTGCATTGAGAATAGCCTCCACTTCACAGAGGGTGGTTTGAAGACATTCAACGTCCAAGGCCTGTTCTTTGATCACAGAATCGAGTGCTTTCTTGATCATCCGTATGAGGCGCTCCCACACACCTCCGTGATGAGAGCCGTAAGGTGGGTTGAATGTCCATTTGATTCTTTCTGTATGCATAGGATTCTGTATTTTACTATGGTCCAGCTGAGCCAGAGCTTCTGTTTGAACTCTGTTCTCTGCTTCCAAACTCATCATCTCTTCATCCATTCCTGCAATAAGAATTTTCTTTTAAAGTTGTGAGATGCGCTCTAGAATCTCACAACTTCTTCCTGGTCTTTTGAAGCACCGATAGTCTGCATCCAATGATTTAATTAATTTCTCTTAGTTTTTTGGATTATATTTTTTAGTTACCGACCTGTTTTTACTATAATTTAATTTGACAAACCGGGTCTTCTCTACATTCTTTTTCCTGTTTGGTGAGATTGCAATTTCAGGTCTTGATCTGGACTGACCGGAGCGGAGCCAAAAAGAGCTCAGCCCCGTACTTTGACGGTGAGGGACGTAGAAGACGTACGTGCACGGTGACGAGCGGAGGAGTAGCAGAGGATGTGGAACAGCTCTCATTGATTTACATGAAAGACAAGTACTCCGTACGACGTATGTGAGCGGAGCGCTGAAAGTAAGAGGAATCTGGGGGTAAAGGAGGACAAAATACACGTCCGGCTTCCACGTCAGGCTTGAAGGCAAAATACCTCCGAACAGCACTCTTGCCTGGCCTCAAAGTCTGCCATTTTGATTAGGTCACCAATAGGAAGAGCCCATATCTGCTGACCGACGGTATGTGGGAGCCCTGATTAAAGCATCCAGAGCATCCAGTGTCCAGAGTGCCCAGCGTCCACGGCGTCCAGCATTCAGAGCATCCAGAGCTTCCAGCATTCAGAGCTTCCAGCATCCAGAGCTTCTGGCCTCCAGAGTGTACAGCGACCAGAGCATCCAGCGTCTAGAGGGTCCAGCGCCAAGAGCTACCAGCCTCCAGCATCCAGATTCCAGCATCCAGAGCTTCCACAGCGTCCAGCATTCAGAGCTTCAGGCATCCAGTCAGAGCATTCAAAACAGTCCTTAAAGGAATAGTACACCCAAAACATGATTAGCCTTCATTTTCTACTCACCCCCATGCTGAACAACACTCTGGAGTACTTTTTTGATATCTCAAATGCATCTGGAGATCTGGGAGGCTTCTTGCTGTCTGCTGACATTCCAATAATGGAGGTCTATGGAGCCAGAGGCAGAAAGGTCCATAAAAGTCCACAAAAAACGTGTCAATATTCCTCCATAATGCTCGTCCAATGAATTCCAAGTGTCCTGAGTGGGTAGCATCCATAATTTACTCGAAACGAAGTCATTTAGAATGTTTTTAGAGCATAAACAGTAGTGTATAGGATTTCCTGAAAGCGCGTTCACGACGCTACGGAAGCCGGCAGACCAAACCAGATGAAAGCGCGCATTCAGCGTCTGCTCTGCCGATAATGCAAGCGTAGAAGAAGAAATGTGCTGTTTACCTGTGCAAAGAAAGAAACAACGAAAGAAAAATGTCTGAGGACTTCAGTGTTGAGGAAGAGCATGAGTTCTTTGCCGAGCTGAATGCTCGGTTGGTTAGCGTCGTGAACGCGCATGTGCGTGCTTTCAGGAAATCCTATACACTACTGTTTATGCTCTAAAAACATTCTAAATGACTTCGTTTCGAGTAAATTATGGATGCTACCCACTCAGGACACTTGGAATACATTGGACGAGCAGTATGGAGGAATATTGACACGTTTTTTGTGGACTTTTTGGACCTTTCTGTCTCGGACACCATAGACCTCCATTATTTGAATGTCAGCAGACAGCAAGAAGCCTCCCAGATCTCCAGATGCATTTGAGATATCAAAAAAGTACTCCAGAGTGTTGTTCAGCATGGGGGTGAGTAGAAAATGAAGGCTAATCATGTTTTGGGTGTACTATTCCTTTAAGTTCCTCCATGGCCCCCTAACACCACACTCTGACCTCCTTCCCTGTTGGTTTAGCCCTGATTAAAGCATCCAGAACGTCCACAGCTTCCAGCATATAAAGCTTCCAACATCCGAGCGTACAACATCCAGAGTGTCCAGTGTTCAGAGCATCCAGGTCTTCTAGCGTCCAGAGCCTCCAGAATCTAAAGCCTCCAGAGCATCCAGCGTCCGGCATCCAAAATGTCCAGCCTCCGGAGCGTACGGCTTCAGGAGCATCTGGCCTGTGGAGCGTCTAGCCTCCAGAGCTTCCAGCATACAGAGCTTCCAGCATGCAGAGCTTTTAAACAGTCCTTAAGTTTTTCCATGGCCCCCCTCACACCACATTCTGACCTCCTTCACTGTTGGCTTAGCCCTGATTAAAACATCCAGAGCATCCACAGCTTCCAGCGTCCACAGCGTCCGGCCTCCAGAGCTTACATCATCCAGAGCTTACATCATCCAGAGCGTCCAGCATCCAGAGCTTCCAGTCAGAGCATTCAAAACATTCCGGGAGTTTCTCCATGGCCCCCCTCACACCACACTCTGATCTCATTCACTGTTTGTTTAGCCCTAATTAAAGCATCCAGAGCATCCAGTCTCCAGAGTGTCCAGTATCCAGAAAGTTTAGAATCCAGAGCGTCCGGTGTCCAGAGCGGCCTTCAAGCTGTAGGCCTGCTGTTACTTCTTTGACCTTCATTAACCTTCTGCAGAAGGACTTTGTTGCCTTTTATTTTTAACCAGATCAAAGCTTTTCTGCCACATGGTGTCTTTGGAGGTCTGAATTAGTCCTTTAACAGGATACAAGCAACCAAGCAGGAAACAAAGCAAAAACACCCAATATACTAAATAAAATGGGAAATAGGCTCTTATGGGCATGATTAAAAAAATACAAAATGAGAAAAGAAATTGACTTTAAATTACATAAACAAAAATAGTGTCCTACATTAGATCATCATCAGAGCATCTAATAGCATTGAGCTTTACCTGCTGGGGGTTTAAAGAAGCACAAAAGGTAGTTAATATGAGAACATTGGTTTAGAGAATGCCTTAAAAATCATCTCAGGTATTAGAGCATCTAAATATTGAAAAAACGTGATAAACGGCGTCTAATTTCCCTGCAAGCCGCTGCATATATTGCTCAGCGGAATCACCTGCTGCCGCGATATTGCCTTTACTGGTTGTCGTAGTGTGTGTGAAAACAATCCTGTTTGGAGGAGGGGTTTATGATGCATTCAAAGTGTGTGGGGAAAAAAACTCTCAGTGAAATAGATGTAGACGGCTTAATGTGGTCATGAGAATTTGGACTCGATGGTTGATAGCCATCTTAACTATAGAGCGTGGGAAACGGGAGATGCATCGAGTTTATTCGCTGTCATGGTACAGAAAACCAGCTGGAAACATAGAAAAAGGTTAATCAGTTGTGCTTCACGCTCAGATCTCACCTGAGGAACAAACCGCCTCTAACCAGATCAGATCTGACCAGAGAAAGACAGAGACAGACGGACGGACGTCCCTCTGGTCCACGCAGCTGGCCACCAATCATCATCACTTGCTGCAGCCAGATGATCCAGAACAATCTAGAACCAACCATACCAGATCCGGGAAGGAACTTCCTCATTACTAGTAGCAGATCTAGGAGGATGTGATCTGGGTTTGATGATAGCAGAACAAGTGAGTTCTAGAACATTCAGTCTGCTGCTTTCATCATAACTTTCCTCCAGCTGAGTCTCTCATTTCAACCCGTCCCGTCATAGAAAACACAACTAGAAGTAACTGTTGACAATTAACAAAGGTGCAGAGCGACCCAGTGGGTCAGCACCAGAACCTCTATGGATGTGCCACAGCAGGAAACCGGACTACCTCTGACACAGTACCAGATGGTCCAAACCAGACTCCATAACTGGACCTGAGACCAGCTAAGACCGGCATCAACCAGCCACTGCGGATCCTCGGCCAATCAGAAGCCTCCTTCAGCAGCTCAGCCAGCCACTGCGGATCCTCGGCCAATCAGAAGCCTCCTACAGGAGCTCGACCAGCCACTGCGGATCCTCGGCCAATCAGAGGCCTCCTTCAGCAGCTCAGCCAGCCACTGCGGATCCTCGGCCAATCAGAGGCCTCCTTCAGCAGCTCAGCCAGCCACTGCGGATCCTCGGCCAATCAGAAGCCTCCTTCAGCAGCTCAGCCAGCCACTGCGGATCCTCGGCCAATCAGAAGCCTCCTTCGGCAGCTCAGCCAGCCACTGCGGATCCTCGGCCAATCAGAAGCCTCCTTCAGCAGCTCAGCCAGCCACTGCGGATCCTCGGCCAATCAGAGGCCTCCTTCAGCAGCTCAGCCAGCCACTGCGGATCCTCGGCCAATCAGAGGCCTCCTTCGGCAGCTCAGCCAGCCACTGCGGATCCTCGGCCAATCAGAAGCCTCCTTCGGCAGCTCAGCCAGCCACTGCGGATCCTCGGCCAATCAGAAGCCTCCTTCAGCAGCTCAGCCAGCCACTGCGGATCCTCGGCCAATCAGAGGCCTCCTACAGCAGCTCAGCCAGCCACTGCGGATCCTCGGCCAATCAGAGGCCTCTTACAGCAGCTCAGCCAGCCACTGCGGATCCTCGGCCAATCAGAGGCCTCCTTCGGCAGCTCAGCCAGCCACTGCGGATCCTCGGCCAATCAGAGGCCTCCTTCGGCAGCTCAACCAGCCACTGCGGATCCTCGGCCAATCAGAGGTCTCCTTCAGCAGCTCAACCAGCTGCTGGTCCATGAAGAAGAACTTCACTTAATCCACTTACTGCTTCCTGGTTCTGGACGGAGGAGGAGGAGGAGGCGCCATGCGGCCGCTGCTGCCATCTTTACGGGGGCGCCCTCGGGGACGCCTCTCGGGGGCGGGGCAACTGGCGGCAGCTCTGGCCAGCTGAGCGCTGCGTCCGGCCCGGGTGACAGGGGGCGTCGGTCCTCTGTCCCGAGGCTCCTGGGCCTCAGAGGGCATTCTGGGTAAAAAACAGAGACAGGGTTCAAAGGTTAATGGGTCAGTAGCGCCATGGCAACAACACAACTGGATGATGGGAACCAGAACAACGGCAGGAATCCTCAGCTCCCACTGGGGAAGGGATCCACACAGGATCTGGGAACTCAAGTCTCCACACCCAGAACGGTACCAGTTTGAACCAGTCTGAGCCAGACCAGAACCAGTTTGAACCAGGACCAGTTTGAACCAGGACCAGTTTGAACCAGGACCAGTCTGAACCAGACCAGAAACAGTCTGAACCAGAACCAATACCAGTCTGAACCAGACCCAGAATCAGTCCGAAGGAGACCAGACCCAGACCCAGTCTCAACCAGAATCAGACCCAGTCTCAACCAGAATCAGACCCAGTCTCAACATGAACCAGTCTGAACAAGGCCAGACCAGAACCAGTCTGAACCAGACCCAGTCTTGGCCAGACCTGTCTGAACCAGACCAGACCCAGAACCAGTCTGAGCCAGACCTCGAAACAGTCTGAACCAAACCAGAACCAGAAACAGTCTGAACCAGACCAGACCCAAAACCTGTCTGAACCAGACCAGGCCCAGAACCACTCTAAACAAGAACCAGTCTGAACCAGACCAGAACCAGCACCAGTCTGAACAAGAACCAGTCTGAACCAGACCAGAACCAGCACCAGTCTGAACCAGCACCACTCTGAACAAGACCAGAACCAGTCTGTACCAGAACCAGAGCCAATACCAGTCTGAACATGACCCAGTCTCAACCAGACCCAGAACCAGTCCAAAGCAGACCAGACCTCAGACCAGTCTGAACCAAACCAGTCTGAACATGACCCAGTCTGAACAAGAACTAGTCTAAACCAGACCAGAACCAATACCAGTCTGAACACAACCCAGTCTGAACCAGAACCAGTCTGAAGCAGACCAGACCCAGAACCAGTCTGAACACGACCCAGTCTGAACAAGAACTAGTCTAAACCAGACCAGAACCAATACCAGTCTGAACACAACCCAGTCTGAACCAGAACCTGTCTGAACCAGACCAGACCCAGAACCAGTCTGAACAAGAACCAGTCTGAAGCAGACCAGACCCAGAACCAGTCTGAGCCAGACCTCGAACCAGTCTGAACCAAACCAGAACCAGAAACAGTCTGAAACAGACCAGACCCAAAACCTGTCTGAACCAGACCAGGCCCAGAACCAGTCTGAACAAGAACCAGTCTGAACCAGACCCAGTCTGAACGAGACCAGACCCAGAACCAGTCTGAACAAGAACCAGTCTGAACCAGGACCAGTTTGAACCAGGACCAGTTTGAACCAGGACCAGTCTGAACCAGACCAGAAACAGTCTGAACCAGAACCAATACCAGTCTGAACCAGACCCAGAATCAGTCCGAAGGAGACCAGACCCAGACCCAGTCTCAACCAGAATCAGACCCAGTCTCAACCAGAATCAGACCCAGTCTCAACATGAACCAGTCTGAACAAGGCCAGACCAGAACCAGTCTGAACCAGACCCAGTCTTGGCCAGACCTGTCTGAACCAGACCAGACCCAGAACCAGTCTGAGCCAGACCTCGAAACAGTCTGAACCAAACCAGAACCAGAAACAGTCTGAACCAGACCAGACCCAAAACCTGTCTGAACCAGACCAGGCCCAGAACCACTCTAAACAAGAACCAGTCTGAACCAGACCAGAACCAGCACCAGTCTGAACAAGAACCAGTCTGAACCAGACCAGAACCAGCACCAGTCTGAACCAGCACCACTCTGAACAAGACCAGAACCAGTCTGTACCAGAACCAGAGCCAATACCAGTCTGAACATGACCCAGTCTCAACCAGACCCAGAACCAGTCCAAAGCAGACCAGACCTCAGACCAGTCTGAACCAAACCAGTCTGAACATGACCCAGTCTGAACAAGAACTAGTCTAAACCAGACCAGAACCAATACCAGTCTGAACACAACCCAGTCTGAACCAGAACCAGTCTGAAGCAGACCAGACCCAGAACCAGTCTGAACACGACCCAGTCTGAACAAGAACTAGTCTAAACCAGACCAGAACCAATACCAGTCTGAACACAACCCAGTCTGAACCAGAACCTGTCTGAACCAGACCAGACCCAGAACCAGTCTGAACAAGAACCAGTCTGAAGCAGACCAGACCCAGAACCAGTCTGAGCCAGACCTGGAACCAGTCTGAACCAAACCAGAACCAGAAACAGTCTGAACCAGACCAGACCCAAAACCTGTCTGAACCAGACCAGGCCCAGAACCAGTCTGAACAAGAACCAGTCTGAACCAGACCCAGTCTGAACGAGACCAGACCCAGAACCAGTCTGAACAAGAACCAGTCTGAACCAGACCAGAACCAGCACCAGTCTGAACACGACCCAGTCTGAACCAGACCCAGAACCAGTCTGAAGCAGACCTCGAACCAGTCTGAACCAGACCAGACCCAAAACCTGTCTGAACCAGACCAGGCCCAGAACCATTCAGAACCAGAACCAGTCTGAACGAGACAGGAACCAGAACCACTCTGAACCAGACCCAGAACCCCAAAAGAGAACCCTGCTACTGGGGTTCTGATGACACTCTGATCCAGACCCGGTCCCCATCCATGTCCTGCAGAGGTTCAAGAAGAACTTCCCAGTGTTCCGTCTGAATGAGCCAGCAGATCGACCCGACTGCTGAAACCGGAGACAAAAACCAGGCTCTTTCAAAAGACCTGTAGAACTCTGGAACAGAACCACAGACGCTCATGGTCCATGTAGAACTACCAAATACGTTCTGGACCTCAAACTGGAGCATCAGAGGAACATTTGGACCTTCAGAACATTCTGGAGGACGGCCATCACAGTGGACCAGTGTCAACATTGAGGGAACCCCAGGTCCAGATCCACCTAGGGTCTGCATAGACCTGGACCACTGTGAACAGAGGAGTAGCCCAGCGGTGCGTTCAGGGGCCTCAGCTACAGCGTCCGGCTGCTCCCTCTGTCACCGACTGCTTTCTTAATAAAGGTTCTGGTGGTTTGACCAGAGACCGGACCACATGGTCTGGGCTCGGTCAGCTGAGGAAGGCAGTGAGCCTCCTCCTCATCATCAGATTGCTGATCTTCAGTCAGAAGCTTCACCTGAACCGCTGCAGTCATGCAGCTACAGCAGGTCCATCAACACCTGGGTGAAGAAGCTCCTGATCGGGACTAGTGAACCAGAACCACGTCAAGCCCCCCTAGAACCAGAACCAGAGTCCATTAAGTTATGAGGAGAACCACTAAGCTAAGGCTCTGGGCTAAAGGTTCCAACAGAACCAGCTTCTGGAGCTTTGGACCCCTGGCACACCTACACCGACCTGAGTTCAGGTCAGCTTCCCCAGCCTGGACCTCCAGCACCGGGGCTCGGACTAGATCAGAGGTCGGGGAACCAAACTGGGACCGGAACCAATGAATCAGGTGGGTTCAGTTGATCAGAGCCCTACCTGTGAGGCTAACCGGCTAGCTGCATGCTAACAGAGCCATCGGCCAGTGGAGCAGCACCCAGCGGCCGATGAGCGGCTGTAAGTGGCCGACTAGCAGCCTCCAGGATCGCTGTCGCTGTTCGGAACCGCGCTGTTAATGACAGCCGCTGGAGGAAACCACTGGTTAGCCGTTAGCAACTAGCCTCGCTCCGCCCCGTTCCCCTTAGCATTAGCATTAGCTCGGTGGCGGTCCGCCCTGCGGTGCGGGCACCGGACAGCCGGCCAGCGGCCACGGGCAGACGGCCTCGTTCCCCGGATCAGTGCAGGTCTGCGGCGGGAGGAGAAGAGGAACGGGCTGCTTACCGATTTGACGCGGATCTCTTTTTCCTCTCCAGCTTTCAGCCAACTTAGAGCGACGTGTTCAACAGCGAATTACTGCGACAGATAACATCTGCTTCTGGGGTCTGCAGTGAGGAGCTCCTCCGCAGAAACATTCCCGGGGACCGGAGAAGGAAAACACGCAGGCTGGACGCACACAATCAGGGAAAAATTAAACTTGAAGCGGTCGCTCCGTCATGGAGGCCATGTTTGGGAGCGACCGAAGCACCGCCTGTCAACACCAGCAGGAGAAGTAGATCCCAGAAAACATTCCCCGTAGCTGCGCCAGGTAGCCGGTCAGACTTCATTCAAGCACCGGGACCAAGGCGGCAGTGCATCGAACTGTGGCCCGGTAGACAATCGCTCTGATCGGGCCTCTCGCGGAACCGCCTCGTTTGTTTGTGTTTTGTAAAAAGTGTGTGTGACCCCGCGGAGGGATCTGTCGGAGGGCTGCTCCGGTGGAACTGCTGCTGTCACCAGACCTGCAAAACCCGGAACGGATCACAACCGCATCCGGACTGCGGATAAACATGCAGTAAACACAGTACCGGATCCTGACGGATCAGTCAGGGGCCCCTAGAGCCGAACACCTTCACTAAGTAAACCTGGTCTCTAACCATTACAGTCAGGGGCCCCTACAGCTGAACACCTTCACTAAGGAAACCTGGTCTCTAACCATTACAGTCAGGGGCCCCTACAGCTGAACACCTTCACTAAGGAAACCTGCTCTCTAACCATTACAGTCAGGGGCCCCTACAGCTGAACACCTTCACTAAGGAAACCTGCTCTCTAACCATTACAGTCAGGGGCCCCTACAGCTGAACACCTTCACTAAGGAAACCTGCTCTCTAACCATTACAGTCAGGGGCCCCTACAGCTGAACACCTTCACTAAGTAAACCTGGTCTCCTGTCATTACAGTCAGGGGCCCCTACAGCTGAACACCTTCA